TTGTAACAGCGCATCAATGGACAAAGGCTCCTCTGCTAGAGGTGATTCTTGCCTGTCCTCATCACGGTTTCTCAACTAGCGAATCGAATCGAATATGAGCCTCAATCGATTTTTTTTATTCGAATTTCGAATATATTCGATTCGCCCCATGTCGAATAAAAGACTTATTCGATTCGCAATTATTCCTTCAATAACAAACGTATATGCCTGAATATGAATAAATCATTAAAAATCGAAAATAATGTCAAATCAAATGAGGTCGAATCGAATCGAATCGAATAAATGCGAATCGAATGAGACTTTATTCTCACTATTTGTATTCGAAAAATCGAATGGCGAATATCGAATATTTGTGAGAAATCGTGGTCCTCACTCAAGGGGGGGCTAGACCCTTGGTCAAATTCGTCGACTTCCATGGCTGAGCCATCATCAGCCAACTGGGTCGAAGGAGTGGTTTCAAAGAGGGTTTTGTTGTCGTTGTTCATAGTGGTGTATGAAGGTGGAGGATGTTTGAAGACTTTTGTGTGTGTATATGTGTGTGTGTATGGATGGATAACTTCACTTAAAAAAATGAGATATTTCGGGGTTCAGAATTAAGTGAGAAAGAGATGTGGCTCCACACACCACACCGATTAGGTATTTATTTGTATTAAATGTAATAGTGAGCTGGAGGTACACTTGTTAAACTAAATATACAGTGAACTCTGGTGAAATATGGGACAGGCAGGACACCTAAATGGCTCGTTCAATGGAAAGGATACCCACTGGAGGAGGCAACCTGGAAGTCAAAGGCATCACTGGTCAGTGCCAAGGAGGCCCCAGCAGAGTTCGAGGCCAAGCGCGAAAAGAAGTAACGTTTTTTTTTTTTTAAGATGGGGAGATGCAACAGGTACAACTGTTTATTCGAGAATGATGTCATGGTCGTAACCATACTGCGCCTAGTTTCAAGAGCATTCCAGCACAACTGTGTCTAGTATATAAGAGCTCTCCAAACGCAGGATTAAACAGCAATCAATCTTCGAATAAACCACTGATTCAACCATAGAACCTCCTGACCACTCCAACCCACCGGCTGTTTGCATGCTTCCCCTTGACTTCAAGGGATATTGCGCGGTGGCGAGTGCAGAAGTGTGATGACAAGGGAGTAGAGGAGGACTTCACTGGGAGATAGGAGGCGAATCCTGGCTGAAGGCAAAAAAGGCGCCAGACTCGTTCATCCTTGTAAATAGTGCGACGAGCCTCCAGATAGCCATTCCAAAGGCCTATTGCCATGAAGACTGGATCGGTCCACGTTGCAAGTGTAAGAAACATGATGTTTTAATTAAATCGATTTGCTGAGACTATGGTACCTGGAACTGCTGGCGGCAAGTTAATTAGGTCTGGCTCTGATAGCTGGCTCACAGTTGACACTGGAGTCACTGTTGATGGCTGACTAGAAGTCGTCCATACAAAGGATGATGCTGGGCTTGTCGGGCTCTCAATGGTATGAACCCATTCTCGAGACCTTGATGATGAAGGTTCGCCGTCCGAGGACAAAGACATGATGTTGAGGGAGGGTAAAGAAAAAACTGGAATTCACCGATGAAATTTATTTTTCAAAAAAATTGTTCACTGCGGTTAACCGTTCACCGGTGAGAATCACTAGTTCAGACCAAAGAGGCGGTCAGAACTGCTTCAGCAACTCTCGGTTAGCTGGGCAAAGGAAGGGTTTAACCGCGTCAAGGCCCGCAACAACTTTGTGTAGAAATGATAACTGCACCAGGATACACTTCACAAACGGCGCTGTTTGTTGCGTTAACGGAAGGTGTGTAAGAAGCAGAGTCAGGTAAGATGGCAATTGAAGTCGGTTTTGGATGCCTTTCACGATTGACCTACGTTCTCTAATGCATTTTATTTCAAAAGCTCTTGTGAATCCTAGTTGCCAGCCTTCTTAGTGTCCTCGCCAACAATGTCCATCCACTTGCGTCCATTCAAACCCTTGACGATGCCGTCCTTCACAGCACGAGCGATTCCTGGCCCCTCATACGCCATACTGCTGTAAAGTTGCACCATGCTTGCTCCTGCTCTAGCGTATTCCAAAGCATCCTCGCCAGTAGAGATACCTCCGCAGCCGACCAAAGGAATCTTTCCTCCGGTATGTTTGTAAACCTGGCGAAGAGCCCGCAAAGCCAGAGGCTTGACGACGGGTCCCGAAAGTCCTCCGACTTCCTTTGCGTTCTCCTTGTTGATCAATGTGCTGGGCCTCGAAATTGTTGTGTTGGAAATGATGATACCGTCCACCTTGGTTGACAAAGCTGCCTCAGAAACATCCTTGAGCTCTTCTTCCGATAGATCGGGTGCGATCTTAACCAGCAATGGGGGTTTGTAAGCGGACTGCAGGCGGTCGCGAGCACTGATAACCTGACGCAACAAGTCCTCAAGCATGTCCTTGCGCTGCAATGACCTCAGTCCGGGGGTATTAGGTGACGAGACATTGACAACCAAAACATCCGCATAGTGTCCGAGACGCTCGACACCCAGTACGTAGTCTTCCACAGATTCCGGTGTCGAGGCCTTGTTCTTGCCCAAGTTCACGGCCAAGATACGGTCATCGCGCAGAGAGCGGTTGGTGGAGAGATGATCCACAAAGGACTCTGTCGAGGACTGTCCGTGCCTCAGCTTTTCCAGCGTCTGATCCTGATCCTCACGAGCATGTTTGTACAAGAACCGCTTGATACGCTGGCGAAGACGCGTCTCGACCGCCTTGTGGCCCTCCGAGTTGAATCCGTAGCGGTTAATCACGCACTTGTCCTCTGGAAGGCGGAACATACGAGGTTGAGGGTTACCAGGCTATAGTTTGTATATGTACAGGAAATGAATGGTTCGTTAGAGATGTTCGTTGCACACCAACAGCATGGTCAACACTTCTTCCTTGTGGTAAGCCATTTACCTGGGGCTCAGGAGTGACGCTTCCAACCTCAACATAGCCGAATCCCAGATCAAACAGTCCGTCAATTGCCTCGGCATGTTTGTCGAATCCAGCAGCTATTCCCACTGGGTTTGAGAAGGTCTTGTTCCAGAGCTACACCACGGGGAGACAAAGAGAAATTTGTGTCGTTAGTCTCCAGTGCTGTTAACCTCCTGATTCAACGAAAGAACAAACATCCGATACAACCGTTGAATCCTCCCTTTACCTTGACTTCCAATGTGGGGTCATCGTGCTGTGTATCCCAGGGGCTAATTCCCATGCTCAACAGCTTAATGCCGGCCTTATGAGCCGTCTCGGGGTCCATGGTCCAGTGCATCAAGGGAACGAGCACATACTTGTGGATGGAGGCACGCGAGTCGAATCCATATGAGATTCCGACTAGACCTCCGACGACGATACCGGTGCCGAGGATAAAGTTGATCGTCTTAGAGGTGGTCGTATGTTCCTTGCGGACCGTGGCATAATGGCGGACCATTGCTGAAGGTGGGATGCGCTGGGCACCATAGACCCGCGGCAATGCAGGCAGCTGACGCTGGCGACGCAGGATAGATGTGAGAGAATTCATGAGGGGAGAGGGGCGGGGTGGTGGTTCTCCTGTGATTCTGAATAGAGAGATCAGCAAACCAAAACGAGCACTTCCCCTTCAGGCACACAACTCGTTGGTCGGAAAGCATGTTTGGGAAGCTGCACGTGATGCATTTCCCCTTGGCCACCAAAAAAAATGCAGCTTGGCACAAATCTGTATTCATGCATCAAGTTGAATTTCGTGTAAAATACATTCGATACTTGAATGCTAATTTTTGTAACTGAGTCGGGATGGCCTATCTTCAGGTATAGGAAAACCTCGCCCAAGCTGATCTCAACATCCTCCCATTCTCTCGTCTTTGTCCCGCCATGTCCATGCTGAGGTCATCCACCTCCATACCCCTCCTCTGCACTTCCAGAGCTCATCTGTCCAGGAGGACAGCCTTTCAAAAGGCTGTCCCGTCTCGCTTCGCTTTGGTATCCGCTCGACTCCAGTCTACCAGCGCTCGGACCAACTGGAGTCCCTCGGTCGCTCCTCCTCGACGGATTCCATTAAAAGTCTCTGTGCCGACGGTGGCATTGGTCACCGGAGTCCTTCTATACAATATCAATGACCCTTTCCGCCACGGCGCACTGGCCTTGCACAGAATGATGGTCGCAGGGGAGGCGGTTGTTCGTGTGGGCATCGACTATAAGTATACCATGGATTTCGTAAATAGGGATCTGAAGGACGGCAACCTAGAAGACGAAAAGGAGAGAGCGCACCGCATGAGCGCCCTTCACAAGCGGAGTGCAGATCGACTTCGAGAGATGCTGAGCAAGAATGGAGGCATTTACATCAAACTGGTATGTTGTGCAAATCGAATTCTTTAACCCTCAAGTCCTCGCCGCCAGTGCCACTAATGCTAAGAGGCATCTTCATTTACATGCAACTTGTAGGGACAACATCTTGCCAGTTTGAAATATCTACTGCCGGATGAGTGGACTACTGCCATGGAACCTCTTCAGGACCGCTGCACGCCATCCTCCATCGAAACCATCCAGGCGCTCTTTCATTCAGATCTAGGCCAACCCATGTCCGAGTTCTTTTCTTCATTTGATCTGGAGCCCATTGGCGTAGCATCATTAGCTCAAGTGCATAGGGCTAGACTACTGGATGGTCGGGAGGTAGCGGTCAAAATTCAGCACCCAGCTTTGACCGAATTCTCGACCATCGATATCAAAACTGTGGCGGCACTCACGAACTTTATCGCCTACGTCTTCCCGGAATTCGAATTCACTTGGCTGAGCGATGAGATGCAGACCAGCTTACCCAGGGAACTCAACTTCAATATCGAGGCCGCCAATGCTGCCCGTGTAGCCGCCAACTTTGACCAGGCCCGCGCAGAGGGGAGTAAATCGACCATCAAGATCCCAGATGTCATTTGGTCCCGGAAACGAGTCCTTGTCATGGAATGTATGTTGAAACCCTGATGATTTTTTTTATCTGTTCACTGTGATGCATATGCTCAATCAAACAAGAACTCGCGTACTAAACCATATCAGTGTCTTTTTTCATGATAATGTAGTCATGACTGGGTCTAGGATCGATAACCTGCCATATCTCAAAGCCAACAACATCAAGGTGTCCGAAGTCTCGAACGAGATGGCTCGGACGTTCTCTCAAATGATCTACAAGGATGGATTCGTTCATTGCGACCCACATCCCGGCAATGTCATGATTCGCCCCACGCCACCTGGATCACCCTCTCCACGCAACTTTGAGATCATCCTTCTGGATCATGGACTCTACCGAGAACTCACACCCGAGTTCCGGCTGGACTATGCGCACCTATGGACCGCCATCATTGCGTCAGATGAGGAGGAGATCAAATACCGTGCCTTGAAACTCGGGGGAACGGATGCATACCAGCTTTTCTCCAGCATTTTGACAGGTCGCGACTGGTCCGTGGTTCAGGATGCGCAGCTCACAAGAAGGGCACGCAGCAAGGATGAGATAGTCATGTTAGCGGGCGACGTTTCAGGGAACAAGATTGCCGATATTGCAGGTATCCTGGCCAAGGTGCCCCGAGATCTTCTGTTGCTGTTCAAGACAAACGACCTTCTTCGCGCTCTGGACGAGGATTTGGGTGCGGACGATGGGTCGCAGATGAGGACGTTTGCGGTCATGGGTCAGTACTGTGCGCTTGCGATCTATGAGGCTGACAAGTCTGTGATCCGATCAAGGTTGGAGTCTTCAAAATTGACGATATCGGATCTGACGAGGACTTTGCGTTCGTGGATTACGGCATACTGCGGATTCCTTTATACAACATTGTCCTTGGATATATTTGTCTGGTGGATCGATCTCGAGCAGTCAAATTCGCTTTTGTACCAGATCCTGTCGCGCTTTGGATGGCTCTTGCATTGAACGGCTTTGCAGACTTGTACGCGCACCACAACTCTTTCAGTTATCTGCATTATTTGTCTTCCTTTTTTTATTTTTTATTTTTTCTGTTTTGTTCGCATCATACCATAGACATAACGAATCATTATAGACTATAAAGACCATGTACAGCTCTCTTTTTATTGTCGAACTTGTTTTTTGGTGAGCAACAGCATCCTTTTGTCCATTACGATATCAGATAGACAGCTGCTCAATCTGGACCTGGAGTTCTGCCATCTTTGAGATCTTGTCCAGTTGCTCCGGCAGCATCTCCTCGCCCTTTTCCTGCCGCCCCTTTAGCTGCTCGGCCTGCCTCAGCTTCTTGTTGAGCGCGCGTAGTTTCTTTTCAGGATCCATTGCTGACTCTGCTGTGTTTACGGCGGCGGGGGCTGCGGCTGCGGCGGTGGTAGTAGTGCTTGAAGTCGCTGCGGAGTCTGATGTTGTTGCCTTTGGTTTCTGTGTTTGATTCGCGGACACTCCACCACCATCATCAGCGACCTCCAATGTTGCCTGCTCTTCCTTACGCTTTACCTTCCTCTTATCGTTCTTGAGCTGCGCTTTAGTCTTGGGTGCGGTGTTGGCTGCAGCAATCAAGGGCGAAGGACTTGGTGCGGCGGGACGAACAGAGTCTAGGACGCGGTTCGTGTACTTTGCCACATCCTCAGGAGGCGTGTATCCAGGCCGGACCTTGCGCTCCTTCCTGTATGTGCCATCAGGTCGGCGGGTCATGGGGATCACGCGGGCGTCATCCTTTTCCTGAATCCCAGCGATCGACTTTGTTGAGGCTATGGATGAATTCGTCATGGACATTGGTGATCAATGAGAGGGGCGTGGAGAAACGCGGTAGAAAATCAGGGCAACACAAATTATTTCGCCCAAGACAGTCTATGTGCAGTACACATGTTATGCGGTCTCTTTTTTTTTTTTTTTACACTTTTTTTATTTTCGCATCAAGGATTTCCCTTTTATGACCTGGACGGCCAGCACACCGCCATGGACCTTGTCAAGACTCATCTCTTTCCACACATAGTCCCAACTCTCGAGCCAGTCAATGATCGCCGGCTTGACCTTTGCCCGCGAGTTCGACGAGTGGTTGCCTGTGCCTGTGACCACATACACGGTGCCAGTGTACACCTCCTTCTCCAGCTTCTCCATGAACTCGTCCAAGAATGCCAACGACTCATCCACATGCAGTCCATGAAGATCAATCCATGTCTCGCCCTTGGCCGTGCTCTTGATCATCTCCTGGTTCCTCGAGTTGAAGATCTGTCGACTCGCCTCACGATGCGTCGCCATCATCAAGTCGTTGTACTCACGGCCCTGGAAAGATAGCTTGGCTGCAGTCGCTCCGTCATTGCGAAGATACGCCTGGGTCGCCAATTCGAAGCAGCGATTACGTGCCTTGCCGTACTCGATCGCCTGTGCACGCGATTTGAGGTATTCATTGTTGAGGGTCGATCCTGTCTCCAGCCACGGGATCGAGCTCGGAGCCATCTCCAGCTTGAACGCCCTCCGCTGCTCCTCTGCATCATCAGCTCGTTGCAATGGCGTAAGTGGTTTCGATGCGGCTGCCGCTGCGGTGGCCGAATACGAGATCGTAGGTTTAGCCAGAGGAGGCGACGAAACCTTGGCCTTCTCCTCCAACTGGGTCGCCAGCGCATCCACAGCGACACTCGAACTCTCTCCGTTACCATTACTGTTCTTATTGTTCTTATTTTTCTTTGAATCCGACTGTCCGTTGCCCTTGTTGACCTTTGCAGATCCCTTATTCTTTGAAGACGCGGTGCTAGCCGATAATGATGGGAAATCGAAATCATCCATTGTCGGCGGCTGTTGCTTCACAGGCGGCGGAGGTGTTTCTGTCACACGGCTGGTATCGATAAAGTGATTGAACTCGCAAGTCTCGCCTTTCAAACACTGTCCCTTGAGCCTTTTTCATGAATAAACAGAGAATAGAAAGCAGAGCACCGTTGGGAGAAAGGAACTCTTAATATTAATAAAAAAAATCATAGCTTGATGCCAAGATAACAGCATCCACGAACGAAGAAAAAAAAAAAAAAAAAGGCTTACCAAAACTTGCACACCATCAAATCCAGATCATGGCTGTACCAACAGTCCTTGCGGAAGCAATTACCCTGCAAGAAATGTCGACAGGTTTGTGTTGAACGGATATCACCCATGAATGGCATCGCGAGCTCCCCTCCACCAGATGCTCTCGCGGCCATCAAGGTCTCAAGCGTCCGCTCAAAATCGTATCCGGATCTTGCAAACGCCTTCTCAATCTTATCAGGACTGACATCCTTGATGATCTGCACCAACATCTCCAGTGGTGTCATATCCTGGTCCAAATTCGTCAAATACGATACGGAGCCATCGTCCAGAGCTCCACCGCCATAGCTCTCGTCCGAGGAATAAAAAACCGGAGGCGGGTATTGGGGTTGCAGATCCGTTGCGGAATGATAGCTTCCATAAGGAATATTGCGAGTGCCGTTCAGAACCTCCAGATCAGAGGCACTTGGGGGTGCAAACGGGTTGAATTCGTCGTCATCAAAGGGATCTAGTGCATCGCGCAATTGATGTCCATTAGAAGCAGATGTCTTTGCCTGGGTATCGTCGTCATCATCATCAATTCTAGCCCAAGAATCAGGATCGCGAGCCATATTATCAACATTGAGTAATTTGGTCCCATTATTGGTTCCTGTTCGTCCTTGCTGAGGATCGTCCAAAGGCCGGATAATCGGAATGGCGCGAGATGCAACCGTGGCAGGAGGATATTGAAAATCGAGAGATGGCTGTGAATAGGCGTAAATCGAAGGCTCCATCCAGTAGAGTCCTCCCTGTGCATATTGCGCAAACAGTTCTGCGACGGCGTCCTGAAGGTTGATGTTAGCCTATGATAGCCAGCCAGCAAGCGAACAGGTCAGACATCTTTTTTTCGGGGGGTGGAGGTGAGGCCACTAGGGGCGGTATGGCATGAAAGAAGACGTACGACCGCACAGTTGGCCTCGAGGCACTCGTAGAGGGTAGCGGACTTGTCCTCTTCGGACATGCTCTGGTCATAGAGCACTCCTGCGAAGTAGGGCTCGAATTCCGGACCCAGCCCTAGACTGGCCAGGTAGCTTAAAATCCAGGTGGTCATTCAACTGAAGAGTAGAAATCAAGGCCGAATTGGAGATAAATGTCGGGCGAAGAATAGTGCTGAACAACAGGAGGTCGGTGTTGATGGTGGAAGCAAGGGTGGGATGAGATGACCGATGTATGAAATGGGAGTGGACGACCTCTCTGAGAAAGAACGCTCTTCGGGGGTTTTGGAGTTCAAGGGAGCTGCTAGCAAAAGTGGCTTGCGCCCACCATCGTACCTGTGCCTGCGTTGACGAGCTGGAGGTGAGATGCCAGGACCCTTTCGTAATTCGGCCTCTGTCTCTCTCTCTCTCTCATTCCAGCTCAGAGAAGAAAAGGAAGTTTCGCGATCGCCGCATGTGTGGTATCCTCTTCAGCGTTTGCGGTCAGACCGCTAGGTCACAATCGCAATCAGCATACGAGCGCACTTGGTCGACCTTGCAGCAGCTGAACGCCCGGCGAGGTATGTCCAGGGCGGAGAAAATAATTTGATCCGCACGTTGGTCCGGCCGGGCATCAATGATCCTCTAAACGAGCTGAAATCATGATACTTATCCTTGGCTTCGATACAACTCACTCAACACTAGGTCCCAGCGCACAGGATACATACAGTCTTTCAATTGCTCAAAACGAAGCACTGGGTGAAAATGTGGACGCCGAATTGACATTCTATGGTGCAGTTCTTCACCTTCGAGGAGACGTTGTTACTCGACAACCCCACGTCTCAAGCGCAGAGAACATACTTCTGTGGAATGGCGAAGTCTTTGACGGCATTGCTGTGGATCACCACGAGAACGATGGCCAGGTGCTGATGGATCAATTGGAGACCATATCTAGTCAGAGCAGCGGAAAGACACATGCGGGTCTCTTTCTGGAGCTCATGGCCAGGATAGAGGGGCCTTATGCGTTCGTTTATTTCCACGTAGGTCAAGATAGGCCATAATTATCGACTAAAGGACCATGGGATGCACCTGTCAAGCCTTTAATTTTTTATCTTTATATTTTCTTAGGCTGCATCGCGTACATTATACTTTGGGCGGGATTGTCTAGGAAGGAGATCACTCTTGTGGCACAAGGAAGGAACGGAGGAAGGTTCCATAAAACATCCGTTCATCTTGACGTCGGTCGGCTACAGCGCCCTCCACAAGGACCTGTTGGCTTTGGACGAAGTACCAGCCGACGGCATCTACAGTCTCAGTCTAAAGACCGAGAGCCAGCACTCGTTGATCAGGTACCCATGGATACCATCTGTCCAGATCGATGGCACTTTGTCGGACACTTCCTGTAGTATGCGACTTCCATTCGGCAGAGTGAATGATCATGTACCAACTGAAGATCAGCTCTCAGAGACATTTGCAGACGATCTCAAGTTTGACCAGGCACATCCGGAGATCGTGCCTCCTATAACGGATGATATGAAGTTGGCTATCTCCAGTATGATTGAGGTGTTGGGAGACTCGGTCCGGAGACGAGTGCAAGATATTCCGAGGACTGGGTAAGTGATATCATACCAAACCAAACCAAACCAAACCAAAAGAGGATTCTTCCCTATTGACTAATCTCAAGGCGCGTGCTTACTTTCCATTTCTTTTTTCTTTCTCACTACCATTACCGTTTCATGCCACGCATGCTATACCATACTATACTCCTAGTCTTCAACATGATGCGCGAGTCGGCATTTTGTTCTCTGGCGGTCTTGACTGTCTCTGTCTCGCAGCCCTCGCAGACAGGTTTCTTCCCGAAGGCGAGGCCATCGACCTATTGAACGTTGGATTCGAGAACCCTCGATCTGTCAAGGCCAAGGCAGCAGAGGAGGCCCTCGCTCTCAAGCGACTAAAGAAACAAGGACTCTCCCCGTCCAGTAACGGATCGCAAGTCCAGAGCTCAGGTGCAGAGCATTCGAAATACAATGTTCCTGATCGGATAACGGGATATGAAAGTCTTGTGGAACTGAGACGGATCGCACCGCACCGTCATTGGAACTTTGTTGAGGTGAATGTCCCGTTTGAGGAGGCTACGGCTCGGAGGGAAGAAATCCTTGAGAGGATCGCGCCTCTGGAGACCGTGATGGACTTGGTAAGTAGCTAGTTGCGGGTCTAACTCTAGTCAGTCTTGTTTTTTTTTTTTGGAGAACTGAGATTAAGAGTGATTTAACAGCTGTCTGTTGCTTATGATTTTTTTAAACCTTTTAGAGCATTGCAATGGCGTTCTGGTTCGCATCTAGAGGGCTTGGGTTTATCAAGAATGAGCTGAACGAATTGGTGCCGTATACGAGTCAAGCCAAGGTTCTTCTTTCCGGACTAGGAGCAGATGAACAGTTAGGAGGATACTCGCGTCATAAAGAGCAGTACAAGACTGGAGGATGGAAGGGGCTGATCCATGAACTGCAACTGGACCTAGACAGGATATCGACGCGCAATCTTGGTAAGAACACAGCGACCCTTGCGGCCGTATCTGCTTTAAACTCGCATCTTTATTCACATTTGTGTTTCTCATGACATTGCAAAAAAAAAAAAAAAAAAAAAAAAAACTATAGGCCGAGACGATCGCATCATTTCGGACCACGGCAAGGAGGCACGATATCCCTTCCTGAGCACCCATGTGGTCAAATATCTCAGCCAACTTCGAGTCGATCTCAAGGTTGACCTGCGGTACCCAAGAGGCGTCGGTGAGAAGATCCTCTTGCGACATGTAGCCCGGAACCTGGGTTTTGTAAGAGCCAGTTCACATTGGAAGAGAGCTGTTCAGTTTGGGGCTCGCACGGCCAAGATGACTGACGGCGGACGGTCAGAGATCGGACAGCAAGTTGTAGACCGTAACGGCGGAGAGTCATAAATGTCAACAAGGACGAATCATTTTATATAAGAAAAACGGGAGGGAGAGAGAGGAGGTTTATTTTATTTTATTTTGTTTTCTTGTTTTAAAGCGCCAAGGCTCTGACGTTCCGTGCCATAATAATATCATTAACACTCGCCATGATGTTCCTCAGCAAGTTGGTATCTGTGGCATCTGTATAATGGACGTAGACCTCCTTGTGCTCACTCCGGTTAAGGCGCGTGAACCGTTTGCGGAAGAACTCGGTGGCCTCAGCCATGTCATTGTCAGGGCCTTCGTAGTCTGGGAAGTAGGCCTTTATGCTGGAGTATTGGATCTTTTGCCTAAAGATGTCTGTCTTGTTCATGAACAAGATAATAGACGTGTCCACAAACCATTGCGAATTGCAGATCTGGTCAAACAACATCATGGCTTCCTCCATTTGATTCTATCGTTCAGAAAGACAGGCACACAGAGAGGATATTCGTATTAGACCATAGCAAACACGAAGGGCAGTATAGAATGAGATAAGATATGATGTTTCCAGCCTGTCAACTTACAGCGTCTTTGTCCTCCACGAGGCATTGATCGTACCCGCTGATGGCGACCAGGAACAGCACTGCGGTGACACCTTCGAAGCAGTGGATCCATTTCTTACGTTCTGATCTCTGTCCACCGACATCAAACATCCTATAGGTCAACGATCCAAGATGGAATGTCGTCTCTGTGATACCCGTTGACTTGACTCGACACCGCAAAATGTCGGCATCATCTGGCATATAATCAGGTTTATATAAGCGATCTACAGAGTCGAAGAAACTAGAAAAAAGGAAAGAGGAAAGAGGTTAATCATGTTGTTACTGTGAGGTTTGTCCCAGATCCTCTGTGTATCGGCATTAGAGCTTACTATTTGACATTGTCTGCCAAGGCATAGGTGTGGCCGAGATGGTAGACCTGTTGCACAGATGGATCGTTCCAGAGAGCCTTGAGGGCTTGTTGGTACTGTGGTGGGTAGGGTGCCCCGCTCGCGATCCTTGGAGTGATCGTAAAGACTTGAATATATTTCTATAATACAAGATGATCGAGCGGCATTAGATAAGCACCGTTGTGGGAAAAGACAGTAATTGAATATATCATGGATCAGGCTGTGTACCTGGTTCTCAGGATAGCCAAGGGCGACGTTATGGTCTTCCATGGCACCAAGGATGGCCTGCATGGCACCGACCATGTTGGAGAAGACGAATCCACGGAAGGCTTCCCTCTCAGGAAGCGAGAATCCTGACGCGTGCATCAGTTTCATCTGTTTAATGATAGTGGTCTTGCCTGCTTCTCCGGCACCTAATAATTATCGGTTCCACAGCGTCCAAACGCGTCCGTTAGCATCCAAGTTGCGGTGCACTGTTCCACGTGGCTGCAGTGACCGGCGGGATAGGCCGCTGATCACGAAAAGAAACGGGGCGGCGAAATCAAGCAAGTGCAGATAAAGAATAAAAATAAAATAAAAAAAGGCCGGAGAGCAGCTCAGGGAACCTTAACTGCGCCTTCGACGGCAGAATGCACATGTCTCAATGCATCTGGCATATACAATGCGACTCTAGTTCATGCTACACCTCCGATAAATGACGCCGTTTGTTGAGGGTGGTCATAAGGCCCCATCAGTGGAATAGCTTCAAAGGCCCAGTCAGTTCTATACAATGGATTGGACTAGCCAAGTAGTCGTGCGGATGTGTTCCACAAATCCTACTGGTGGTAGTGGGAGTCCAGCCAGGCCACTGGCTTTGTTATCTTTGCTCTCTGCTTGCCACTCGCTTACCCAAGCACCACAGAACGATGGCTGTATCTTTGTGTACCATGTCCTGCCACATGGCATGTATGCATGCTTGCCCCGGGTTTTTTTTTTTTATCTTTTTGGTGCGACTAACGGCTCAGAAACAATCGTATGTGATAGGGAACAAGACAGCAACAAGGTCTAACCCCTTCCCGACGCCCCCAATATCTTTGTCCAGAGCACGTAAGCAAGGGTGACCAAGGGGAGGAAGTGCAAAACGAGGGTAGGAAAAGCTGAAGCATCTGTGCATCTGTGCATCTATGCATCTGTGCATTGGTGGTCTGTGATGTTGTGATGTGTTTGTTGTGGAGAGTGAGAGGGCTAGAAAACAACGCCTCCTGCAAGTTGGCATACATACCTAGAAGGAGCAACTTGACCTCGAGTCTACGTGCCCGCTCGTCGGCCCTCAGGGCGATGTCGATTCGCCTGCTCTGCGCATCCTCGGAGGGTGTCGACACACAGGATCCCTAGAGCCAGGACCGGCAGAACGGAAGCATATGATTGAGGTTAAGACGACAAGAAATGAAAAAAAAGGTACGTGTGGCAAATGGCGGTGAGGGGCTGCATGAGAACACAGCCGTGGTCTAAGACGGCAGATACGGGTCAATCCTCCCCTCCCCCCCTCAAATAGCACGGTCTGGGCGAGGGCCACACCAATGGGGCCGCTCCAAAACATCCGCCCTGCCTCCTGCGCGCAACGGGCCCCCTGGCCCCCGGCGGACCATCCACTCCCTGCAAAATCTGTCGAACGAACGAGCGGGCGTCATCGCCACAACCGCACCACAAAAGGACACGATCAGACATGGTGCGATACGATTCGACACGGAATGGACCCCTCGTATATCTTCTCAGAGTAGCATCAAACACGCGCAAAGGAGGTATCATCGGTTGAGTATATACAATACATTAAGTATGTACATGTGAATCGACTATGCAGACGACTCGACTATGGCGCGATTTTGAATGCTGCCCTCTGCCCTATACCCGCAAGGCCCTTTCCCTTAACCCTCTCCTTCGTCCTTATCCAGTGAACAGCGCGAGAATCATCCATCCAACGGCGATCCTAGCCTGCTGCGATAGAGGGCAACAGCAACAACAACAATAATAACGATAATGACAATGATAATGATAATAAGAAAAAGAAAAAGAAAAAGAGTCGTTCCTAGAGGGTGTATAGTCTTAACTGCGTTTACTCTCCGATAACTCGTCCACCGCGCCTGAATAGGCATGATGCAAACAAGGTTCCTTTTCTTTGCTCTCTTTTTTTTTTCGCCATGTTTTCAGCCTGCACGATACATTGAAGCATGTGGGATGATCCATTTGGGGAATTAATGTGGGCGGGCGATACTGAAGGGTGAGCTGCTGCTGCGTTGGAGGCAGGAAGGCACGGAGGCAGGAACGGAGGCAGGAAGGGAGGAAGGGAGGAAGGGGGAAGGGGAACTTACCATGCTGAAGAATTAGAGTGTGGATAGGGAATGTTGGATCGGAGCTAATGTGCAGGAAAGCCGCGCTTTCACAGGGACAGAGAAAAGGTACACGGGTGTACGGGGGCGGAGGGAAGGGCAATTAGGAGGATCCAGGGGAGGGTGAGAACACCAAATAAATAATAAAATAGAATAGGTATAGAGCCAACTGCGAGTGGAGTGGAGTGGAGTCGGGTCGAGTCGAGTGGAAGAGAGTGGAGTGGAGTGGAGTGGAGTGGAGTGGAGTGGAGTGGTGTGGTGTGGAGTGGAGTGGAGTGTACTAGGAGGATTGGATTAGGGGATCAGGTGAGCGTTATGCGTTGGGATCAGGAACAAGCGCGGCGGAGGGGATACAAGAGGCGTATGGAGGTTTGGAGGGGGCGGATGAGCAGATGAGAATCGTTGAGAAGAAACAATGAGCGAGGGCGATGGAGTGGAGGGCGTTGGGCGAGAGCGAGATGAGGAAGAGCGGGATGGAGAGTGAGATGAGAAGGTGGTGCGAAGGTAAAAAAAAAAAAAAAAAAAAAAAAAAAGGATGATGAGAGGCAGAGAAGGAAGGAGAAAGGGAGAGAGAAAAAAAAAAAGAAGAATGAGAGGAGAAAATAGAATGGCGACACAAAGATAAGTGGGGGAGGCCATAAGCTACGATGTACTACGTGCCCCACTCTAAAAGAGAGCCATAGACTCAATTCGACTCCGCGCCTGTGCCTCCGCATGCCATGTGGCCGGGAAGGGTACGAGGAGGTGTTGGAGATAATGGGGACAATCCGACCTCTGTCTGTAGTCTTCTGCATCCAGCCAGTCTTCTCGGAACAGTTTCTTCTCCCAGATCTGGCGATTCGACTGAAAATGCAATCAACCGTGCTGCACCCTAGAGCTTCAGGTCGCTTTGTTTTTGTTTGTCTTTCCACTCCAGGTACCATTGACCGATACGTATTCAAAGAACAGGTACTGTATGTACAGGGACATGTACCCTACCATTCAAGTCTAGGGCAACAGGAACTACGGTGACAATACTGGGGAGTGTCTCGTTTCATTTACCTCGCAGCCATGCACTCCAACATCATTTTGGATCTCTTTTTTGGAAGACTTGACCTGGGACCCACTCATTTTTTTTCCTTCATCCTCGTCGCTCTCAGGCACGAACGCGCCTCGACGGCCAAATAGGAGGAGAAGGAGAGACGGGAAAGGGGTGCGTGCATCCCCTGGACCCAGTAATAATGATGATGATCTCCTCCCCCTAGGAGTCGTAGCCATAGCATGTCCTCTCATTCAATTGCAGTCGCTTGATACTGTAGACTAGTTACGCGTATATTCAGTTCTTTATCTCATGAAGAGGACAGGACAGCTACGACCCATCTCTTTTCATCTTTGAAAATACTCTCAAGGCTCAGATCCCGCCACTCTTTAAATTTTGTCCTCCCCCATGTTCATACATCTTGTTGGGTGCGGATGTTCTGATTCGGCTGAGATGGTCAAAAGGTAGCGCACATTACACTGACACTCAACAATTCATTTACCCGTGCAACGTGTGGCAGCATGCGGTAGACTAACATACGGCCTGTGGGAATCTCTACTTTGAACGTGCATCATACCTGTTGCTCCTGTCTTCAGCGTGGTCATCAAAAAGGAGAGGAGGACGCGGTGTCGCAGCATGGGAGTAACATGATGACCTTGCCAGGAGACAAGAATCACATAAACACAGCCCATGCTTTTCCCCTCTCTTTAGCGCGTCGTGTATGTATGTCCTCTACTATGTTTGCTAGACAAAGCCATGCAAGTGTCGCGTGGATGATTCACTCGGAAAGCGCGATCTCTTTCTTTACATGATGAAATGACCGACGCGCTTGGGCACACGTTCACCCATTTAGGACTTGTAGATGAAAGACTAATGGACTAATGTAGCCGACCACCATTGACTACAGCATAGACCTGATGGGTTTTTTTCTTTTTCTTTTTCTTTTTCTTTTTTTTTTTTTTTTTTTTACCCGGAATGGTACACTATAACAACGGAGATCAAGAATACCATCTCCATTTGTTTCTTTAGAAATAACAATGTCCTTCATTTCTATATACGTCTCCGTCTGTGTTAGCCTTGGTCAGTGGACAAGGAAACATGACATATCTTGAGTGCACCAAATGTCAATGTCAATAATGTACTTTATGCCTTGGTTTGTGCGACCCGACCACAAAAGATCCTGCTTGACCCTCGCTTGGATACGAAAAAAGAACCATCCTAGTGCGATAACGCGTGCATCCTAGGCGCGACCGATTTCTTTTTTATCGGACCAATCATGGCAACCGGATTGGATATGCGCACCTCAAATAATCCACCGTGCCTTCTCTTGCTCTTCTGGAAAAAAAGAAAAAAAAAGAGAGCGATGAGAACAGACCGTTTTTTGCTAAAGGGCGACAACGATGTAAACGTTACAATATGTCATCGAGCACGTTGGCCACAAGGTCGTTGACTGAAACACTTGCATTTCCTGGATTAACCAACATGTCTAACGCACATTCCTTGCTAAAATAAAACAAAGATGTGTACAAAACAAAGCGGATATCTTCCTGATCACCGTGAAGTATGCTCAGACGCAGAGATTCTGTGCATTTGCCTTTCCCCCCTCCCACCTGACGCTCCTGAAATTGACCCCATAGATCTCAACCGAGGGGAAGGAGGACAACAACAGGAGTTTTTTTTCTTTTTCTTCTAGTGTAAAAGGCGAACGTCCTGAGTATAGAACGACAAAACAATTATTCAATTTCACAATTGCGTTTATGGACCGAGATGCTGTGCATGTGGATTGTTTATAGCCCTTGGCTGCACTTTATTTTTCTTTTCTTATAATATACCCGAGCGTGGGCCACCAAAAAAAAAAAAAAACGAGGCATGCTACTTTGATTATGGTTCCCCCCCAAACAAAAAAAAAAAAAAAATCCAAGAAGGTTCAAGATCAAGCCATTAGCGGCAAGACGGCTACAGGCAATGCTTCCTTTTTTTCTTATTTGCAAAAAAACGAGTGGCAGATACTTGACCCAATGTCTCGGCCAGCGTGGTATGCATGCGGCTGCGATCGCATTTATTTTCTTTTTGTTTCTTTTTAAGACGCTTTGAACCGGTGAGATCGGTGGGATCGGCCAGTGACAGCGGTAGGTTGGGTATTTTATCCATTTCTGCTGACAAAGGAAACCCTTGCGGCCCACCATTTCTTTGAAGTAACTTGACTGATGAAGCAATTGAAACCAACCGAAGTAACTATTGTATGAATGAAACGAATGAAACGAATGGAAATGCAGTTTGTTCCAAAAAAATAAAAGAGCTGAGCCAATGTGTGCTATGTATGTAGTCCATGCAGTACAAAGAGCGGCACATGCCTAAGAAGGATTGTAAGGTATGGCATGGCAATTAGAGTAATCTCGCAGGAGGCACGCGTCCGGTCGGGACATGGTACGGGCCTAAGCCCTAAAAGAGGGAGTGTGCCGTGTGCATACGACGAAAGGACAGAAAGAGAGACAGAGGGAGGGCTGCTCACCATATTCGGAGTGGGCTGGCAGCACCATCTCGGTCCCAGAAGGTTTCGATCGGTAGGAGTTCTTCTTTATTCTTATGGCAGTAGTAGACTAGTCTAGTAAGGCTACTATGGCTTTGTTACATGTGAGAAGGGTGAGAGCATATTCGATTTGGATTACGGCTTACAGATTCGTTTTATCTCTATGTGGTGTAGAGAGAGCTGAGCTGGCTCCGGTTGACCTTACAAAAAGAGGACGCTTGGATCGACCGTCTTTTTGATCCACACAAACACCACCCACATTCTCATTCGCCGAATCAACCATCCTCCTCTCGTCTTGTCATCGGTCCTGTCCACATACCTGCATATCCACATATCCACCCGCTACCCCCACTGCACCTTCTTCACTTGCCGGCACCAACTCTCCTTCGTCCCCTGTCTCTGAAACAAACAAGGTATGAAGAACCTTATTATTTTATTGGTCAGCAAGTTGATCTGATCCCCTAGAGTACATACAGCACACAGTTCGAATGAACAGACGCCACACCACACCACAATGACAACACGGCTGAGGGAGGGGGAGGAAGGGAAGGAAGGAAAAGAAAAAAAGAAAGAAGAAGGGGGAGAGGGAGCGGGAAGCGTGTTGGTGGTGGTGTGGATGTCTGATGAATGCCGATGAAAGGGGGGGCTGGAGCGTCAAAGATGTATGATGGGGCAGGGACCAAACCCCAAAATAAGTTGCTGTGTGTTTTCCGCCGCACGATTCGCATATGATTCGATGCCTCGTCTCGTCCCTTGACCTGTCCGTGTATATGTTTTCCCCTCTCCAAACTACATCCAATCACATCGCCCTCTTTCTTTCCTTCTTTTCATCTTCATCCATCCCACTGACATCTCTCCTCCTCCTCTCTTTCTCTCTCTCTCTCTCTTTTTCTCTCCCTCCCTCCCGCTACTAGTCCTCATCCCTCCTAGACATGTCTATAGGTAAAACCATCAACCTCCGCCGACTCGCTCCTCTCTTCACTCTTTGGGCGAGCGAGTGAGCGTCTCAGCCGCGTTCTGTGTGCGTCTGTGTGCCTCCACAGCAAAAACAAGAGCTCAACATCTGTCACCCTGCAGTGTCTATGCAACCAACATCCATGGACCATGGTGCACCCACCCGCCCGAAACTCGACCTGCTAAACAAACTAAACCCGCTTCATTCTTTTGTTTTCGGACCCAATAGATCTATCCTGCACGCTCCTCACTCTGGCAGGAATTCCTTTATTCTACTTCCTTGTCCTCCCTAAGCTCCTCGCTGTCCTTCCACAAAAGATCCAATTCCTCGCAAAATGTATCGTCGTCTTGATCGCAACCCTCATCATGTCCGTTGCCGGATGCTTCATCTCGATCGCCTGTGCCGTTGTCGATAAGCGCCACATCATCAACTTTGTCGTCTCCAGATTCTTCTCCTACCTTGCCGCAGGACCCTGTGGGGTCACCTACAAGATCGTCGGAGAGGAGAACTTGGATAATTACCCCGCCATTGTTGTCTGCAATCACCAGTCTTCCATGGACATGATGGTCCTGGGCAGAGTCTTCCCCAAGCACTGTGTTGTCATGGCAAAGAAGGAACTCCTTTACTTTCCCTTCTTGGGCGTCTTCAGTAAGTTCACTGTTGTATATGTGTGTTATACTTAAGTTGGTTTTTTTGTGGTTGCGCGGACGGATCGTACGAGTCAGGGTCAGGACCAAGATTGTTTCGCTGGATCGTAGTGGCGATTAATTTACCGAGGATTCTTTGCATCCGAAACGATGCGACAAAAATGCAGGATGACCAGCAGGAACTTTGCGCATCAGTTAGAAAGGATCCTACCGACCTTTTTTATATTTTTATTTATATTTTTTTTTTGGGCGTGAAAGGCGGTCTTTTTTTTCATGGAAACCCCCTCGACGGATACCGACCGATGGAAAAAAATAAATAAAAAAAACGTGGAAGCAGCAGCAACCCAACTCTAGTGGACTGCCTCATAGAAATACGACATTTCTTTTTTTTTTTGCTAAGTAACATTATTCTCAACTCTATAGTGAAACTGAGCAATGCCATCTTCATTGACCGCAAGAACCATAAGAAGGCTATCGAGTCAACCACGCATGCTGTTGCAGACATGAAGAAGCACAACGTATGTATCAATGGACCTTGAGCACAATAACCCTCTTTTTGGCTGATGGGACGATCGATCCCTAGACTCCCTTGTATCTTTACTAATACCGGTCTTTTTTGGCATGGCACTATCCAAATACATAGTCTGGAATCTGGATCTTCCCTGAGGGAACACGCTCCCGTCTTGAAAGTGCCGATCTCCTGCCCTTCAAGAAGGGTGCCTTCCATCTTGCTATCCAGTCTCAGCACCCCATTCTTCCTATTGTCGCCCAGGGATACTCTCATATCTATGACTCTACTAAGCGCAGCTTCCCCGGCGGTGAACTCGAGATCCGTGTTCTGGAACTCATCCCCACCACAGGACTGACGACCGATGATGTGAACGACTTGATGGAGAGGACACGCAACGTGATGTTGAAGAACCTGAAGGAGATGGATCAGCGCGTCAAGCATACCAACGGCGAGATCGCACAGGAGCCCATGACGACAACCGCCAAGACTACGGCCACATCAGTAGGAGAGCTGCAGGATGAGTTGTCTGTGAAGAAGAGGAAGACCTTGAAGGACTAGACAAGGACAGGATTTCTCTGTGACAGCAATAACTCTCCCACCGCACAGTCAACACAAAAAAAAAAAAAAAAAAAAAAATCTTTATAGCCATTATAGCCATTGTATGGATGGTTACTTCATGGATTGAGGGTTGGGGGATCTTCTATGGAAACGCCATATCGTCCTTCCAGCGATCAGCTTTATACTCTCCCACGATGTTCAATGACATCGCACACCACGATCTCTTTTATTGATTTTTATTTATTCCGCTTCTTTTTTTTTTTTTTAACATATGCGCCTAACATACAATAATTGTTTTTTATTTTCATAAAGATCTCTCCGTGGCGCAAAGGAAGCCCGACAGAGGAAAAAAAAAAAAAAAGAAAAAGAAAGTGATGCACATGTGGACACCGATCATGACGGCGCGGGGAACCCATTTGGATACGATCGCCCTTTGTTCTTTCTTTTTACCAGCAAGAAAAATATCACATGAAAATTTATTTATTCGCAAAAGAGGGTTCACCATGCAATTTTGAAATCGTCCGTTTTTCTTTTTTTTTTTTACAACTTGGAGGTACCATAGGCCTCATGAGCAGTGAAGCCCTTGGTCTCGAGCAGATTGTGCTCCATGAGCTCGCCCTTGTTATCGATCTCATTGTAGATCTCCCAGCCACCAGCTCCGCCAGCAATGGGCGCAAAAATCAGGCGCTCATCAACACCCAGGATATCGCTGATCGCCAACGAGTTAGTGCCGACAATAGCAACAACTTCGCGCACATGCTGAGGCACCTTGAGAGCAGTCTGCTGTGAGACCAGGCCGCGGGTCATGTACCAGGCAAGGTAAGTATCGACCATGCTCAGACCCCACAGGCGCAACAAAGTCTCCAAGATCGCCCTATTCAGAGGAGTACAATAATAAAATGAAAAATGTCAGGAACTGGATCTGATCCGTGTGAACATGCGAGGACATGAAAAAACTAGATGCAACTTACTTGGCGCCACCGGAGACGGTCTCGATGACCTTGAGCGTCTGCTCGAAGCAGATGCGCTCACCGTATGCCTTGGCAGCAGCCTGGATTGTGTCAGATTCCTCGCCCATCCAGACCTCGAACAATTGCTTGCCCTTGTTCATCTTGGCCTGCATAGCAGTTGCGAGCTATATAAACAAAGAGGGAGAAAAAAAATGAGTACTTCTGCGGCGAGAAGCTGTCGTGCCTAAAATCCGACTAAAGCTCTTACCTCCTTGAAGAGTCCGGCCTCACGGAGCTGGAAAAGCTTATAAAGGGTCTCCAAAGACGTAATGTCCCAGTTGGAGGCATCCTTAGGGTTGGGCAAGTGCTTGAGATCCAGCTGGCCCTTCTGGAGAAGAGTAACGATCTCCTTCGCGACCTTCTGCATCAACACACTGTTGTCTCCCTCGGCAGTCATACCGGCATGAGAGAATGCAATGAACTGACCGAAGCGGTTAACGGAGAGGTAGCCCTGGCCACCGCAACGTTCACGGCAGGTCGTGGCAACACGCTCGTTATTCCAGGTCACCAGGGGCTTGATGACACAGCAAAGGCGGACAACCTCATCGGCATCAGAGGGGTTCTGCTTCAATGAGGCGGCAGCCCAGCGCTCCTTGCAGTAGTTCAACCCAATGTTCAAACAGACAGTCTGGGCAAACAACGGGAGCAGAGCTTTCTGCTGCAATTGGTAGACCATGATAGGGGTATCACTATGATGGGTCGAATGGAAAAAAAAAAAAAAAAAAAAAAAAAAAAGGGTGTCAGAACAGACGGCGAGGAGTACTCTGTTGCTACACAACTGCACATTGGATTCTTTTCTCGAGAAAGCAACCTCACCTCTTGCCCTTGGGTCCGACACAGAGACGGCTGTTAGCATAGCGGAAAGCAATGGCCAAGCAGACCTTGGAGCCACCCTGGCAAAGGGATGCGATGGCAAGACGTCCGGACAGCAGCTGATCAGCGACCTTGAGGAAGCGGCTAGCAAAAAGATATAGTATACGAGTATTAGCATCACTTGAAAATCTCACATATTCTCAGCAAAGATACAAATAGATGCCGTCTTACCCACGGCGATTGTTGATCGAGGACGAGAACTTTCCGTCGCGCGAAATGTCAGAGTACTTGTTCAAGATGTTTTGGGCAGGGACACGGACGTGGTCAAAGAACAGCTTGCCGTTGTCAACACCGTTGCAGCCAAACTTGACGCCCATGTCCTCGATGCGCACACCCTTGGAAGGAGTCATGTCCTCTTCACGGATGCGGACAAGGATGGCGTGGATACCTTCGTCCTTGCCACCAACAAAGGTCTGAGCAAAGACAATGCACCACTTGGCGTGGACAGCAGACTATTGAACGCGAACACGGGCACGAGAACTTCTTGTTAGGGGACAAAAGCACTCCAAGCAGATCGATGACATGCATAGATGCCAATCAGAGACATGACTTTACGTTGGTGATCCAGTACTTCTGGGCCTTGACGGTGGGTGTATGGATCTCCCACTCGTGGGTCTCGGGAAGCTAACCAGGGGGCAGGCAGAAGTAATGAGTTAGGGGCTGGCTGTCTCCCAAAAGAACCGAATCTAGGCTCCCGCCATATACCGTCATTTTCACGGAGGCTCCCAGTCTTTTTTTCCCCCTTCACCGTGGGCACTCGTATCAGGTGTTACACATGTAATTAGCAGCAGTGCGCAAGAAAGGGTAACTTACATAATAAGCAGTGGTCTCCATCTCAACAGCGTTGTTACCATAGCCCAACTCGGTCAGACCAAAGCATCCGATCGCGCTCATATCGTCGATCTTGGGCAGGAGGTTACGGTGTCTCTCAGTTCCGAGCTTGATCACCGTACCACCGAACAGGTTCCACTGGACAGTCATCTATGTGGACGTTGAGTCGAGCGATGCAAGATAGTCAGTCGATTGTGAACGAGACAGAAGGATCGGGATGACTACCATGTCATTCGGATACGAAAGAGGGGGACTGGGGCCTTACCTTGGTGCCCATGCTTCCGTCGATCATGCCAGCAATCTCGTGAGCGGAAAAGACACGGAGGGGATTCTTCTCAAAGTCCATGACGGAGATGTAGCCCGCGTGGGCGAGACGGCGGAGACGCTGGAGGGCGAGCTCGCGCTTGGCCTCGAGGGAGATGTCGTAGCGGGGGATGTAGATGGGGTCCTTGGCGACAAAGTCGAGCATCTCGCGACGGTGCTCGTGGTTGTCGTTGGCGAGGATACGGGCGACCTTGCCGATGTCGGCAGGGGTGAAGTTGATACCGGCCATGGCTTTGTTGTTTAGGGGCGAGAGGGAGGGAAGGGGTTGGAGGGAAGGAAGAGAAGGGGGGATGAGGAATGAGCAGAAGATGGAGGCGAGAAGGACGAGGATGAGGACCAAGAAAAGGAAACGGATAGAGATGCGACTGTGGGAAATGTGCGCGTGGAGTGAGGGTGTGAGTGCTTCTTCTCCACACCCTCAGGCGCACAAGTGAAGCCAGTCGCATCTCTGTCACATGCGAGGACGCTGCACTCCTTCTCCTTTCGTTTCTGAGGAACCAAAAGAAAAGAAAGAAAAGGCGCACCTCATGTACATGTACGCTCGCCGATGTATCCGCCTCGCCCCGGGGCCCAGTGTGTCCTCAGTCCCATCCCGCCTGCAGTCGACCGATCGATCCTTATCTCCCTGTTGATCGTGCACATCTTTGTGGCCTGACATGGTCCCTGGATCTGCAGATAGTCTCCGCTGGATGGTCTCAGCTGTAGGTCGGGGGGGCATGTGAAGAGGCAGATGAAGAAGAAGAAGAAGGTGAAGCAAGCAGAGGGCTGAATTGTTTCCCCGTGCAAGCGCGTTGCATCCAAGTAGTTCTTTCCTTCCCCCCTACCCCTCTGGTGCATGTCTTCCTGCGTCCCGTTGATCCCTTTCCTCCAGCAGCAGCAGAAGCAGCAGCAGCAGGTGGCTCGAATTAAGGTTGGTGTCCATTGTCCCTCAGACCCTATTTGAGCTCCGTGCGGACCAGATTTGGGAACGGCCTTTTTCTTTCTCCTTTCAGATCTTTCATGTATGAAGTCACTGCTAGACGGGTTGGGGGCGCATCCAGCGGGACATATCCATCCATCTATCCATCCATCCGCTGTATGGGACCAGGAGTGACCATTCAGACCCATTCAACATGGTCTCCAGCATCCTCAACTGCATTCATCACCAGGAGAGGGAGAGATCAATTGCTCGAGATTATATGCTTGGACTAGACTGCATTCAGGATCAACCTGACCTAACCAGGATGGACCGCGAGAAACGACTTTCCCTCCAGTCTGTTTGCTGAATCTCTTCAGGACTAAAGAGGAGGGGCAAACTAGTTCACGCAGAGACTAATCCAGCATCGCTCGTTCGTCACAAACCCCTTTTCGCCCACAGCATGCCACCAAAGCTGGACCCCAACGAGATCAAGATCATCTACCTCCGTGCCACCGGAGGAGAGGTCGGAGCTTCCTCTGCTCTTGCCCCCAAGATCGGTCCTCTCGGTCTCTCGCCCAAGAAGGTCGGTGAAGATATCGCCAAGGCCACCCAGGACTGGAAGGGTCTCCGTGTCACCGTCCAGTTGACCATCCAGAACCGTCAGGCTGCCGTCTCGGTCGTCCCCTCGGCCTCTTCCTTGGTCATCAAGGCCCTCAAGGAGGCTCCCCGTGACCGTAAGAAGGAGAAGAACATCAAGCACAACGGTAACATCTCCCTCGATGATGTTATCGAGATTGCCCGCATCATGCGCTCCAAGTCCATGGCCCGCGAGCTCTCCGGTACCGTCAAGGAGATCCTCGGAACTGCCTTCTCGGTCGGATGCACTGTTGACGGCCAGTCCCCCAAGGATCTCGGCGATGCCATCGATGCCGGTGAGGTTGAGATCCCTGTAAGTCACTCTTCTCTTTATTAATCCTGATGGAGATGATCTCTCCACTGATGGTCATCGTCGCGTCTATGCTTCTGTTGTTCTTTGTTCTACTTTCTAACATTACGGGCCTTACTTCTATATCATTTTCTAGGAGGCTTAAATAGCTTGTATTATAAGTACTTGTAATGCAACATCGCTATAAACCTTGGTTCCAAGGCTCGAATAATTCTTTTTGTGTATTGTGTTTTGGCGCAGCGTTCAAATCATGAGTGAATAACATCATGGAAAAAACGGAGGGAGGCCTTTTCTCAGGACGGGTGGGGGGGGGGGGGGGGGACGCAGAAAAAGGATAGTTTTCAGGAATGGAATCAACAAGGAGGAAAAAAAAGAAAAAGACGTATTAAACTGCGTTAGGACTATATATCGCGGAGTGAACATGTGTAAGCAACAAACCGCTGCAAGAAAAAAAAAAAGAAGGAAGAGATAAAGATACCAATGGCAATATAACTGAACGTAACTGAACGGGCCTTGTCAAGTCCCTGTGTACGCAAATGAGCCATTGTGAAAGATATGGGAGGCCGAGGGCGAAGTCTTTTCTTGAATTTATGTTATGCGGCGTCAGTTTCGCTGCTTTAGGCTCAAATGCTGAATGGATAAGCAGATCACGAATCAATCTATTGAAATCAAAAGAGTCATTGACAAAAACCAATGTCCAAATGTCGAAAGCGCCATTTGGTGTGCTCCACTCCCCCAGATAAGCTGATTCCGTTCTAGCGCGCAAGTCATTGATGATGTCTAAAGAAGGCGGTATATTCATAAAAGAGACACTGAGCAAGGAAGACAAGTCGGCGACACGCTGGTGAAAGAAGATGAAGACTGGAGTTGTAGACAGGTCAAAGGCAACCTTGTGCATCGCATGGATAGAGCAACGCATGAGGAGCATGTCCCTTCTTATCGTCTGCTGGTTCATGAATGGATCCGATTCTGAAGGTCGTGTGTCAAATTTTTATTGAAGTCGCCGACAGGTCTAGTTCGCAACTAGGGTTGGCACAAGACTGTCTACTTGCCCTTGGTCCCAAGTATGCTTCCTGTTGCTTCAGCTTCAGTCTGTCGATGTGACCTTCCTGGAGCTGCAATGCCATATCTGACATGTTTGTTCCTCCATATAGACCTCTCGACGACTCCCCAGTGATATTGACTGAATAACGCCTGATCCTGCATTGTACAGCGTTTTCTTCAGGATTAGGACCCTGTTGGCGTAGTCCGCGTCATGTCGATGTCCATTCCGCCTCGGGTTAAGCCATGCCTCCAGCTGTATGCTGTATGCCGTGTACGTGAATTACCCTTGAAATCGGATCGACAGAAACCGTGGGCGTCGAGAAGCAGACCAGGCTGGCGCCCCGCATTTTACACTTCACATTTGAGGAAAACCTCCGAATATAAATAAAGAGGCCAGACCATTCTTTATTTTCAGTTTGTTTCGTCCTCATTCATCGCCATCGCCATCTTCTGCCAACAACAATAAAAACGAACAATCCATCCTTACCTCGACAACTCCATCGCACACACACATACACACGAGCCTGAACCTCCTTACAAACATGACCTCGACAATGTCTTCCTCCCATTTGCACCCTGGATCTGATGTCACCCCCGCCAAATCCAACAACGAACCCGCACCCATTCCTGTGCCAGCCTCCCTGGACGAACTCGTCGCACTCTTGCACGCCGAGCTCGGCTCCAACGGTCTGGACAGCGAGCATGTCGACGTTGACCGGGTCAAGAAACTGATGTCGAATTACGTCTCCAACAAGGGCGATTGGCAAAAGTATGCCCTCTTTGACAAGAACCGGTACACTCGCAACCTCGTCGATGACGGCAACGGTAATTTCAACCTTATGATCCTTGCCTGGCCCGAGAATGTTGGAAGGTAAACCACCCCCCTCCCCAATTCCATGCTCCTATGTGAAAAAATACGGCCATCCTCCATTTGGTCTCGCTGCTCACATCACTCTTCCTTGCATGGTTTGCTACTTTCATCGGTGTTGATAGTGCGATCCACGACCACTCTGGTGCCCACTGCATTATGAAAATCCTCGACGGCGAATTGCAAGAAACCCTCTATGACTGGCCCGACAAGGTCATTACCGAGTCCGACCACTCCGATTCCGGTGTCGGTAGCGACCACAGCGACAATGAAGAACAGTCCAAGCCCATGAAAATCACTCGCGAAACGATCCTGCACCGGGATGAATGTGCCTACATGTCCGACCAGCTGGGCCTTCACCGAGTATCGAATCCGCTCAAGGGCCAGGGCTCGCTCTCACTACACCTGTATACGCCTCCTTACGAAACCTGCAAGACCTTCAATGAACGGTCTTCAAAGGCAAGATCGTCGGGCAAATGTGTGTTTTACTCCACCAGGGGTGAAAAGTTGGAGAGCTGTCCTTCAAAGGCATATCTGGAGTGCCCCCTTACGATTGATGACCAGTGAATCGGATCCTGAGCCCCGTTACGTACTCGGTCCCGAGTTCGCCTTATGTCTGTTATTATTTTTCCGTGTATATCATGCCTTGTCGTTCGTATTAGCGCCCCATAGTTATTCCTGCCCTTCATGTACGCCTTTCAATAGTAATTGAAACTGAATAAACACTTTGTACATATCAAAAAAAATAACTGACTCTGGTCCCCGTTGGATATTCCCCGCCCGCATGAGTCAGTGAGGAAAAAAAAGGTGAAGTGTACGTATCAGTGACGAAGCGAATATATACGTGGTGGGATATAATGAGAATTAGGCGCGGAAATAAATGCTGCAGAAGAAGAGGGAGAGTATGGCAACGATAGAACGAGCGCAAGGGGAAAAGAAACGCCCACTGGATGTAGAAAGTCCTGAATGGCTGCCTGTGTGAGTGCCAAGGCTCCTGTTAGGTCCTGTTAAGTCCTGCTAGGCAAAGTGAACAACGTTGTGATGTTGAGAATGTGAACAGGCGGCGGTAGCAGGTGTAGGCCGCACACACCGTGCGGTTCAAGTGCAGCAAAAAGGAACAAAAGTCGGCCGAGCACAATAGCAGAGTGCAAGGGAGGAGAGAGGATAAGGAGGTAAATGTAAGGCAGAGAGGAATGGGATGTAGTTGGGAGAAGAGGGCATAAAAGAGATCAGCAGCAGTGCCTTTTTTCAACAGATATATCCTGTTCATGGTCGATGGCGTGCTCGACTTCCCCAATCCAGCCAATCACCATGCGGGGCTGGTCTACTTGCTCCCCACCGCAATGGGACTGCTATTTCCCACGTTCGCATGAGATTTCGCTCTTTTTTGGTCAAGAGAGAGAGAGACAGAGTGCGTCTCGTGAGAGACCCTGGTGTTACTGTGCGTCGTTCGTTTCATGAATTGACATTATTGACATTGGAAAAGAGGACAAGCGCCAACGCTGGCTGATTCGAGCTGTGGCTGATGGGTGTGTGATGCGATATGCTGCTGCGGCTGCCGAAGGAGAGACCTCGAGACGCTTTTTCCAAATGCATACTATCCGTGGAGAAACAGCAGAAACATGAACGTCCTTCTCAGGGGAACAAAGAAGAGCACGTTGACCATGCGCGATGCATGAACCACAGAAATAAAAAGAGCTCACCTTTTATTTTACTACAGTAGACTACTAGTCTACGTGCATACGCGAGTGAGGATATGGACGCCTGCCTTCTACACACAGGGCAAACAAAACGGAAGAAAGATAATACCGCGGCAAAATCTTTCATTCTCTCTTTCTTTCTCTCACTTTCCCTCCCTCCTCATACTTTTTTCTCCCCGCCATTCTTTCCTCCCCCCTCCCTCCAACCGCCCAGCCCAACAAACACCAACACCATGTCCACCCCTGTACAGCGCGACGAAGAATCCCGCGGCCTCTTGCACGGCCAACAGGTTTCTCACACTGAAGCCAACGACACCTTCTACGGCCGCACCTTTGGCCATGTCAACACCCACCGCAAGCGTTACTTTGCACTCTGGCTCCTCGCCGCCACCGTCGCGATTTCCACGGTCCTGGGCCTGCATTACTATCATAAGCAGAAACACGAGGGCGGACACCATGATGATCCTGAGGGCGAGTCGAATTTGATTGCAGGCCTCTTGACGGGTGTCGTCGCGGCTGCGAGACCAAAGGCCCCCGTCTGTGAGTCGGATCGGTCCTATCCGATTGCCATCCTGTTGTCGATTTTCTTTGGATATATCGCGTAAGTTCCTCTTTCGAAACTCATTGGCCCATTGGACATTGAACAAAAGAGCAGGTGGTGTCCTGTTGCTTTGAGAACGAGGGGGGATGGCCTGAAAACTTGACTAACACCATGCTTTGTGGATACGATGATCTTTTTTTTTTTTTTTTTTTTTTTTTTTTGTTCAACCTTTCTAGAGTTGACCGCTTCTACCTCGGCTACATTGTCTCGTCCCTCATCAAGCTCGTTACTGGTAAGCAAAACTTGGTCCTCCCTGTTTTCACCTTTTTTTTTTTATTCCCGCACTCGTGCAGAAATTGAAAAGGAGCATGAATATTGTTACGGTGGGAAAAAAAAAAAAAAAAAACATTCGTCCCGGTCAGGGTCTTTCTTTTTTTTTTTTTTGCGCCATTTGAAGAGATCTCCGTCCAGCGGGATGGATAGGATGCCCCTTGCCATACCCAATACTAATATCACCCTCATTTTATCTTTCCTTCGCTCTAGCCGGTGGTTTCGGTATCTGGTACATCATCGACATTATCCTCATCATCATCGGAGGCCTTCCCGACCACAACGGATGCCGTCTCACCGCTCCTTAAAACGGACACTGCAAGCAGTCATCAATATTCATCATTCGCGTGCACAACAAAGACCAGGAGGGGCGAGAGACAGATGGAGATCAGTCGTGTCTTGCGGCTGTTGTATTTCCCCTCTTCCAGCTCATTGTAAATAAATCATCATATGCACAAAGAGCCGCTGTTTCGTTTCTTTCTGGTAAATGATGTGCTTTGTTCTTCCATAGCGCCCGCGATCTTTATTCTTGGCAACGGATGGTGGCAGCCTTATAAGGTTACACGACGAAGTCTGTTGCGATGGTCTATTATTGTTCTTGTGCTACCCAAGAAACGCTGCTGATGTTGATATTACAAGTCGTCGTCAGAGTCCACCTCCATGACCTCAACCGAAGATTCTGTCGTCCGCTTGGACGATGAGTTATCTTGCCGACTTGAGTCACTGTCGCTATCGCTCGTCAGCAGTTGTGCAGGCACATAAATGTCCAAAGCTTCTCCAGACCGTTCGGCGCCCCTGACAGAGTCATCCTGTTCCATATCATCCTCTTCCTCAAGCACCTGTCTATTCAATGCTCTAGTCACCCAGTTCAGATCCAAACCCTTGAGACTGGTCGTTTGTCCATCTGAATTCCTCATCAACGACTGTACCACTCCCTTGGTGCTACTTCCGCTCTCCGCGACCTTCTTGTTCTTGTTCTTGTCCTGTACTGATGTAGTGACATCTGGCGATTGTTCATCTTCCGTCTCCAAAAGCGCCTTCTGTGTCGCGGGCAAGACCATCATCAGATTATCGATCAGCACCTGTCGCTTCTGACTCTTCGTTAACTCCGTCTCCGGACCCTTGGACTGCCCAGCACTCTCTCCGTTCTGACGGCTATTCCGCCGCTCGATGGCCTCGCGATGGAACTGCACTACATCCTCCTTTTCAAGTTCGATCGCGAGCAATTTGCGGTGCATACGAATCGCCTCAAGGTATCGAGAATGGTTGACGTAGTACATGATCAAGAATTCCTGTCCGACCTCACGCGTCAGTCCTGAGTGCTGGTCGCAGTACCGTATAAAAAGCTGTTCCTCCGCCTCATTCATTGTCAAAAGCGAGAGCGCCCGAATCGCCTTCCTGTTAGGTTTGTCTATTGTTTAAAGTAATTAAGCAAGAGTCAGTCCCCTGCATAGCGACACGCATGTACCTGAATTTCTTCACAAAAGAGAAGCGGGGCACGCACATACCTAAAAAGCAATGGTCAAGCAACCACTTGAACAGGCGCCCGCTCCTGTCGGCTGTGCTCAATCCCCTGTCCTTATCATCGCCATTCTTCTTGCTGGCATTCCGCGAGCGACTGGACGGAGCAACTGATCTTTGATAATAGAACGCCTCTGTGAAATCAGTCTCGAGCAGGATCTTCATCTTCAGTTCCAAGAACCGATCCGAAGACAGATCCAGGTTAGCGGCCAGAATGAACTGTCGTGCCAGGCTCGATGAGCCGTGTTTGAAAATCGCCTCAACCACGTCCTCGATCCAGTCTACTGTCAACCCTGGTCTTGAAAGATACAGCACCGCATTCTAAATCCATGAACAGGCAGACGATTAATCCATTGATATGCATCTCGGCATGCGTAACCAAATGGCGCAAACAAAAACAGGTCTTTTTATCGTACTTTGAATTCAAAGTGATCGAGTGCCCAGAAACCGTTCATGAGGTCAACAAATTTGGGAGGAATCATGAATTCCCTCAGGAACAGCTCCTTGGCATCACCGTGTTGATTCTTCAGAAGGTAATATGCTAAGCAGTTCCTGTTGTCTGTGTCGAGGTTGCCGTTGAAATAAATGTTGGTCCACAAGTTGCGCTGCTGAGCATGATTCCTCGGTGGATAAAGTGTGCCAGCTATTACAATGAACAACAACAAAAGAAAAAAAAAGAAAAGAAAGTCGGGTGAGTGGTGAATATCCTAGGTTGGCAACAAGAACAGTGTAACAGCGAGACTTCCGCAGCTTACCTTCCAGTTCGACAAACTCCAACAAGCGATCGTAGAATAGCTTTCCTCCCAATTTCTTGCGATGCTGCTCGATCTCCGCTAGCTCAGAGTCGGTATAGTTGAATTTGGCCTTTTCCTCAAAGAACGATCCGTAGACGGGTGCAAGTTCCCTGTGCATTAGCTCTTTTCCCTCAACTCCCTCAATCCACTCGGATTCCTTGCGGTTCCACTCAATATCGGCCGCATGAACATAATTGACGATTTTGCCGAGATAGAGTACCGTGAGCTCATATGAATTTGTCTGTGGACTGATATCCAAAAGCGTACCGCCTTCGATCGCCGTCATCTCCACGACATCCAGGTTCTGAACGTCCTTGTTACTGATTTGAACGGTTGTCAAGTTGGATCGCAATGGCGCATGGTCGACCTGGATGGAGAATGCGCAGTGAATGCGAAGTCCATTTTCGTCTTCAGAGATTGTTGCTGCCAAGGTCTTGCCGCCTGTCGCAGCCTCGCCCTCCAGCATGGGTGGCTGAACATAGCCCAGAAGCCGGTAATCGGACCGCTGAGGGCGAAGGTAGTAGATAGAGATTGTTGGACACTCGCCGTATTCCTTCATGCCCGGTGAGTAGCCCTGACCGACTGCCAAAAGATCCAGTGTCTCATCCTTTGTGTGCTCGAGTGTGATGCTGGTGATGGGCAATGTTTTCGATTTAAGATCCTCAAGAGCCATGAGTACATGAAGTTTCTTACTCTCATGTGCGCCGTCGTACTTTATGACAAAGACCTTGGCCTCCGACGTTCCTGCCACGATGACGGGTATGGATCCTGCACTTTTGTTGGACAGTGTGGCGAATGATGTGATCTAGACCGTGATGGGCATTGGAGTCTTTCCTCGTTAGCATAATTGCATTGTTGACTTGGTCCAAAACTGGGTAGCTCTTTGTAAAATAAGAAAATGCCCTTACCGATCCCTTGTTAAGTGAAATCTCATGTTCGGGTTCCTATTCAGCGACAAGTGCAGCAAGCATTAGGTATCAGGTAAGCAAAAGCTCAGCGGTAGAGAGAAAAAAAGAGGCAGAGATTCTCAACGGCTTCAAGATTGCTTCTGGACTTGCCTTCGAACAGTTCACTTGCCCTGCTTGCGAGACGGTAAATTTATAGATGGTAACCCAGCCGTCTCGATGTCCCAGGACCAAAAGCTGCCTCCGGTTTTCCTGAAGACGCACTCTGCTTTGTAAGTCCTCACCTTCCTCGTGTTCCTGCTCGTTCTCTTCTTCTTCCTCATCGATGTTGATTGATGATGAGGTTGTGTCGCCAGAGTTGTTTCTCTGCAGGAAGGAGGAAGATGATGACGAGCGCGAAGACCAAGAGCCGGATGAGATTAGTGGCCGATTCGAGGGGTGCGATGCGAAGAGAGGACGTGAAGGAGTCTTTCCCCAAGACTTTATCAAACGATGGCTCACCGTGATTGCTTGCTGGGCCGTCACTGTTGCAGCGGTCAGGAGCCGTGGCGCAGAGATGAGTAGTTGGAGGCGGAGTGATAACAAATTCCAGATGAAGACGTGATCCCGGTCCTCTTGCATCTCCCGCACGACAATGACAAGCGCGTGAAACTCGGCTACATATGCATCCTGAACATTCACGATAGCGATCTAGTGGCAACAGCAACAGCAACAAAGAAATAAAATAAATACAGAGATTAGAGACCATGCAGTGTGTGATTTGAACGCGTCAATGTCTGATAAGGACGACAGAGCATTCTTACTTCGCTGCTCTTGAATAGATCCCTGAAGCGCAGTTTAATATCTATGGTGGATAATGCACCAAAGACCTTGTCCTGGCAGGTGAAGATGTCGCGGACCTCGATGAAGGTCGAGTCGAATCGATAGAACCACAGGGCATCTGCAGCCTTGACCCCGACGAATGCAGCTCCGTGGAAGTCGTCTGGGTAGAACTCATGTGCGACGGGTCTGAATTCGGTGACAAGGGTCATGGTTGTAGCAGACACGTCGCTCGGAGAGGTGAGAGTATTAGAGGAAGGAAGGAGGGAAGGTGGGAAGGAGGAAAGGGGCGATGTGGGAAGAGGGATCACGATCAAGCCAGCAAGGGCAAGAGACAAGCCACATACGAACGAGCTTTGCTTGATCGCATTCAATTGCGCTTTTGGATGCGTTTCAAACCTATATATCACGGTGCTTGAAGACCGCCCTAGGAAAGGTGGCCGTGGCAAGATGACAACGGTGCCTTACATGGAATCCATGGGATTCATCAGATAGCCGCAGGAGGGTGAAGTAGCAGCGGTAGTTCCTCTCCTTCCCTCCCCGTTATCCTCTCCACATTCCTCTCTCTCTCTCTCTTGTCTCCATCCATGCTTGTCGCGTGTTGATGGATGGATTGGTCCAGTTGGTAAAGAACCATTTCAACTATCCAATTGAATTCAAGGACCTTATTTCCCCGCATCCGTCTTCTCTTTCTTGCACACATCAACCAATGCACACCTCTCCTCCCCTTTAGCTCATTCCCTTGCTTCCTTTTTTTTTTATTCTTCTTTCCTTTACTCATTCCTTCTCACCTCATTGTCTTCAACTTCTTCATCCTCTTTTTCTTGATAGCACTGTTTAACTGTCCACTCTCACCTACTCTTCTATCATCACTATCGCCACTATCGACACATTCACCCTGTCCTCTTTCCTTCTGTCTTCTCGCTCGATTGTAGTTTTGTAGCTGTCGCTTATGAGTACCAACCTACCCCCTATCGTTATTGCCGGAGGAGGAGGAGTGGGAGTAGGAGGAGAGAGTCTTGGGTCATTGGCCTCCCCGCTCCTCGTCTCCTCGACCACCCACCATGCCCACAACCGACACCTCCACCACAGCAACAATTCCTCTTCTGCAACAACACCTGGCCACAACGCTTCTTCACCTACTTCAACAGGACTCGGATCAATACCCATACGACTCATCCAATACGGTCTCTCGGTCCTTATGCGGATCAGGGCCATGTTGCCGGCCATCCTTCGTCCTTGGTTCTGGGTTGGACTCTGGCTAGTCTTTCTGATCGTCAGTATTGCTATCTTTGCAGGATTCCATACGCGAATCTTTGAGATGTTGGAAACCATGGCCACCTTCATCAAGGGTCTCGGACAAGCGTAAGTCGTCCAACTTGAATTTTTTTTTTATGAGCTGTGTGGCGTGGACCCTGAAAGTTGCCTGGACAAATTCGCCGTTGGCTGCTCAGTCTCCTCACTCAATTGATCTCCTTTTCTTTTTTTGTTGCTAGTGGTCCTCTCATCATCATGCTCGGTCTTTTTTTGACTTCATTTCCTCCCTTAGTCGGATACTCGTCCCTGGTAACCATGTCAGGTATATACGAACATGTAGTGGCGGACCGAATAAAAATATAACTGTTCAGGGAATAGCACCACAGCCCGATTGACGCCCAAAACCGAACTTCATCGACTCATTGGTTGCCACGTCTTCGACTTCTCCGTCTTCGCACTCCGATTCTTCGTTCATTTGACCATCATCTCACGCAACTCACATATTTCTAACAAACTCAACCGATTGTAGGGTACGTGTATGGATTCTGGTTTGGGCTGTTGATCGCATACAGCTCGGCCCTGTTGGGATCCATCACATGCTTCTACCTATGTCGTAAATGGTTCAAGGTCCAAGTCAGGGCCCTCATGGCCAAGAAGCAGAGCATGAAGTCTGTCGTCAAGGCTGTCGAGAAGCGGGGATTCAAGGTAGGATATACAATACAACTTTTTTTTTTTTTTTTTTTTTTCTCTGCATGCCTGCGTGTATGATCCGAATGCAAGTTAGATATTTGGCTATGCTAACCTTATTTCACATTCGTCATGGACGTGGACACTTGTAGCTGATGCTATTGATCCGTCTGGCGCCCTATCCTTTCAACGTCATGAACGCCCTCCTCTCCGCAACCCACATACCGCTCTCGACCTTTGCCATCGCCACTGCGATCTCGCTCACGAAACTCGCCCTTCATGTCTACATCGGATCCACGCTCTCATCCCTCGCCATCCTTCCGCCTCCACCCACCGACACCAACGGTCCCAATAACGACGACGGCAGCACGCCCTTGCCCACGGACGACGCGAACTCACATGGCAGGAACCTTAAGATCGTTGTCATGGCCATCAGTATGGTTCTTGGAATAGCTGTCGGAGCCTATGTCTGGATCGTTGCCAAGCGTGAAATCGAAGCCAGTGAGGGCGTACGCATCGAACGACGCAGGAAGAGAAGAGAGAGCTTGAGACAGAGTCGAGGATCGAAACGCTCTTCCTCTGGAGGGGTCGCAGCTGGTCGTGGATCAGGAAGGGTGTCCAATGTGGCGGTGGCTAGTAATAGCAGCTATCTCCTGGCAAGGGGAGGATCATCTGAAAGGTTCGATCTGCTGGGTCAAGACAACAGCGATGCCGGTGTCTCAGTCGTGGATCTGCCATTAGGAAGTGGGTCAGGATCGGATTTCGTGGGCGATGCGTTTGTTAACCATGAATACCTGGACGACGATGAAACAGGACAGGAAGATCAGGCCCTTGTTGGCGGAAACGGGGCACAAATGCATAACCGCCGGCACTCGTTGTCAGGGACAGCAGCCATGGCGGGTCGAATTGATTATTGTAGCGACTCTGAAGAGTCCGATTTTTTGGACGATGAGGATGAGGATATGAGCGATATGGAGCGTGGAGTCGGCGATGGCGGCGAGTCCTTTCAACTTCATGCCACAGGGATGGATATCAGGAGTCCGCAGCCATCACCCTCGCATCCTCTACGGAACTCACGGGGGACTGGGCAAGAGAGCATGGGCTGGTTTGCAGAGAATGGTATCGACATTAGCGATGGAAGGTGATGAACAGACCCTGCCTTAGCTATCCAACCAGTGCCATAAACCTCCAGTACGAGATCTACACAGGATAACGTTCTTGTTTTTGTTTGAATGGCGCAGAAAAAAAATATTACTGGAACTCATCCTTTGTATTTCAACCCCATTTACAATTATATTCTTTTGCTGTCGCTACAATTTTTATTGCGCTGGATCGCTGTGCTTTGTACTCTGTACCGAACTCATAACCATTCAAAAACAACAAGAAAAAAAAAAAAAAAAGGCTCGTTAAAATAAAGCCTCTGCCTCGGAGCCAAGGGCAGAACATCAAAAACATCTTGATACCGTACCTGCGGACGGCCTTTTCTTCCTGTTGTCTCTGCATCCTTGCGCTGTGGGCCGTCTGCCGAGCAGCCCTTTTGTCCTCTTGCGCCTGCATACGAGCTGCGTGAGCCGCCTGGCGTGCCGCCTTCTGCACTTGCTGGTCACGCATCTTGGCCTCGTGTGTGGCCTGATGCACCGCCCGCTGCTCTTCCTGCGCCTGAACCCTAGCTGCCTTTGTCGCTGCATGTTCCTGGAGCAGGAGCGCATGAAGTTTTTGGCGAATACGATGTCGCTCGCGGGCCGCAGTTTGATCTTGGTTCAATGGGGCAGTGTCAAAGTCGGAGTCAGTGGACGTTGAGGGTTGATGTTCTGGACTTGACATTGCTTGGGGAGAATGAGGGATGTGCTCGATGGTTGAGTGGGCGAAGAAGAGGAGAGACAGAATAGCGAAGATGGGAAGAAAGAGGGAGAGGGAGAAAGAGGGAGAGAAAGAAAGAGGGAAAGATTCCCGCGACGCTGGTCAAAATAACTAGATGAGAGCGGTTCGTGCAGAGTGTGCTGTGCTGGGTTGTACTGCTCACAAAGTCATAATTCTGGCCTTTTAGACCACCTTTTTTACTACTGGCACTACTCAAATATTTCCACGATAAAAAAATATAATTTATTTTGCATGGATTTTGTGCCAACGTCCACGAATACGAACACAAAAAGCATTGAGGAAATTTTTATCTTCCCTTGAATTGAGTCGAGCCACTACTATACCATCATGTCGAATTTGAGCTAAGCAGCAAATTATTGAAGTAATAAGCAACAGTTGCTACTACTAATCTCGAGCGGAAAAGTGATCACAGCCGCATACAATAAGTGCATGCGCAGGCACCATAAGCATTAAGCAAATAAAAACACTGCCTTCAATAAGATATACAATAATAGCAGCCTGCGACGATCCTAAGCCTTGGTTTAAAGTATGACTGGCAGCCTTTGCCTCTTTTAGGTCTCTCTCATTCGAAGCTTGTAAGCTTCATAATAAGCCTATTTCTTCATACCTTGTTTCTTCATTCAAGCCTCGTGGGCTTCGAAGCGGGCCACTCTCTCTCCCAATTGCTCCTCCGTGAGGACCTCCTATCCCTCTTACGAATCCCTCTCGCGAACCCTTCTTGCGAACGCGATATCAGGAAGAATAACGATGCAAATTAGTAAAGTCGCAAAAGACTTGGCCGTATCTTCAAAGAGAAAATCGATAAGCAGCGTGCGCTGATTTATAGAGACGTAGGAATTAAAAGTCTCTACATATCGAAGCAGTGTGTCGGATGAAAAAAATAAAAGGGTCATGAACTGAATAGGTAGTAATAGGAGCTTGAAGCATGAGCTTATTTTTATGCCTCTTCAATCTGTTGCCGTTCTGCGCAAAGATGATGGGGTGGACAAAGACTGCCGTATATGACTGATCAACTACCGCGAACCGTTGGATATCTCACCGATCCAACGGTGTGCTGTACTCTATCTGCTAGCATTTCCTACGATTGCTCATTATCACGCGTAAAAAATAAAAATAAAAACGACAATGCACATTTTATTTTCTAGTAGTGGGATTTGGATTTTATGGTCCGGATCTCGTTAAAATGTCCATTTGGTCTTATTTTCCCTTTTTTGGGTCACATTGTTTCATCCACCTTAATCATATCCACGGAATTGCTTGAACATCAGAAAGTCTATTTTAATATGAAAAGTGAACAAACAAATATAAAAAAGTATCTAGATTCAAACAAGATGAAATGCCTTTGCAAAAAAAGCTGAATCTTTCACGACCCATTTTCCTTAGTCCTTCTTGTCCTCGTCCTTCTTAGTGTCGTCCTTCTTGATATCTTCGTGGTGCAGCTTATCCTTCAGCTTATCAAACGTCGACTTAAAGAACCCTCCTGCCGAGTGGTGTGAATCATCCTTGTCGCTTGAACTTGACGACGACGATGATGATGTCGTTCCTGGATATGTCACCTCTGCAAACTTTTCCAAAATCTCGCGCTGAGTCTTGGAAAGCGTCTTTGGCAGCGATACCCTCATTGTCACGAACTGATCTCCCTTATCGCTCCTGTTCAGCCTCTGGATTCCGCGCTTCGCTAGTCGACTCACATCATTTGGCTGTGTTCCCGAGGGCACCTTCAGTTCCACATCGCCATCTACTGTCGGAATCTTGACTGTGCCTCCCAAGGCCGCCGTCGTAAATGGGATCGTCGTCTCCGTATATACATCGGCTCCCTGGCGCTTGAAGAGCGAAGAGGGCTTGACCCTCAGACGAACAAACACATCCCCTGACCTGCCCTCACCATGCACAGGTTTGTGACCCTTTCCACCCAACCGAATGCGAACACCCTCATCAGCGCCTATGCAATATCATCAATAAAAAGCAACAAAATGTAAGCCATATACTCGTATAACTCTTTGGATCATTTTCTTGTATTCGCCTGACATTCCACGCACCTGGAGGAACATGCACATCGACAGTCTCATGTACGCGTACACGGCCAACACCTCCACACGTATTGCACTCCTTGCCCTTGTGCAGCATAGTGCCTACACCGCCACAGGCCTGGCATGGTGCCGACATGTGGAATCCTTGGACTGAAATCTTTTGCTGGCCAGTTCCGTGGCACACTTTACAGGTATCGGGTGCCTTTCCGCTCTTTGTTCCGAATCCATGACAAGGTTCACATGTCCTGATAGGATCGATCATCACCTTCTTAGACGCTCCTTTGACAGCTTCCATAAAGTCGATCACCAGTGGCACCTAGTTCGCAGTATAAATTGGATAGCAGTTCGTTAATAATCGCTCAGCGAACAAATAGTACACAATATAGTTGAAAAAAAAAAAAAAAAAAAGAGAATCCTACCTCTAGATCTTCGCCGACGCTCGAGAATCCACTTGATCGACTACCGCGTGGTCCACCGAATCCCCCTCCGAAGAAATCGAAAACGTCTTCAAAGTTACCAAAGCCGCCAGCACCGCCGGAGAATCCACCGGGGAATCCACCGGGGAAACCTCCAGCTCCATGAGGCGAGTTGCCTAACAGAAAATGAATAGGAAGCAACATTGTAATATGTTGTCAGTAAATCGCATACAGCCAAGGCACATCTGCCAGCAGATCGAAACAAGAAATGTTGTCAATGAAAATACCGTTGAATCCTGCATGACCAAACTCATCGTACTGGGCCTTCTTTTGTTCGTCGGACAAGATCTCATATGCCTCCTGGATCTGAACAAACTTTTCACGGGCCGCAGGATCCTTGTTCGTGTCTGGGTGGTACTGCTTCGCAAGCTACTCAAGTGTCATCCATAAAGAGAGGTGGTTCACACGATCTGATCAACATTCACTGTTTTTACAAGACCCATGTTGGTTCAGATCCATAAAGTCGGTCGTAGTGGAAAGTTATTGATTACACACCTGATAGTAGGCCTTTTTGATCTCTGACTGAGATGCCGTCTTTTTCACCCCCAAAAGCGTGTAAGGGTCCTGTTGGCTGGCAGATGTCGGGGCTATGCGATCATAAGCACAATGCACAATCCATTATGAGTTGGTTTCGCTGCAAATGCTGACAAGGCATTCCAATTGATCCATGAAAGAATGAAAGATCTGCAGTACCTGAAGCATGAAAGCTCCGCTATCAAAATTCCCAGCAAGATCATGGATAAAAAAGAAAAGTCAGATCATTGTGCCCCTCGGATCAAAAATTGCTATCAGATCCATCAAAAATAACAAACGCGATAACAAAGGAGACGCACCTGTTGGCTGAGTATGGAGGGGGCAGATCCGATAGCACTGCCATGGCCTATGAAGCGATAATGCAACCAAGTGATATTAACAGATCTGATCATACAGGCAGAGTTGTTCATCTCCAACATCCTTGATCCGTTCGGAGTTATTAAAGACGATCCGTGAGAATAAAAAGTGGTGCCCAAAGATACCTTTGAGCGCACTACCGAGCTGGGCTGCATGGGTTCCGATCCTCTTGGGTCCGAGGACCGAGAAGGCTCTGGGAAGGCCCGGTACTGGCGCGGTGACACTGAACGAGGTCTTGACTGATTTAAAAGAGCATCGGGATCCGATGCGGAGGACAGTGGTGGCAGTCGACATTGCAATGGCGTTGACAGTAGTTCCAGTTATTTCCAGTTCGACTCGTTGTTTTCCAAGCAGGCAAAGGCAAACAGACAGCGTTGCAGGAAATTGTCGATCGAAGAAGAGAGCGAAGGGTTGCAATGGGGAAAACGGGCGGCTCTTTATTTCCTTTTTCTCCAGGGTTCCAGAAAAAAAAAGAGGTTGGGTTTTCTGTGGGCTACCTGTGGCTTGTCTTCGGAAATGGATCGCATTTCACTTTACGCGAGGCGGTCCATCCACTCAGACATTTCCAAATGCAAAGGTCGTGGGGTGACACCCAGTTGCTGTAGGCGAGGGTGTTCTCTTCTTTTCCTCACGTCTTTATTATATTCTTTTTTTTCGATCCAGCAGTTCTACTCTTCTTTTGAGTGTGCGATAACTGCAGCGGCTTCCTTGGCAGTCTTCCTCTTTTGCCGTTCTTCATACAAGGTGCGGTTGATCAAAATTCGTTGCACAATACTTCCAGTCGTCACCGGGTGAGGTGGACCTTCCAGCTGCACAAAGATGCCCCGTTCCTTAGCCACCTTATAGGGATCTTGACCGAGTAAGTTGTTCGAAGTAGGTGTGCTTCCGTGCATAACCACGTCCACGGGATAGTCTCCGTCCAGGATTTGGTCCGTGACAGCATACGGTGCACCTATCACGACATCATCGACATACTGTATGAAAGCGAGAAAGAAGTGGTTAGCATGAAAGGCATCAAGGACAAGTGCGTGGCATAATAATGATAATAATAATAATAATACAAGCTCGGGGTCCTACTCGACAGGAAAGGACACTCAGGACACGCTCATGCATGCTCAAAAGTGGATGATTGGGACCCTTGATCGCTCTGATGGTCTGATCATCATGTACGCCCACCACGAGATAATCTCCCGTAGCCCTAGCGCGCTTCAAAAACTCGATATGTCCAACATGGAATAGATCAAACGTTCCATCAACGTACACGATCCTGCTGCCCTTCTTTGGTTCCCTATTCCCGCTTGCGAACTGTACGATCTTTCTAGCCGTTGCCAGGACGTGACACGCATCTGCGTTCCTATCGCCGTCAACGCCGACATCTACATCGGAGTGGCATGTCCCGTCTTCAGGGACAACATTGTCGGGAGCATCCTGCTTCATGAGCAACATACGCGCGACTAGATCTGTGGTCGAGACACCTTTCGTGCGCTTGCACTCGCGATACCGTCCTACGTCCTTGACATGCTTATATGAATCCGAGCCATCTGCCAGTGTAGAGATGTCGTCTCCGTGGACACAAAAGTCGCAGTTATACTGGTCCATCCATTCGAGAGAGGTCAGATAGGGTGCATTAGGGACTACTTCGTCGACCCATTTGCAGGCCGCTGCAGTTGCAATTCTATTGTGAGGGTTTAGACAGGTTATTACATGCTACATGTACTACGTGTTTGGAGCGCCTTTTCTGACGCAATAATACCTCTCTTGCTCGTTCATGACAGGGGGTCCTTTGTGGAGTAGCAATTCTGCATCTGAATGAACGCCTGCGACGATACTGTCGCCCATGGCTTTGGCTTGGCGCAAGGCATTGTAGTGACCATAGTGCATTACATCAAAGCACCCGTCGACCCAGACTCTTACAGGCTTTCTTGGTGCATGATGGTCCACTAGATTATCTGCGGTTGCGGCTGTCATATTCTAGATACTTTATAGGCTTCGGTGAGTGGATGAAAATAAGGACTGGGGCGAGATGGGAAATGAGAAGGTGAATGAGGAAGGGAATGAGAAAGCAAATGAAGAAATGAATGAGGAGTTGAAAAAAAAGGACAGAGTAGGACAGCATGGTTATCCGGTTGACGCCTATCCCATTCGTGATGCAACAAGACCCTGGGCCAGTCTATGACGGTCTAAACCCTCTGTAACTACATCACTAGACTATCCGAAGCAAGAACATCGATCACAGTATCTCTCCTTCGGGCTTGGTTGCTTCTTCATTAGCTTTACTCTCTTCTTTTCCCTCAGGCGCGATATGAGACGCGTATTGTGAAAGCAACGTCCGAGTTGGTCAATGCGAGCACAGCAAAATAACTTATCGACATTCTGTTTCTACGAATTTCGCTCTATTTCTCACTCTATTTCTCGCTCTATTTCTCGCTCTCTATGCCATACGTACGTCGGACCTCATTCATCCTGCACCCCATACCTCCCCTTACTACTGCCTCTTCCATACCCAAGTCCTTCATACCCACCTCCACTCCCTCCAGTGCTCACACTTATCTGCATCACCCCAACCTCCAAATTCCTACCCGCCCGTGCCTTCCTCGCCTGCTCCTCCAATGCCTCCAGCCACCTCCTTACCCCGCCTTCCGCCCCCAACACCCTCCTCTCCACCCTTCCCGCCGCAGCCTCCCTCAAGCTCACCCCGCAACTCTTCAGGATCACCGCACACGGATTCTGTTCATTCGCCAGCTTCAAATGCCTAGTCACTGCATCCTGTCTCGCAAACCGGCCTAGGCACACAATACAACAATGCGCCTTCTCCGGCAAATGACCCTTCACATGTCGATCTCGATCATGGATTCTCGCGAACGTCTTTGGACATTGTGGACAGCCATGTGGACGACGGGTCTCGTGTGAGAGACCATGGGATTTAAGGTTGAAGGGCCGGGAGAACGTCCGGCGACAGTTTGGCATCTGGCAGACATACCGGGCTTTGGGTTTCTTGTTGTTATCGTTATCCCTGTTGTTGCCGGTGTCATCTGGGTAAATTTCACCTTGACGGTTGTCGCTATAGCTACTCCTGGTGCTAAAAATGTCGTCGTTTGTAGAACAAGGCATGCCGGGCAGGGAGTTGATGTGTATGCGCTGATCTGCGTATGCAAAATCCGATGATGATGGACACGAGGACGACAGCATCGTCGGGCTCGATGGAGGCGGCGAGGGCGAGACCGAGGCTGAGGATGGCGAAAAAAACGAAGACGAGAGCGACGATGATAATGACGGAGAGGAAGCGCTATCCAGTTTATGGTGGGATGAGATACCAAATGGAGCCGACAATGGGATATGGGCTTGATGCAGTTGCTGTTGGTTCTGATAGTGGTGGTGATGATATTCTGTCATCTCTGGTCCTTCAGTCAGGGAACGGACCTTGCAGATTGGAATCGTCTCGACGTTCGCTTCAAGACTCATGTTCACGTCTGTAGAGACGTCTTTTAGAGTCGGCGACGAGGAACCTGCGGAGGCAGGAAAATAACCACCATAGGAGCCGTGGTGCTGATGGCCGCGCTGAGAGCCATTCTGATGTGGCGAGACTAGCATCGTCATAGGGCTGCCCGGGGACGAGTTGCAGCTGATCATGACCTCGGGGCTCAACGAGAACGAGGGAACCTGGGTTACGAAAGCATCCATGCTCTGCGCTCTCCGTAAATTCAAATGCGGTGGCAAGTGGTATCCGGAGCGTTGGTGTAACGCGCTGTTAATCGTTTGATGATGGCCTAAAGTATTATCCGAATGTAGCGACGGATAGAACATACTCGCAGAGGATGCAGAGTGTGACGAAGTCGACGGCTGTTGATCCTCAACCAGGGCGCGCACACTACTCAGGACCTCATTCATCCCACTCAAGTACTGCTGCGCGTTTGAATGCTGCGGTGTCGAAGCCATTATCATCTCTGATACTTGTGGAGTGTTTCCAGAATGGTTACGCAGAGAATCTGCAAGAGCGACTGTGTGACGATGAGAGCGGGATGCAAGGGACGTATCGCGTGGCTGGACCTGCAGCAACTCGCGCTGTTGACTTGAATCCTCGATCAATTGAAAGGTATTACCGCCAGGGCATGATTCCATGGTCGAGGAGCCGTAAGAACAGGCAGAGTTGGTGCTATCATGAACCCCTGTCGTCGTGTAGCCCATACCTCGGATTTCTGCTGCAGGTATGATCTGGCTAGCTAGAGTGGTATTGTCCGTGGGATCGCTGTTGTTATCGCTGCAGTACTCAGCAGGGACCGGGGATGAGTGCGCCCAGGGATCCATAGCAGTCGTGTTGACATGAGTAGAGAATGTTGGAGACGAGTTAGGGAACTCTGAGTCTGATGAGAGACGAAAGTTGAATGCCGGGAAAGTGTGCGCCGGAGGGACAGAGTAAAGATGTGAAATGGACGGTATGGGGGTGGAAGGCGAGGTTGCGGTAGTAAGAGATGCGATACTGCGTGTAGAACTTGCAGTAAGGGACCAGTTCATTTCCATATCGATTTACGGGTTCTAATAGTGAAAGAGGCAGCGATAGCAGATATAGGATTCGCGACGCGTTTTGTGAAAAAGAGAAGTCGGAGTGTTCGGCTGTTGGTGTCTTATCTGACGCAAATCGAGTAAAAAAAGATGATGAGGCAATTGATAGACAGTTTTATAGCAAAGGCACCCCGAAGAGGAGGCTAGTAAAGCATTGCCGTCAAGATGCTGCCCTATAGTGCGTATGTGGTTGTTGATGTGCATCGATGGATGTTAACAATGAGAATAGCAGAGGACCCATTGCACCGGATAGCGAGCAATCGAGGGAGCAGACAGCGGACGAAATAGTCGAAACAATAGACGATAAAGGACGACGTGGAGGACTATTGTCCGAAACGGATGCAGGGGTATTTTTTCCGTGGAGAATCAAATTACGGAACATGTTGCACGGGCATATGGAATTATAGTCCACAGACCTGTGTAGCAGGCTCGAACAAGAAATTCGCCCTAAAAAAATATATACTAAAGAATTCATTTACATGCAAAGTCAGGCGAACAGACAACAGCGAGCTTTTTTCCTCGGGCCAACGGCAATAGCGGACAAAAACATCAACGACAACAGAAAGAGAGCAAGGTGTCACACGGGAATTTTATGATAGTTGCGTTCATTTATCGTGCTGTGAGGCTAGGACATGGCGAAGAAAGAAGGCAAAATAATCAAAAGAGCAAGAGGTTGTTCATATTCCATCCATTGTTTGATGGCCCTCTAGTTCGGGCAGATGGGAGTGCAAAACAAACATACAAACACCCAAACATCCAAACAAACAGAAGGGATGGAGATATAAGCGCGCGTAAAATTACCATCGTTAATTATAGACACTAGCAGGTGTAATAATAACAAACGACCATGGCCACGAGGAATGTGTAACCATGCATAGGTTGCATGTTTACAATACACACGCGCACAATGCAGTCGTAGACCAAGAGATGGAAAAGTCATGGCTAACGCTGTTCACCGCTCTTTTGCACCATCTCCATTTCCCAATGTTGGTTCTAGGGCCGTAAAAAGAAAAGTGGATCGGAGGTGGTCCCAGTTGATATCGAGGAGATCAATGGACCTTGAGCCTTGTTCTACAGAGCATTGTTGTCGAAGCTGCAGTCAGAAGGCGGTCCATTTGTATCTCTGCAAGGTTGCTTCTTGACTAGGCCGAGACGGAGGCTGGAAGGCAAGGCAAGGCTTTGCTCCCTCGTCTTCTTTTTCTCCGCTGCATGCACTTGTATTCCCTTCCTCAGATAATTCATGCGCTTCGCCTTTTACGAAGAAGAATCATCATTCATTGGTCTCCAGGCACCTAACGAAGTCCTCCAGCCCCGGATCGTCACCCACAGCCTCCCCGAGTCCCATTAAAAAAAGACCGCACGTCCTCTGCGCGATCTCTTCCAAGTCGAGAACATATTAATCGTTGCCACTCTAAACCGATCTGGGACCAAATAATGGAGTGTAAACGAGGCCCCAACAGGCCTGCATTTGCAGCATTTTTTATTTTTTGTTTTTTTACGCAATTCGCGTTGAATGATCTTTTTGAAACAAAAGCGGAGGTACTCCGAGGCCCTGCTACTCGAATTTTCTTTGTTTTGAAAGATCAGCTCCGCCTCGTGGTATCCGCCCGGTCTTGAGAATCGCAGCAGAAATTACTCAGTTCAAGCAGCAATATATTTATCCCTGCTTCAAAGGACCTTCTTCTAAACTGGATACTCCAGACTCTCACATCTTATTTTATTCTTATTCTTCTTACAACCACGCGTTCTATGGGTATCTCATCATCTCCATAAGTAAAAAAAAAAAAAAAAAAAATTGAAAAAAAGACGCGATCGGGGGAGGGAGGGGGGAAGATTTGACCGCCAAAGTTCAGATGGGAATGCCATAGCGTTTGCATTGCTCAACCGCTCGTTGCTCCTTCTGCCGTGCTGCCAGTTGCCAGTAATGGTTCCGCTTCTGCACATTGGCCTGCACTACTGCGCTTCCTTTATGGTATGCATCTCCAACTAGGTACTGTGCAAACGCATTACCAGAATTCGCTGCCATTTCCATATGACCGAATCCTGTAACATGGTTTCGTTCCACTCCTTGTCCTTCTAAATAGCAGACGGCAGTGTAGAAGTGTGCATTCGATGCTAAGCGTTGCAGTTCCGGCGCCAGCTCCATGAATGTAACTGCGCGGAAAAGTTCAAACGCCGCCTGTCGGTTCTGGACCTGACCTCCCTCGCCATGGAACAGATAGTAGCCAGTCCAGTACATGCCCTCTGGATTTCCCTGGTCGCTGTAGACCTTAAAGATCTTCCATGCCTTGTCTCGCTCCTGTCCCTCGTGGAGGAGCAGAGCCTGCGGCAGAGTGTTGATCGGTGTTCCAGTAGCAAGACTCGTTGACCGGGGACGGATGGATTCCTTGATGGTTTGTCCAGACGATATGCTACCGTCGCTACTGCCACCGCTGTTAAACATATTGTTGTTGCTCTCAGTGCGCTTGATAGAAGATTGAGGCGAAACCCCGGTGTTTTGCTCTGTTAACGCCGGACTGCCCAGCTTGCCATCACCTTGGAGTGAAAGGCGGCTCATCTGTTCCTCTAGCGATTTCGAAATCTTCTTGGGCTTGATCCCTGATGGACGCGTGTTTCTGTTGACAAGCGGAGGGGAATCTGTTGGTCTCGAAGCCACCGGAGATGCAGACGCATTGGCTTGCATCTGCGATATGACCTGAGTATCACTCGGAAAGGTAACAGCAATGGGTGTACGAGTCGAGCCTTGCGTAGGTGCAGAAGAGAATGACACAAGTTGTGGTCTCGCCGTGCGTGAAAGGCCATTGGAATCAACTAGGTCTGATCCGGCGTACTCTTGCTTCGGCGCCGGCGTCTGATGTACCTGCGGTAGTTGAGAATGAGATGGGAATGATTGCATTTGAGGGCGTGGCGACTGCTGCTGGATGTGCTGCTGCTGAAGCCTTGGTGATTGGTGTTGATGATGCACCTGCTGCTGTCGCTGTTGTTGTTGAAGCTGTGGTTGCTGTGATTGCAGGGGCTGGGACTGTAATGGTTGCGACTGCAAAGGCTGCTGTGCGTGAGCATGTCCTTGTACCTGTGCTTGCCCTTGACCCAGTGCCTGTCGTTGCTGGGCTTGTCGCATCTCCTCCATGGATTCTTCGACATATTGCTTGTTGACATAGGGGTTGTTCCAGACTTCAGGCGTCAGCAGCCCCGTCTTTGGGGTGATGGGGGTCATAGGCGGCGATATTGGGTAGACCTGGCTCATCATGGGCGAGGGTGGCGACATGGCAAACAATGGCGCAGGATCCTTCATGCTCGTCGGAAGTCCTCCAAACTTTTCCTGCCCGTTCGTAAACTTGACGCAGGCATCCCTGAGAATAAGCAGCACCTGCGAGACCGTAGGTCGCAGACGAGGATCATGAGACCAGCAGGCAGTCATGATATTGGCAAACTCCAGGGGTGTTCTCTCGGGCACAGTCTCATATAGAGGTTTAAGGACAATAAGTTCTGGCAGCTGCCGATCCGTGTAGTCGATATACGGGATCTTGTTGGATGCGATTTCGAAAAGAAGCATACCGAAACTGTAAATGTCGCACTCTGCCCCATATCGAACATCCTTATGTGTCATCTTCTCGGGTGCCAGCCAGCGAACGAAACTGAAGGGGTCTGACATAGGTCGGGTCTGTGCTGACTCTAATCGACTCTGGCGAAAGTTGGTAATCTTTGCTTGACCATGTCTCGTCAACAGAATGTTTTTCGCCCGTAAGGTCTTATGGATGATTCCAACCTATGACAGACACCAGATGTTCGAAGTAAAGGTAAATATCGTTGTACAAAGGACCCTGCAGAAACAAAGCGCACTGGTCATGTCCTCCATACCTCGTGCAGGAATTGAAGTCCTCGAGCAATGTCTGCCGCGACGAACAGCTTCTGCTCCCAGTCCATGTCGCCCTAAAAAAAAGGGAATAAAATATATGAGTATAAATTCAGCCCATAGTGTCAGGGATTTAGTAAGACCTAGACTCCTCTTTCTTTACCTTCGACAAAGCGGTTGCAAGATCGCCTCCAGGCAGCCACTCCATGATGATGCTGATCTGGTTGTTCCTGTTAGTAACGCCCATGAACTTGGTGATGTAATTACAGCGGTCCAGCTTCTTCAGGATGGCGATTTCGTTCTTCAGCATGTCCAGCATATCCTGCGATCCAAAGAAGCCTAGAGGCTTTTCTGCGACCTCCTGGGCTAACCATGAGCGCTTGTGCACAGGGAAGGTCCTTCCTTTGCGAGTCTCCCCTGGAGTTATGTCAACAATCTGCCGATAGTCAATCTCGACTTGGGCCAGGATGTCGTCCATAGGGCGGTTCTGGGCAATCATTTGACGGATGCCCATAAGCTGACCGCCGAGACATTCGACGCCGCTCTGAAGCTCCTTCCTAAAAGCACGCAGCTCGACCATATCTTCCTCGAGCGCATTCCTGTCCGTCTCGAGCTGAGATTGTGTCCTCAATGCGATGCCGAGATTCAGCTAGAGACCGCCATCGTAGCCAATTGCCATATCGTCAATATCAAGAACAGTCTGACAATATCGCGTACAAGAAGAACCTTCTCTGTGCAAAAAAAAAAAAAAAAAAAAAACTTACATCCAAAACACAACTGTCAAAATCCCGTAGCAGCGCGTCGAATTCATCGCGAAACCTCAGAGCGTAGAACAGCTATCGTTGACATTGGGGTTTCAGATAATAAGCAGAAAGAGAGGCAAGGGTTAGAGCACTTGGACGGTAAATACAGACCGATTCCAGCATCGCATTTGGAATGGCACAGCACATTGTCATCGAATGAGAGGTGGTTGATTCCACATAGTACCTTTGAGAATGTCTTTCGTTTGCTGATCTCGGCCACAAAGTCCCTCATCCGCTCCAGCAGCTGAAAGTACATCTTAAAAGCACTTTCTGATATAACGATGGACTTTGGGTTGACCTTGTATTGCTCGAAGGCGGCCTTTATGATCTCGTTTGCGATCTGGATCCGGTGGTCCATGGCATGACAGCTGACCTTGTTTGCCTGGGCGGCCCTTGCCATCTCGTTGATGACGAGGGCCAGTTGAATGGCGCCGGAGAAGAGTCCAAAGTCCACCATGGTGTGTGTGCAGGGAGAAGAGGCGGAAGTGAAAGAGAGTTAAGGGAAAGGGTATAGAGAGAACGGTGGTTCGCAGCAAGCAAGCAAGCAAGTAGTGCGAGCAAGTGGAAGTGAGGTGGAAGCGGGAGGATGGAGGCGAGGGTAGGAAGCTGAGTGTGATAATAATAATGGATGCGGCGAGGATGCAAAAGGACTCTTGGATTAGGGGACAGGTGGTTTAGCCTGCTGCGAGAAGTGAAAGGGGACAAAAAGTGTGCGATATGTGCAAGTCAGGCTGCAGAGGGCGGCTGCAAGTGTGAAGTGTTCAAGCAGACAGAAAACAGGCAATGGGTTCAGCTCAATGGAAAACGGCCGTGGGGGGGAAGTAGAAAGGAAGGAGAGGGTCAAAGAGGCGAAGAAGGAAAGAAGGACCAAAGGTGAGGAGTGGTGCTGTACATGTACACATCCTTCCTGCTTCCTTCCTTTCCACCGTGTTCGTTTTATGCGTTGTCTCTTTGTGACCATACACTACCTTCCACCATCTGGTTCTCAGCGGTACCATTGTACCATTAATGGCCAGGAAACTAATACTGCTCTTCCTCTCCTCTTCCTTCAGCTGTTGTATTTCATGCCTGTACAATGAGGGATTGTCATCATCCTCTTCCAGGGACAACTCCAACCTGCTTCACTCACTCGCACTCCCGTTTTATTGTTCCTTGCACTGCCTCATGTCAAATCCGCATCAAGAGTCGACCAAGAATAACCAAAGGACATGAAGGTGTCAGGCCAGATTGAACCTAACCAAAACGAAGGAGTGGCCATACAAAATAAAAAAAATGCGGCGGACCTGTCCAGGCGACTACGACACCATGAATATGATGCAACGTGCCACACCGCCTCCGTGTATCACTTTGCTTTCGCTTTCCGACATAAAAAAAAAGAGGAACAGGGAGGGTATAGAAATACAGTCTTATATAACAAAAGCTCACAGTAAGAAGGAGTGAATGAATGCGTTACATTGCGATTTACGTAGCACATTCACGAGCTTTATTGGCAACAAACAAGTAACCAAGAAACAATAAAAAGAAGGGTTGAAACGGTTGCAGTCTCATGGGCTCTTCATTCCGTAAGAACGTCTTTTCTCAAGACGTCCGTCCGATTTTCGTTAACGGCGTTCTCGAGAGTCCGCCGACTTTACATATCTGCCAATGAGATCCCTTGGAAATCAACCTTGCTGACAACGTTTAACTCTGTTTGCAAATCAAGATAATCAAGGTGTCCTGTAAGGCTCTGTGCCTTAAAATCCACTAATATCCGCTCGTCGTATGAGATCGCACGACTTGTAGTCATATAAATGGCCCCACTGTGAGAAAGAGAGTAAAGGAAGCATAGAAGAACGCACAAAAAAAGAAAAAAAAAGCGCGCTTTCCATTCTTGGGCTAAGCACGTGCCCCTTGTCTTTTTTTTGCTGTGCCCAACACGTCTTCTTTCTTTCTTCTTTTTTCAGTCTGCCATTAACAGCGCCTCTTTCTCCCTCTTTTCTGCTTTTCTTCTACTTCGACTCCTTCACCCTCCAACAACTTATAGCCATCCTGTCGAGCTTCATTCCTCCCCACTTACTCGTACCAGCCCTTCAAAATCCCCGCCATGGCCAAGAGTAAGACCCCAAGTCGGAAGAGACGCATTACCAAACCAAAATCTCCGCGACTTGCCACCGTTTTCGATTGCGTCCGTTGCCACCATGTTGAGACAGTTCGTTGCAAGCTGTATGTCCTCTATCAATATCTTCTTACATCGATCTCTCTCTTTTGCACATCCCAAAAACACGTCCTTGCTAACCCAAAAACGCTTCATTCTCTATTGTCATCATAGCAACCATGAGCAAAGGACCGGATCCCTCGAATGTAACCAATGTGGGGTCATCTATACCTGCGAGATTCACCGTACGCTTCCTTCCTTTGACTACCTTCTCATGCATCCAATACACTAGCTCCTATCTTAACATATTCATACCTATCACTTTCATAGATCTGAGCCACGATGTAGATGTCTATCACCAATGGATCGATATTTGTGAAGCCGCAAACGCAGACAACGGCACCGCGGTCGAAACCGACGCCTCTGTAGCACAGAGACAGGGCCAGGACCAGCTACAGGAACAGGACCAGCTACAGGAACAGGAACAGCTCCTATCTCGAACCCAACCCCTCAACCGCGAATTCCCCATCAAGCCCAAGAAGAAACCCGCCTTCAGAGAACCAGAACCGCTGCATATCAGCGTCCGCTATCGAATGCTTCAAGAAACGTCTATTCGAGTTGCCGGTCGATCGTAAAGGTGAAAAGCGTCACTATCACTTTGTCGAGCCAGCACTCTGATCTTAATGTCAAAGCGGGACCTTGGATCCATGTCTTCACACACGAGGACTCTGTATAATATGTATCTTTCATATCTTCGTATAACCACAGATTTGCATACTTCCTTCCATCTGCTGCTGCTGTTCTTTCTTTAATAAATACGATCCGCTGCTACATCAGACATGTATGACACTTATTGAACTCCCTCAACTTTTTTTTTTTTTTTTTTTTTTTTTTTTTTTTTCATTTCGGTGGCAAAATGCGAATAGTTTATGTTTGAGAATGGACTAGATACAAAAAGTTGGGAGAGAGGGGAGGAAAGAGACCTAAATACATCTAATTTGGGCGATCATAACCAGGCTCGCCCATCGTGCTCCGGTAATTATGTTCCTGGTGTGGTGGGGAACGCGGATAGTGGCTATATCGAATATCATTTGAGCGAGGTTCAGAATGAGGGTCGATCTGTTGTAGGTGAGGCGAAACGCGACGGGGCCCTGGATGGGTGTATCCACTCGTATCAGGCTTCGGGGTCCCTCTGTTGTGACCGTCCTTCCAATATTCTTCAGAGTATGACTTATAGAAGTGCTGCCCTGTCGACGACTTTGTGCGTCCATCGTAGTGAGTTGGGGAAGAAGGGCGATGAGAAGGCCGTTGGTGATATGTATCCGAAGCATATTCGCGGTAGGATGATTGTGAATAGCGGTAGTCGCTGCTGGGATAAGGAGGGCCATTGGGTTGTGGTGGCGGCGGTTGTTGATGCGAAGATTGATAACCAGGCGGTGAACGAGATGCTGCAGGTTGGAGCGAGCGTTGGTGCTGCAGCATGACCATCTCCCGAAAACTCGTCATTGTCAAAGCTGCCTCTTTCTTCAATCGCATTTCGTCGCTGTCCTCGTCCTCTTCTACAATCTCGGACCCTCTCTCCCTGTGGCGATCATGGTTCTCGATGCTTCGTTCTGGGCAGCTAGAATAGTCGTTTGATGGTCCGTTTTTGGGTGTAACTCCATTCGGAGGTAAGCTGTTGGACGGTGCTACGGGCGAATGTGAAGACGAACGTGCTCGTCGCAGAGGAGTTGCACTTGATCCGGAAAGAGAAGTCGGTGACGGTACTATATTGGTTTCAACTTCTGATGACTGCGGATGATCCTCATTCAGGGGGCCGGCTGTGTTCTGATGCGCAACTTCGCTGATTCGTCGCGTAAGACTTCCAGTTGGAGGTGAGCTGGATCCTGTTATCGCGTGTGCGGATCCATTGATAGGAAAGGTCGAAGCAGAGGGTGTCGTAGGCTGAGATAAAGGGGCTGAAAAAGGCTCATCCCTAGGTGTTCCCAATGGAGTTGTGCTTGCAGATTGGGGTAAAGACTGGGCTTGAGACTGAGATTGCGGGGAGGATGCTTCCTGTGGGATAAAGAGGATCGTTCCACTATGGGTTGTTCGTTGGTGAGTGATAAGTCTTGCGAGCTGAGTATAGGTTGCTCCACAGCGATTGTGGCGACAAACATATGGCCGCAGATTTTGATCCGTGTGTACGACGCGATGGTGAGATAATGAAGACGACTATTAGAGCGCAAAAAAAAAAAAAGTACTGGATAAATACCACTTCCAGCTGCATGCAGTATACAGTATAGGCACAAAGCACATACAGTATGGAAAGCCTTTTGACAGTCCTTGTAACCGCAGAGATATGGTGGTTTCCCTGAGTGGATTCGATAATGCGTCGTGAGGCGCGAGGCAACCGTAAACTCCTTTCCGCATCGAGGCCAGCTACAGCGGAATCTATTTTGGATCGACCAAAAAAGGAAAGAAGAAGCGGCAATTGCCCAAAAACTAATCAGTAAAGATCTTTCAGTCTCTTAAGAGGTAGTAGAGAGCTCGAGCAAATGTCGGGCATTGATAGTTGCCAAACGACATGCGTAGCAAACAACATACTTTCCATCCGCGTTCCGCTCAAAGTCGGGGGTCGAGCTGAGTTCCTGATCAGTTGAATCCTCGCCTTGCGAGTCTCGTGCGGGCGAGTCGCTTTTGGGAGTCGATGGGGTGGTTGGCTTCATTGTCCGCTGCTTATCCTGGCCATCCTTATCCGTCATGACAAACCGGATCTCGAGTGGCTGGGCGTCATCCTCGGAAAGCCTCGGTGATGGGCGACCGTGCGGCTGCGCGTCATCATCCATGACCATCAATGTTGGACGACCAACCTTCCTGAGGGACCCATTTTTGGACTCTTGTTGAGCCGAGGGGGTTGGGGAGATAAAGAGGAAGGACGTCTTCCCACTTCTGGAGGCTATTGAGAGACATGTAAAAAACCATAAATCTTGACCAAGTTAGGATTGATGACAAACAAACAAGGCAAATGGAATGGATTGATTATAACGTATTGCGCAAGGGAAAGAAGACTGACCTTGGCTACGCGGCCTTTTCTTGGCAGTGGATGTGGACGACGACAGGCCTTGCGGTACATTATGGTTCTTCTGACCTTGACTGAATGTATCGGTTATTCCCGCCGCTGCTGCTTGTGCTCCTATCCCTGTTCCTGTCCTTGTTCCTGATGGTCCATTTGACGCTGCTGAATTGTCTGTGGTGAATGTTGCGGGAGCCTTTTCCTTTGTCACAGCTACTGACTGTACAGGAGCATTGGCGCGAAAGGTATGGGTGCTGTATCCATTACTGATCTCATTGGGTTTGATTTTTGGGTGCGGCGAGTTGCTGGTGCTACTGCTATTATGTTTGCCTGTATTGGGGTGGTGTGCGGACTGTTCCTCCAGTTGGGCCACGGAAACCGAGTTAGCGTGCTTCCTCGCGGAGGTACCTCCTGGGCTGCCATTGAGCGGGGTATCGAAGCGGAGGACAGTGGTGGTCGAGACTAGGGCGGTCGGAGGCAGTGGAGACGAGGTCCTGCCTTGGCCGCGACCGACATGGGTTGATTCTGACAGAGGGGCGACGGATGCCCCTGGGGGATTCAGTATTTGTGACAGATTCATTGTTGAGTGGAATGATGTAGGTCGTTGAGGGGGCGATGGGGCCCGAAGAGCTGGATTAGAAGAGTGGGAGAAAGAGAGAGAGAGAGAGAGAGAGAGAGAGAGAGAGAGAGAGAGAGAGAGAGAGAGAGAGAGAGAGAGAGAGAGAGAGAGAGAGAGAGAGAGAGAGAGAGGGGAGGTAAGAAAGGGGGGGAAAGAGGGAAAGAGGGGAGTATAGCTGGCCCGAAGTGGAGGGAGCGTGGTATGCTATACACTGCAGTTGGCGACGGGGTTTTTTAGGATATGTGCGGTTGTGAGCAAAAAAAGAAAGTGGACAGGACGGAAAAAGTTGGATGGGGAATGTTTTTTTTCCTTTATTTGTGTGTATGCAGTGAGTGTTGAGTGCTGAGGAAGGACGAGGGGGGAGTACGTATTATTTTATTTTTTGGTGGCAAAGGATGAGGAAAGAAAGAGGAAAGAGAGAGAGAGAGCGAGAGAGATTGAAAGAAGAAGAAGAATAGGATGACGACGGTGGTGATGGCGATGATGGTGATGATGATGATGCGTCTGGAGGATGAGATGCTGCTGCTGTGGAGTGAGGAGTGATGAATGAGTGACAACTGGAAAGAGCTTGAAAGAGCTTGAGTGGGAAGACTGAGGGCAAGCCAAAAAGGAAAGAGGGATAAAAACTAGCTTATCCTGAAGGGGGGTGCATGTACCCCCACTTTACTCTGGGAACAAAACAGGGGGAAACGAGTGAGTCGCATTGGTCAAAACAACACAGCGTGTGTCTGTGTGTGTAAATGTCTATGTTCTAGGCTCCTGGGCGCCTCTTCGGGGCATCATCATCACTGGCATCATCCCTGGGAGCCGAGCTCAATTGACCGCATGGGTCGTCACCGCCGCACCAAAACTGAAAATTATTGTCATTTCGAATTGTCGGCCAAAACAAGTTCACAAACTGATTTTGTCAAGATCCGCTCCTGCGATTGGCTGGCACATCACCCTCCCACACAATCACACCCACTCACAACCCTGCAGACACACCCACACTCGTGTATACCCACGCGCGACCCACACCCACCCTCGAGTGGCTGCCAATCAGATCAAGATATGGCCACCATAGCCATAGCTCCCCTCTTTCGAATACAAACAGCCCTTTCCAATCATTGGAGCATCAAAATCTTCCAGGCCAAGCGGTGATCAGGCACGACATCATAGCCGAAAGTCGTTCCACGCGATGCTCTCAATCGCCCTATTTTGCCGTAGACTATCCCCTTTCATTCCGTAGTAAACGACCTGTAACTCTTTGTACTACTTTCAATATTCTCACACTGGTACTTAGTCATCAAAACAATCTTTCTCTGACAATCATTCCTCCGTACACACACATCTCCGGCGTGTCCTTTGAGAGATATTTGTCCGTACTCACGAACAATTTTGCTTCAGGCCAATCATTATCTACCAAGCAAGTTCAGAGGAAATCCAGTATAAAGTTGGAAATACAACCCCGAACTTGATGGCTTTTCTGGTATCACACATCTTTTTAATAGTCAGTCGTCTGAAGAGGGGTATCATCTTGTGGCAAACTCAAATCCACTTGTGATCCGGAACCCAGACGCGTATTCGAGCCATTGTCGTCCTGATCATCGGGGCTGTCCTGATTTTCGCTCTCTTGAATCTGAGAAAACGACCAAACGCCTCGGTTCTCAAGGGAAATCTTCTGTTGGTGGTATTTCTCTAGCTCCTTGTTATGACACACTGTGATACAGGTGATATTTAGGAGGCGGCATTGTTTAAACATCTCGTGCTCCGAGTCAGTGTCCATAGAGCTAGTAGCCTCGTCCAAAACTAGTAGCAATGAAGAGAAAAATGACAGCGTTGTCAGCTATTGTGTTCTGTATTCTTTTACTCAGGTCATTGAAAAACTTATCATACTTACTTGCAAACATAGGCCGAAGGTAAAAGAGACGTGCAAACGCCATCTTTTGCATTTCACCTGGCGACAGCATTCGGCCCCAGTCCAGCGTGTATGTATAGTCGAAATCATCAATCAAATCTACGACGTTCTCAAGACGAGCTAACTTGAGGACCCTAATCACGTCCGCATCCGACATACTCGAGGCGGTCTCGCTGAATGGATACACGAGCTGCTCGCGGAGGGAGCCATATGTCATGTAAGAGACCTGAGGCAGGAAAATCACTTCCTTGCGGTATCGATGAGGAAGAAGGATTTCGCCTGCCCAAACCAAAGCGCAATTGAACCATTCATCCGTCAGTGCTGATAATTAATATCATCTGAGTGTGTATAAGAGGAAATGAAGCTGGCATTTGCACACATACCTCTCGAGACTGGCCATAATCCACCCATTGCGCGCAAAAGAGATGTCTTTCCAGATCCTAAGGTATTAAGAATAATAAGGAAGTCAGTAAATCCACGTCAATGCACATTGTTGGCAGTCTACTCTACCCATCACTTCAACCGCAAAAATGTCATGGCTTACCGTTGGGTCCCACAATCATGGTATTAAGTCCAGCTTCAAATCTGAAGTTGAAATCTAATAACGGGCACAGAAATTGTCAGTCTAAACTCAACGATACAATAGTGATCACTAAACGCTTCCCTTCCCGAAGCGACATACCAGACATGACAAGGTCTCCAGTGGGCGTATTGAAAGCCACATTTCGGAACCGAATGGAGGTATCCATCGACAGGGCCTCCTCGTGTGGAAATTCGATTGCAATGGTCTCAATCTCCGTGTTAAGTTCATCCAGCGCCTCCATAAGCTGCCCCAGTCGAGACGTGTAGCCTGCGAGGTCGGAAAAGTCCGTGCTACATTGGATAATCTTGGAGAACAGATATGTCAAGTACATTGAGACGAATGAGGTCTAAAGGGATTGTTCAGATTAGTGATTATTCATTCCAAGGGTAACAAAGGACTGAGTGAAATGAACCACAGGTCGGCCGATCTTACGTACTCTGCTGATAACAGCCGAAATATCCGAAGGAGGCAAGTGATCATAGCTACCCCAAAAGATGGGAATGGCGATGATTACGTAGCTTAGGATCGATCCAAAGTATGATACACTTTGCTGCAGGACTATAAGATGGACCCAAGGCAAGAAGAAACAGACAAAACGACGTCAACCATTGACTCGAGTCGGATATTTTCGATCCGACCTTTCTCTCCTTCATACGACCTACATTTTAGAGGCAGCTCCTTGTAAATAACGTCCAGCTGTGTTTTGAGTAAAACCTCAAGCAATTCATCTGCACGGTCTTTTGCTTCGCCCTCTCCACGACTGAAAGTGATCGATTCCGCAAATTGACGGAAACGCATATGCAGAAATCTAGAAGATATACAAGGTACAAGAGCGAGTTCGTTTAGTGCACGATGCATCAACGAAACAAAGTCCATTCCATCAGGATCGAGCACTCACCTGAAGTAACCTTCTGCCGATTCTTTATAAAAGACGGCATCGACAATAGGGTTGATTAACAACCGACTGATAATCGTGCTAAGAATGAAATAGCCATAGATGCACAGTGGTCCGACATATCCCGTCATCTGCCAGCATTTCCAGGTGTAGAACGCGATGAGCAAAGGGATGATAATCAAATCCTCGACCATTTTCCTAATGGACTCTGATATTTTTTCAATGTCTTGTGTGATACGCTGGTCTCTAAAACCAGGAGTAGGAAGACATATTAGAGTTGCAGAGTGGCAAGTTAAGGCAACGACTTTTCAGTGTTTTAGTCCACTCACGGATTATCAACCTCTTCGTCGCGCATGAACAAGATTCTGTAAAAGAGCTTTGGTCGGATGTAGATCTGGTGAAAATATAGCGTCAAAGACCTTCGGCTCTCCAAGGACAACAGACTGCCCAGAAGAAAGATGCCACTTTTGCCCTAGACGCATGAATGCGTGATTAGTGGAGAGTCAGCACAATAAACCCTTGGGTCTGTGCGATTGAGCACGAGAGTAGATGGCAGATGGGACATTTGGAACAGGCGGGACGATGGGAAAAGATGGGAGGCGAACTTACAAATCCCGCTAGAAAAACCGTTGTCAGCGAGGTGAGCAGCAGTTTCCAGAAAGCAGACGAGTCCTTGTCGCCCAGGACTTTGTAGTATCGCGAGGGAATGGTGCCCACATAATAAACGATACCTTCGTTCACGATGCAGAACAGAGTCATGCTGAGATAAAGCCAGAAGACCTTGGATTGTTTCCCGCAGTGCTTACTAAATAGGATCTTTGCAATCTTCCATAGACGCTTGCAGAACAGTGTGTCGATGAGGTATTCGTCCTTTTTCTTTGGGAGGTGGAATCCGGAGATGGTGGGTCCCGAGTCTCCAGCAGCGGTTCTTGTTCTACATGAAGAGTCAGGATGACTGGAACGGAGGAAGGAGGGCTTGAGGGCCCTGAACCGCTGGGCGATGGACCGGAAGAACCCCTTCTTCTGATTCGAAGGGCCGTCGCACATGAATCTGTCCTGGTCTCTGACAGATCCGCTCACGGTGCGATCTTCATCCCTGGTCTCGTCGTCTTCGGTTGGAATCAAATGGTACATGAGCTGAGGCAGGGGATGTCCCAAGTGATTAGGAAAGAGAGATGGTAGAGCAGTATTATTTGCCGCCAAATGGATTCAGGGCGACCTGGAAAGAAGGGTACCCCACATGTATCACACCCAGTCCAAACCAAACAAACGGGACAGAAAAAACAACCTTGAGTCAAACTATCAATTGAGGCATGGATAGATCTTTTACCACAACGGTGTCCTTGTTACTCACGCCTTGCTGCTGCTGAGTCTGATAAGCGCTTTGGTTGTGTATGCGTACTGGCTAAATGAGCGGCACACACGGAGGGGAAGGAGAAATTTAACACCCAACGCGTCTAGGATGCATATCTCCGGCAGGAATCGACGCATGCGACGACTCCGACGATATTCACGATATTCTATGTTCTCCACTTGATGAAGCTCCATTCGCCCTGTATTTTTATTAAAACAACATAGCTTCTAGGCCTGTTTGAAAGATGCTCCAGTGAGTGTCATAACAACCTTCATTCTATCAGGTGTTGTATTTGACTAATACGTTATTCGTGAGAATACTGACTGGCACGTACATTGATAAAAGGGTCACTTTCAGTCTCTTTGTCCTTCATTGGTCTTCTCCCACATGCATGCATTGAGATGGCACTTGATGGCGTTGAAATCTGCTCCGTGCGCTCACACACTTAAAGTAGTTCTGACTATGCCTCGAAAACACCCATCGTAACAACCTTGTTTGTACCGATAATGTTCAAAGCACGGAGAGAACTCAGATTGCATCGACAGTGAGCGCCAGTAAGAGGAACCAATTGCTTGCCAGGGTAGTGTTTGCCGCGTTTAATTGACAACATCGGGCAAGATTTTCGATGCGAAGCTGTTGGCAAAGGCAAAATGAGTCGTCTCTATAAACTAGCAGGAAAAAGAACGCGCTGTTGAAGATGTTTATCTGTGGATGGCGGGCCTTGGTACAGGTCTTTTTGGTGCCAAAGTTGTAAGGCTATGAGAAGCTGACCCAACGATACTTTCCTGAAATATAGCTAACCTGAACGAGTGGAAGGGAAGGGGCTATCATTTTTCCCAGGGTCCTGTGAAATCGGTCCTGCTCCACAATACGCACATGGACAAGGCAGCAAAGCGTCCTGAAAGAGCTGTATCGGATGATCTTTCAAGTGCCATGGTCTGCAGCCTTATGTCTCGATTTCTTTCAAGGCGCAATGTCCCCATTTTCTGAGATTCTTATTGCTCTCTCTGTTAGAACGCAACCAGCAGCCATAATGAAAATAAAAGAACGAATTTATTTAGTAATGAGTATTACTTTACATATCTCATATGTACTCGTTGTACTTTCGCCGGTTGTCAGTGTCTTCTTTTCATCAGAATTTCGGCAACACTCATTAAATATCTAAAGCACTTCTCCGTTCATAAGATGTAGGGATTCAGCACCGATTGCAAAATGGCCCATGGAGCACAAAATGTATTCTTAAAATCTGTTGGAAGTGCTCGCTTGGGCTGAGTTATCCGGTACTCTTAAACAGTGTTGGCTCAGATCGTCTGCGCCCTCTTGAACATCAACATCTTAGATCCAAATACTTATGAAAATCGGTAGCATAATATACGGCACCATGGACTTTCGCCTAGACGCTCACTCATCGAAACAAAGAGTGATGCTGAGCCGAGGTGAGCTCATGATAGATAAAGTTAAATGACAACTCCTTATTCTAATGGGTCATGCGCGTAGTTCTTCTTGCTCCCATCATTCTTCTTAGTCGGTGCCCGGTTCCCACTGGGCCAATAGGCCCCCATGTGTCCCTATGAGTCCCTATGAACCCCTATGAACACCAATTCACTCTATATCCCCATTTCACGTATAAACACCCACTTCTCTCTTTTCTCTATTCCATTCTTATCAAACTTCTTTCCCGCTTTTCTCATGTTCTTCTACACACATGATAGTACTCTTTTCAGATACGTATTTTCATCTCCACCCTCCTCTATTTCGCTTTCATTTTTCATGCCCTATTGCGCTTTCCAACTTCCATGTCTCACCTTGCACCATATATTCTATACTCTTTCCCCTTGCTGACACGCTTTTACCTTCTTTTCGCTCAGCTTTGCTTTCTCTATAATCTTTTCGACCTATCGTCTCCAACACAGCTTTACTGTCATCAGCAAACCTCTTCCACTTCTTGCTCTTCTCTAGGAGGTCCCAATACCCTGTTTGAGCGGCCTCGGCAACATAGAGATCCCAGGAATTTCGGCTTTCAAGTTTCAATCTGTGCATTATATCCACTCCCCAAAGGGTTTATTAGCCCTAGCAGTACATTTGGGCCGGGAGCACCAAATCCTCGCACTCCTCACTTTCCATACTCCCCTCAGGTCATCGTCTCCTCTGGTCATGCCTTCGGGACCGAGGAGCTTCACTTTCTTTTCACACAAAAACAAGAGGATTCTTAATAATGCTTCTGAACCTTTTTTTTTTATCCAGTTGGCCTCTTTTTGAGCCTCGCGCAGGAGGGGGGAAAAGAGAAAGAAAGAAAGAAAGAGAGAGAGAGAGAGAAAGAGGTTAGAGTACGATGACTTGCAGCCTGCCCCTGGTATGCTCCGCAAAACCCTGCAACCAAGGTTGACTGATAGCAAGCTGAATCGAAGTTGTTGATAGGACTTGAACGAAGAATAGCCGAAAGCCAAATAATTGAGGCTTTAAACAGTTTTACTGGTGATAAATGAAACATCTGCCAGCGCCTCAATTCTTTGATCGAAGAAATGCGTTTAGCATAACTTATTTCGGCAAAAACTTGGGCTGAACGTTTAAAGCTTAGCCCGTAGGGCAAATTGAACGCATTTTGAACAAAATGATGCATATAAGCCACGCCGATAACGTTTCAGATTTCGTGTTTTATATTTTTTCTCACCGCTACTATCCTTTGTTCCTTTTTGTTTTCTCCATTACATTGTTTTCTTCGCCTACCTTTGCACCTTTGCACCTCTTCGCGCTCCTTTCCATCATTCGCTCTTGCGTTAAAAGGTAATGGACTCATTCCACTTTTCAACCGCATGGAAAACATTTTGTCAGTAGCGACCTGGCCTCCTTTAGCTCTAGCGTGTTCAACGGAAAGCTAACTTTCTCTGGCACGCCGACCGGGGAGGTAGCCGCGACAGGGTGGCCTCCAGTAGGGCCGCACGATGCATACCCGAGCTGGTGGTCGTGACGCTTTGCTGTCGGTCCATGTGGTGTTGGCGAAGGATGAACGGAGCCATTGTTAACAAAACGGCTTGCCTCCTTTAGCTCTGGCGTGGTTAACAGAAAGATGAGCTCTCTCTGGCATGCTGACCGGAGAGGGAGTCGGACAATGTGTTCAGCTTGGACGCTCCATACAAACCCGAACTGGTGGTGGAGACTCTGCGTTGAAGTTCCGACAGACACATGTGCAACAACCTGCAGCTCATCCTTTGTTCTTTCTTCCGCCAAATAGCCAGGCGGCAATGCGAGACTGTATGAATGAGTGGTTGCTAACAGCTTCCTATCTTGTGTGTTTTTGCTTTTGTGCTCCAAGCCTCGCAACATGCAACACATTGCGTGGGCCAATGAAGTCAGAGAGGTCGATGGCAAATTGAAGGAGCATGTCTCGTTCTAGTCCTTTGTCAGAAGGTTTGGTTTCAGCAGCAAGGAGGAAGCGATGTCTCAGTACGGGCGGCTGTTGAGCTCGTCGAGGTTGAATAAAACGCGACAGGAGCGTTTGAGAACTGTATATGATGACTTTGTGGAGGCACGCCTGGATTCATTCTGGTTGTCATGGGGCAGCACAGGAAGGTAGCGAAGGCTGAAGTCGAGAGGTGTCTTAACCAGGTCCAACATCCCAAAAGCCGCTCATGCAAAATCCTTGGTAGTCTGGGGATTTGGTTTAAGTCATGGACGATGAGGTGACAGAGCCTGTTTCTGACGCTGTGAACAAGCACCTTAAAGTTCTTGCGGATAGGATTCACGGAGAGATTGCTGCATTGAATATGGGCAAGGTAGCTACAGACGTAGCAAGGAAGGTAGCAACAATGATTGTAGAAGAATGAAGGTTGTAAATGTTGCAAGTTTTTGTTGCTGTTGTTGTTGAAAGAAAATGGGGGTTCATGAAGGAAGGGAGAGGCGCCATGAAGAAAGAGAGAGAGGGTATGAAGATAGCGACGGATGTTATTAAGAAAGTGAGATTCAGCATGAAGAAAGTAAAGGAGTATGAAAAGAAAGCGCGGGAGTGTGTGAAGAAAGCGCGAGAGTTTATGAGGAAAGTGGGAGGGGCTGTGAGGTTTTTTTTTTGGGGGGGGGTTTTTTTTTCTAGCGACGTCCCCTTAATTTATTGGTTGTTAGCTCTGAGGCTGCCTTCAAGATGCTATTAGGTTGTGGCGGGGGTAAGGACAATATGTTCGAAGAAAAAGATCTGGAGGAAGCGAGCGATGCCAGCCATCCCACAGGGGTCCCGCGTGTGAGACGCATGTTATCTTTGAAGGAGAGGCGTCCTTGCTTATCCTGAATAGAGACTAGGTCGAGGAGCTCTTTGTCTGACCATTTGGTTTTTGTGCAGTGGTGTTGCAGGAGAGAGATCCAGGCTTGGCGCTTGGATGGGCAGAGCACAACATAGTGATCCAAGTCTTCCACGGATTCATGGCACACTGGGCACATGGGGAGAAAAGTTACTCGGGGCCAGTTTGTGAGGCGAAAGCTCGCATGAGGAAGTGACTCTTGGAGATATCGCCACCAGAGATTACGGCCCTGCGTTGGTAGAGCCTTCTTCCAGAACTTGGACCATTGAGCCGGCATTCCCTCAGATTTGTCCTTGTGGAAGGGGAGCTGTGCGAAGCGTCGGAAGTCCCCTGTGGTGGCCTGAGCGAAGGAGGTCGTGGGCACGTTTATGTCCGCGGTCGGCAAAAGGATGTTGGTCATGCGGCGACGTAGAGACTGGGTGTATAAATCCACGAGGCTTGGCCGTGCTGTTGCCAGAACTGGTAGGCTATATTGAGAGACATCGGAGCTTGTGGCAAGGGGCTGTCCGTGAGGTGGGTCGAGACAGAGGCTTCTGCGAGCTTGCGCGCAGTGGTGAAGAGGCGGTGCAAGAGACGAATGGACCTTGTGCAGGACCATGTTGCCTTCCTGTCCAAGCAAAGCAGGGGCGTCAGCGGATTAGGCGCATTGGCGTAGTGCTGGAGGAGACAGCCGAGGATCTTGCGTCCCATCGAGGGCTTTTCAGATGTCATGTTCTGTAGATACCTGAGGAGGAGAGCGTCCAGTTGTCTCTCGGGATCATCGATTCCTAGACCGAGGCTGGGGCTGGCTTGGACCGCATGATAAAGGTCTTGGTGACGCGTCTAACCTTGGTGAGGAACCAGCGAGGAGGGGGAATCACCCAAATAACGCGCCACAATGTTGTGAGGGCAAAGGAGTTGACCACCAATGTCTTACCCTTCACCGACAGTGGCCGTTGGGAGTGAATCGCCAAGCAGGACTGAATCTTCTAAAGGCGTGTCTGAAAGAACCCCTCGACCTGCTCTGGGCAGATGGGCACCGGGTATCCAAGGTATCGAAGAGGTTGCGGTTTGTTGGTCAGTGGGTCTTTGGTGTATTCATCATGCCATCCGATGTTGTCAGCTGCGATTGCCTCGCGCAACTCTTGATTGGGAGCCTTGGTGAGTGGAAAGGCTACCGTCTTTTCGGGGTTGAGGATGCCGTTGGTTGCATTCGAGTATGTCGCGAAAACGGACTTGGCTCGATTCGATTCGCTCTTATTGCGCAGGATTAGCAAAATGTCGTCAGCGTAGGCGAGCTCCTTGATCGGGTGGTGGAGACGGGGGATTGTGATGCCGCTTATCTCGTCGTTTTGCATGATAGTGCGGAGGAGAGGCTCGAGAGCGATGTTAAAGAGCAGTGGTGATAGTGGATCTCCTTGACGAACTCCGCGACATTGTTGTATTGGTTTCGACAAGTGGCCGTTGATGTTGGTCCTTATTTTGGTCTGGAAGAAGAGGCGCTGGATGAGAGTTCTGAAAGCCTCCAAAAAGCTCATCCGTTCCATTGTGGCCAGGAGGTGGTCTGGGTGGACACAGTCGTATGCTTTTTCCATGTCCAGAAGAAGACCAATCTCCTGTCCGCCTTCCTCCCGTGAATGGTCTATCAGGGCGTAAAGAGCGAGGCCATTATCGGCAATGAAGCGTCCTGCCATGAATACTGTCTGGTAGGGCGTGATGACCTTGGGGAGGATTTTGATGAATATCTTGACGTCGCAGTTGATCAAAGAGATCGGTCACCAGTTCTTCAGGTTCTTCCGCTCGTCTTTCTTGTACAACAGGATTCGAATGCCTTTTTTTTTAGCTCCCTAATCGATCGCGGTCTCTAGATTCTCCACAAAATGCCACGATATGCCTTTACAACATCGAGTCCTCATATTTTATTTATATAAGTGAAGCGTTACGTCCATTACTGCTCATAAGCTGCGAACTACTTTACTGCTTTTGTGTATTGATCCTTTTGCTTCGACGCAGATCCCCTGCTCTGTTATCGCTCTAGGATTGTCCGGCGACACGAATAAAGGTCTTTGCGATCTCATAATAGCGTATGCTGATGTGCAGCGATTCCGGATCCCTTCGCAATCGTCTTCTCTCTGGTTTAACGCAGCGATTTTGGTGATCGAAACCGAGTTTAAATAGATTTTGCGAAGGCGTTGCTATTGTCATTGCGACGGCGGCGCCGATAATAATGACAACGGTGGCGGTACTATTGGCGTTCAAGGCTCCCCAGGTACCGATTTAGTCGTGGTAAACGTTCACATCGTGGCTAACGTCAACAAAGCCCAAACGCAAAATGAAGGTCAGAAATGGCATGATGGTTCCTTGAACACAACGCTTTGGAGCCATAAAAGGGACTTCGCCTATGATGAACATTGCAAGAATAGGTAGTACCACAATTGCTGCATTCCAAGCTGCCGATTTTTTGTTCGTGATTGCTATCGCAAAAGACCATGCTCCGGCTAGTTACTCGTCCCCAGAGAACCAAGGACAACACACTTGTGGAAACTATGGATAGATCCTTGATACGCCAAACAGGACCGTACTTTCAGCAGGCAGTGTATGGTCTTGTTCTGATAATACCACACACAACCAAAAACTTTCGTCAGTTTTTGGTTTTTGCTGCTGTCGAGCAAGGCATTGTTCCGTGAGAGGATGATTTGCTTTGAGGCATTATGAGACGGTACTATGTGTAGGGATGGTGTTGAAACCATGGGAGCAGTGTCAAAACTTGGCTGAAAAAGTGAAGGCGTACATGAGACTTTTATGACATTCGCTGGTCCAAATGAGTCGTCATTTACAGCGCTTGTCATTGATCTCTGGATGCCTGATCGATTAGATCGCGTCTGAAAGAAATGGCTGACTTTTCCCTTCTTGATAGAAGTAGTCGACTTTCTTCTTCTTCACCGTTAATTCTTTAATCGAATGAATCTAGACAAGATAAACATTAGTGGCAATCGAATGCCAGCGAGTAATCGAGGGATTATGCCGATGGTCCGTGCTTTCGAGAAAGAGGAGAACAAAATAGGAAGAACGAAAGAATGAAAGAAAGAGATGCAGATGAGATGTAATAATCAACAATAGATGAAATGCAACAACATAAAAAACCCAAGGTAACAAACAAAATAGATATAAAAAAAAAAAGACGCGAAAGAGGTTTCTACAGCGCGCTCGGTAGCTGCTTGCCAGCGTTCTTGTTTTTCGCAAACTTTGGCTACCGATCAAGTAGCAAATATAGAAAAGAGAAAAAGTCGTTAGAGACTCTCCTCATCGAGGACATACGAAGCGACATTCGAGCACCATGAAAGAATCGGCCGTACCTTTACAAGGTTGCGCACATCCTGCTCCGACTGGAACTTGTTCGCAACCTTGGCTCCAATAGCAGTACCGTTCACCAGCTGCTTGTTCTTAACCTTCTTAACCTTTCCGCGATCATATTCAACATCGTATGCATCAGGTCGATGGTGTTTGGGCTTCAGTGTCCGAAGGATTTGATCACGGCTCTTTGTCACCTCCTGGCTGGTATCTTCCCATGTCGAGACCTTACTTCCCAGCATATGTTTAATCTCATCGAGCATCGCACCCTTGGCGTTCGCGCTGTTGCTCTCAGCCTCGCGCGCAATCAGCGCCTGCAACTTCTCGCGTTTGGAGATTGAGGATTCATCGTGAGAGACAACGATCACTTGGCTGACTGCCCTAGGCTTGACAGTCCATCCGTCCTGTTCCATCTCATCCGAAGAATCCTTGTCATCATTTCTGTCCTGTCTCTCGTCCTTCTTCCGTTGTTCATTCATCTTCAGCTGGCGGAGCTCTTCTGCAACAGGCGACTTCATGGCTCCATCCGTAACTGTCCAGTCGGAATGGGGTCGTGTAGGGATGGCAATGGTCGAGGGCTTGGGCTTTGAGGATAGCAGCGGTGGTTGATTCAGGATAGTATCCAGATCGGCCAGTGGGCTCAGGCTTTTTGACGGCGCAGGCCCGTTACTGAGTGGCGCTCCAAAAAGTAGTTTGAGTGTAGAGGACGAGGGTGTCGAGGACGATGATGACGAGGGTAGTGGAGCCGTGGCAAGGTCGTAGTCGCTCTGTCCAGACTTTACTGCTTTCAGATTCTCCAGTTTCTTGGCTCTCTTCCGCTCCTTCTTCAGTCGCAGCCTCTCTTCCTTAGACAACTCCGAGATTTCATCAATCTTTGCGCGCTTTTCCTTGGGGATAATCGAAGACCTATCAACCCTGTCGCCAATTTCGTCCTCGTCTATCCTTGGTCTCTTCATCTGTACAGGTGCTGACTTCAGGCCGTTAGGCATGCCCTTGGCATTTGTTCCATTAGCCAAACTTGTTCCGTTTGGTGTCGTTGACCGTCCCGCTCCCGTCTTATTCTGGGTGTAAAACAACATGTACGCGTTCTGACTTAATACTGTCTGAAGACTAACCACGCTCACCTAGTGATCACAAACCACATAAGGCACTGTCAGTTTATGTGCCAAGGCCATAGCCTATAAAGACACCACAGGGTACAAACAGAAAGCTGCACTTACATGTGAGTCGTTCATGGAATACCAGATGCCGTTGGAGCTCTTAACGTAACAGTAGTAGTGCCCACTATGACATGACCCTCCAGCGTGGACAAGGACGGCGTATAGACTATATAGGAGTTGCGGGTGCTTCTTGTTCGTGCTCATGACCGAGTTCAGCTCCAGCTCCGTGTCGAACCTGACATGTCTCCCGATCTTTTGGCCCGTGAATGTGAATCTCTTCAAATGCACGGACAAAACCTTGGGGGCTTCATAGATAGTCATTTGCTTCCGAGCATCTACCAGAACCTTGCACCTGCAATCAGATAGCGCCAATAAAGCAACGGAGCTTTATTAGTAACCTTAAGCAAAATATGCAACATCGACAGGCGCTAAGCATAAACGGAAAACAGAGAACAGAGAACATGGCAGCGCTCACTTACTTGTCGCACTTATACTGGTTACTCTTGGTGAGGATTTCTGGCCTGGTATAGTCACGGAAAGCCTTCTGCACACTATCTGCGGTCTTAATGTCCAAACTAACATCTAAATATGTCTCAAAGGTGTTGGATTCGTAGCCGCACTTCATGCACTTGACCTGGCTCTGAAAGTAGCCTCCAAAGATTTGATGAACAACAGTTGTTTCTTTGATCCGGTCGTCCATTTTGCTATCATTACAAGGCAAATGCGGGCACGTCAGGAGGGGAGGACTGTTGTCCTTGCGGCACGCAAAGGCTGGCTGCATTGCTCAGAGTCGGGCATGTCAGGATCATATTGCGTACCTGTCGTATCCGACTAAGCAGCTCTTTTGGAGGGCATCGACAAGGTATCTAGCGAATTCGTGTGAGTCCTCCTGACGCCCAATCCTGAACTGCTTGCCTATATCTATAGAGAGTATGAAGCAACTGCCATTAGGACACTGAAGACATATGGGGGCTCATGCTACAGGAGTGCTAATCAATCAGAGCAAAATACTTACTCCTGAGTCTTCCGACAATGACTTTTGGAGCAATTGCCTCGCTCATCTTATGTGAAAAGCAACGACCGACATGTTTTTCCAACAGGCACATCATGCAGAAGTTCGTTGTCTTGCCTATTCGAATGCGGAGGCAAGTTAGAGATAGTTAGTGATTGTGGGGAATCGAGAGACTGTTGCGCAAAAAAAAAAAGGAGGCTGTGTTGTATCTATGCTGCATGATGCTTACAGGAGCTGTTGTGCTGGTTTGAAAGCAGATAGTTGGCCAAGGGTGCAGTATAAGTCAAGCACTGCAGCACCGAGTTCAGGAAGCAGGTATTGCCGAGGTTGACCAGCCCGGGTCCGATCGCGCGAGGCTGTGGCCAGACCAGCTGAACCCTTTCTTTGCTGTAAAGGACCTTCGCAGGTAGTCTGAAGCCATTGGGATCCTCAGTTACTGTGGAGGATGAGTTGGAGATGCCGGAATAAGGGACCGGGGCTACTAAGGACGCAGACCCAGCGGGACCATCTGAGGGAGCATTGATGGGTCTATACTTCTTTTTAAGACGTTCCTGTTTAAGGTCGAGGCGAGTGGATTCTTTAAACTGGATGCGTCGTGCATGGAACGCCGAGTTGCTCTTTCGCAAGAGTTGGGAATCCAACGTCAGGGCCACCATCGCCGTTGTATTATGTTGGTGTCAAACAAAAGGAGTACGTTGGTATATGGATGAGGGATGCCGTTGCGGCTGAGGGGAGAGGATGGAGGAAAGAGAAAGAGGAATGAGAAGGTGGTACGAGGAAGAGGAAGAGGGTGTGAGATCAGAAGACACAGTGAAGACAGGAACAAAAACGATTGTAGACAAAAACGCTAAGATGAAGTTCAAAAAAAAAAAAAAAGGTTGCCAAACAATAGCAAAATAGAAGTGACTGCGTTTATCACACACCATGCGCCCCTGATATTATTCTCGACTGGAAAGTGTGGTATACATTCTAGCACCATAGCATAGCCGGATAGTGTAGAGTATGCTTGTGCTCCATTTGCAAGAAGAGTTGGCATTTTGAGGCATTCGGCAAAATGATGTGTTCTTTTATTCTGCAAGGAGTAACCGTAGATCCATGATAGTTTTGTTCGCCTGGTTACAACGATTAATATCCGTGGAGATTACCTCAAGGGAAAAAAAGAAAAGAGCGCGAAAGAGCACATTCAATGTCGCGTATCTGGACATTTATACCCTTAAGTACATAGGATCACGGTCCGAAATGCGCCTGTGCTATACTACAGGCACAGCGCCATGCTGATCAGTACCCAGGCCCCACGTTCTTCATTCGACCTCTGAACCAGAAGCGAGGATACAGCTCAACACACATAAATAATCAGGACTCGTGCATCATGTCAGGGATCAACAACAATAAGGACAAGGAATCACTGCCAGAGATTCCAATACCTGTACTAAATGACCCAAAGCCAGCACCTGACAGAGATCAAGTCGTGTCTGCATTTAAGGCAAGCATAGCACTTTCGAATCTACTAGGAGCCAACTCAGTCACAGTAACTGCAGCGAAGCTCTCGCGAGAGGTCTCTAGCTAATGTGTCCAGTTTGTGCATGCGCTAATACACATCCTTATTGATAATAGACATTGGAACCAACACGCGATTTTTCGACCATGAAAAAGTCACCTTGTGCAAAGGAATCTTTTATCGATGGCGCGGCGCTAGGTTTGGGTGTAGGATTACTGAAGGCGATGCGGTCTGGTGAGCTCCGTCGATCAATCGTCTAGGATCGTTGCTGACGGTTATACTGAGCCATTAGATCATGTTACTAACCAGCACGTATCTCTCAACTCGAAAGGAGTCGGGCGATCAGCAGCCAATTGGGGATTCGGTGCTTTTGTCTTGATGACCGTCGGAACATGGTAAACCCCTATGGACCTGGTCATAATGCAATTTAAGCAACATATTAAGGCCCTGACATCTGATCATAACGTTTGGGACCATGTAGGGAATACTGTCATTTCAAGATTCGCCAGAAGCGCCAGATTATGGCCTCAGGACAAATGCCGGTTGTGAGCACGATTGACTTGGATGCAGCAAAGAGACGTGAGGCCATTGCAGCGCGGCAAAGGGACGTATGAGCGAGTGGAGAGAGTGGTGCATCACTTGATATGTTGCAGTTGCATAAAGCAGCACGAAGTTGCTCAGTCGATTGTGTAATAAATCATTTCAGCGAACATGACGAGACTCAGTGATGCCAAGGCAGACAAAGACGGCGTATGATACTAGGCAGTTGGCCATATTTGCATCGCAGGGCGCATTCTTTTGGGCATAGCCCTTTAGAGGAGGACAGGGTCAGCATGGTACCACGGGCGGCCTTGGTAATCAATATTTCAAAGACCACCAATTTAGGGTGTGGGATCATCTGCCAGTGAGCCGTTGGTTGGCTGAATGGATAGTTGAGCCGGAGAAGCATCTTCTCCCGCCATTTTTTTGTTATTTGCTATTTGTTGAGTTGGCCATCGGCAACGAGGGCACATGAGTGACCATCTGATATTCTTCATTTATTTGCTCACAAACTAAAAAAACACAGCAACTTCAAGCCGGCAAGTTTAATCAGTAGACTACATGTCTGACTTCGTCCGTCTTTGCCGCCAACTTTTTTTTTTGCACGGAACTCGTCTTTAGGTCGCGACCCCTATTCGTTTCTAAAAACATGTAGCTTTTTTTTTCTAGTCATCCTGTTTGTATGCCACGTCCAGTTGCACAAGAGAACCGTTGCAGTACATATCGGTGTACATGATATAAAGAAAAGAAGGCGAAGGAGGAGTGATCCTCCTCTTTGTGTTGAAATTGAATAGGGACCTGCTTTGTTTTCCCTCCAAAAAATACCTTCAGATCTGTAAAGATTCAGAGCTGCGCTCATATTGCATAAGCCCGTCCTTTGGACAATGGTGCTCCGGGACATGATATTCACTTTTTTTCCCCCTCTCCAAGGGGTGCATTTGATGCAGGGAGCCACAGCAGTAGGAGGCAGGACGACTACGACAGGCCATATTAATAAATAAAAAAAGAGCGGATGAAGTAGACTAGAGCTGAATTGTCTTTTTTTACCCCTGAAAACAAAAACAAGGGCGAAATCGAAGGAAGGCGAGAGGCACACACCCCAATAAACACTGACGGGATTGCATGAGGATAAAGCGATCGATGCACGTAATAAAAAAAAGTGCACAAGCGTACTTATTCTACCACACAACAAAGAAAACCCATCCGCGCAGATGCACAGGCGAGCAGCAGCAGCAGGGAGGAGTATAGCTGCAGCAAAGAAGACAGACGATAAGAGACGGCGATAGACAGTGGTTGCTGTTTTCATTGTAACATTGCAATATGTGTAGGTTTCTACGTCGATGCAACGCACTTGTCTGCCCTGTCCTCTTGGTCCTTTGCTCGGGCAGACATGCTGCAGACTAGACCAGCAGTGACCAGAATCAGGGCACGGTTGCACGATTTTTTCCCCCTCCTCTGCAACGCACGCACGCGGTCTGCACTTCCTCCTTTCATTGAATGTAGCGCGACATAGCTCTTCTTCTCTCCTTATTCCTCTCTTTCTTCTCCTTCTTTCGCTCTCATTCATTTCATACATACTCATTCTTCCCACTGAGTCATTGTACATTCACTTTGTTCATTCTTTGATTCATTTGTTCATTCATTCGTTACTGCCACACTCCAATCGCTTTTTTTTTTTTTTTTTTTTTTTTTTTTTTTTGCATCCAGTTGCCTTCTTTTGTTCTTTGTTTCGCACACTTCTTTTTTCTCCACAGCACACTGTACAAATATCACCATACCCCTCGCACTTCTACTGTTGTTGTTACTATCATCTTATTCATACCATCCAACCTATCCTTATACACAATTCTCGCACCCCTGTCTATCCGTCCATTTCCCCTCATTCTCACGCCACGTTGTCAACAATTCCTTCCTCAAGCTATCCTCCTCAATGACTTCTGCATCCACTCGGGTGGGCAACATCGTATGACCCATTCATGCCCCTGAAAAAATCGAAAACATGGCTGGCCAGGGCTATTTTGCTGTTCCTGAGAGAAATCCAGGCCTTTTTCTTGGGTTCCATGGAACAAATACCTACGACCAACCTCCTTCTTTTCATCATTCATTTCATTTACTAACCTAGTTGCTCGGCAATTGTATCGGGAAGGGCGCGTTTGGTTCAGTATGGCGTGGATTGAATCTCGACACTGCAACGACAGTCGCCGTCAAACAGATCAATCTCTCAGACATTCCTCAAGCAGAACTCGCCAATATCATGGTACTGTTTGAACTCAATGGCCCTTTTTTAAGCTTGCCCCTCAATGTTGCGTCAAACAACTCATATCGCTATCGACTCTTTCTTTGATCTCTCTCGGTGTTCACTGTGCTTTCGCCTTAGATGGAAATCGACCTACTAAAAAAATTGAATGTAAGCATCGCTATATGCATAATCAAGAAACTCTGTTCATCTAATGGACTCCAATTGACTCCAATTGACTTTAATTGTCGATAGCATGCAAATATTGTCAAGTACCTTGGATTTGAAAAGACAAGCGACTATCTCAACATCATTCTAGAGTATGTGGAAAAATTGCCACCAATTTTCATCATGCAAACTCCGACAGACGCGTTGCTCTCATCCCACAGCTCACGCTCACAGAGCTCCTTCTATTTTTCTTTCCTTTGATCTTGTGAACACAGGTTGTGCGAAAACGGCTCGTTACGCAGTCTATGCAAGAACTTTGGAAAGCTGCCCGAACATCTTGGAGCCATGTACATTACACAAGTCCTGGATGGCCTGGTATACCTGCACGACCAGGGTGTCATCCACCGAGACATCAAAGGAGCCAACATCCTGGCAACAAAGGATGGACTCGTCAAATTGGCAGATTTTGGGGTTGCGACACTCTCAAATGATGTCGGAGATATGTCTGTGGCGGGAACACCTTACTGGAGTAAGGGTCTGCCCCACGTTTTTTTCTTTCTTTCAAGAAGCATTGCGAGTGTGAGACAAATCACTAACATAGCCTGTTTCTTCTCTCATAATCAATAGTGGCTCCTGAGATTATCGAGCTTTCAGGGGCGACCACCGCCTCAGACATTTGGTAAACACCAGGATTCACTCTCGAAATTGTCCCGGGTACTGGGAGCAGCGTGGGAGGATGGAGAACTCATCATCGGTCTCACTTTATCGTTCATAGGAGTGTGGGCTGCACAGTCATAGAACTTCTTGATGGCGAACCGCCCTACCATGACCTACCACCAATGGGAGCATTATACCGTATCGTGCAGGATGACCACCCACCCATTCCAGAAAGCGTATCAGCTATCGTGCGGGACTTTTTGATGCAGTGCTTTCAAAAGGACTGTAACCTGCGAGTGTCTGCAAAAAAACTATCAAAGCACCCCTGGATTCAAATGTCAAAAAGGAAGGCGTCAGGGAGCCAGAGGAGCCGTGAAAAAGCCATACCGGCATATGATGAGGCTGTCAAGAGCGTGAAGCAGTGGAACGAAGCCCTCAAGGGCTCATCAATATCACTCAACAGAAATTCGGGCAACTCTCGCAGGAATTTTGGTGACAAGGGTAAGACTTTATGATCAATTTCTCTCGTTGTGAAATATATAAAGAAGAAATATCTCTAGCCCATCGTAATTGGAAAACGTACTAAACACTTTTCCTCTCCATCTTGTTCGGTCAACTGTAATAGGTGGACGGCATGGGGTGCCGGCAATATCAGACATTTTTCATGCCCCAAAACCGCAAGGAAAAGAGGCACCGGGACTTCAGCTACAGCTGGAACGGGCGCAAGCAATTGCCCCACCTCCACCCAATTTCCATATACCACTTAACAACGCAAGCAATATTGCCGCCACCAATGCCAACAACTATGAACCTGAAGTCTGCACCGATAACTGGGATGACGATTTTGCGGACGGAATTACATCCATTCAGCTGGCTGCGCGGGAATTTCTTGATCAGGAGGATGAAATATCAAAAACGATCCGGCCATCACCACGACCGCTGCAACTTCAGGTTGTTGCCCCTGAGAACGATATTGATGAGGACGACTTTGAAGATGATGGCGAGGAGTTGCGTTTGAAGGTCAGGGTCAAGGCACTCGAGGTAAGAGCGATATGACCTTAACGTTTGAAGGTCTTATTGATACGATGGTTCAATATTCTCATCAGCCGTCAATTCATTTCACAATAGGGTAAAACGAAGCTGCCTGTAAAGAGTCAAGAAACCTCTTCTAAGCCTAGTGGCTCACTTGCGGAAAGGGCCAAGGCCCAAGGACCGCATGTTCCAATTGATTTGGTCCGATCACGGTCAGCACCTGGCCAGCTCGCACTTTCTCCTCCGCTAGTGACAGATGAGTTTAAGCACTACCGTGAGGAAGAAGAGGATGACTTTTCTGATCTCTTTGAAGATGAAGGTGTGCAAAAAAAAAAGAAAAAAAGAAAAGCTTCATGGCGTTACGCTAATTTAAGATAGAGGGTGGGGATACTAATTTCTTATTGATCATGAATTATAGAGAGTCAACGCGCAATCTACCAAGATGAAGGACTTACCCTGCAGACAAGACTTTCAAACCATAGCTGGGTAGGTCCAAAGTTGTCTTGCTGCTCTCGAGTGCTTTGCTCGGCAAGTCGACCTCACTAACATATGCCACTCTGTTTCTGTAGTTTGGAAATGATGCAGATTCTGACGAGGAAGATCCATTTGCGGAGGTTGACGAGGGCTTCGATGAAATCGGTAAGAAGCATTCTTTAGCAAAAGCAATCTGAGTAGAGTGCAAAATTTCTAATGCTAAATCTTGTTGCGTTTTAGATCTTGAGGCCAACATTGCAAGAGAAAAATATGCCCGGATATGTAACACTATTGCGGAGCAGTTTCGGTTGCTGGAACATCAGCGGACAGAGAAACAACTAGAGGTTGTATGCGATCGTCTTGTAAGCGTTTGGAGGTTATTGGCATCGATGATTGCGAGGAATCGCACAGAGCTTGTTTCGCATTTCTAACCCATCTGTTGCTTGCTGATGCTCATATCCTAGATGACCTTGCTGTCAGAGCATCCAGATATGCGCGGGCCTATGATCGCTAACCATGGCGCCATTCCGCTCCTGGACTTGATCGAAAACTGCAATCAGCAAAGCTTGATTCTGAAGCTGCTAAATATTTTGAACTTGGTAAAAATCACCTTCGATATCTCATGCGGGCAATACAAAAAAAAAAAAAATTATGCACTTCCGCTTGTGGTACCATAAACTAACAACAATCGCTATGCTTTAAACAACTACATTAGGTGATTCGAAACGACTTTGCCCTCCAGGAAAGTCTTTGTCTGGTTGGCGCCATTCCGGTATTGATCAGATACACCTCCAAGCGATATGGCAAGGACATTCAGCTCGCGGCAGCTATCTTTATCCAGCAAATCTGCCATACCAACTCGTTGACACTACAGATGTTTATCTCGTGTCGTGGCTTGAGAGTTCTTATCGACTTTTTGCAAGGCAATTACGCAACGCAGAAGGAATTGGTTTGGATTGCAGTCAATGGTATCCACAGCGTCTTTAATCTTCAGGTATGTATCTCTTCATTCTCGCCCCGCCCAAAAGAAAGAGATGAGGAAGCGCTCTCTGCTGACAAGGCTTTCCTTTCATATTCTACAGAGTTTGACGCCAAGGAACGATTTCTGCCGTCTGCTGGCAAAGCAAGGTCTTCTAGATCCTCTCTCGGCAACGCTTTACAACACCATCCGAGATCCACAAGGAAGCGATTATACAGAGAAAATTGTGCAGGTCCTGCTGATCTTTTCACAAGGAGATTCGCCTGTAAAAGAGCTCTTGGCAACCAGGCAAATTGTGCATCGTAAGTACCTTGGAGAAGAGTAGACAGGAAAAAAAAAATGCAACGGCGCGAATTTTATTTGTTCTAACAAAACTACCATGAGCTCTTCTCTTATTAGGCATGCTGACCTCACTACAGAGTTTACCAGCCAACCTGTGCGTGATGATGCTCAAGTGTATCAAGAATATCTCCATGAACTCTAATACGCTGGATATCTTGCAAAATGCCAGTGCGATTCACACGCTTGTTCAAGTTCTCGGAGAGCGTACTGGACCCTTCGCTACGGTATGGAGGATAAAGCAGCTGTTTATACTCCTGTAAAACATGCTAGCAACATATGTCAACGACCACAGGAAGAATACGAGAAGACAACTAACAGATCTTTTGGTTTTTGCTGTGGACTCAATCTCACAATAGGATGTTTGTAACCATGTCTTGACGACACTGTTTAACCTGTGCCGTATCAACAAGTCTCGTCAGGAAGAGGCAGCGCAGGCGGGCATCATCCCTCACTTGCAGCAGATTGCAGAGTCTTCTTCGCCACTCAAGCAGTTCGCGCTGCCTATCCTGTGCGACATGGCACATGCAGGTCGTGCATGCAGGAATATTCTATGGAACAATGATTGTCTGCCTGTGTATCTTCGGCTTTTCAAGGATCCTTACTGGCAGATGAATGCCATGGACGCTGTTCTCGTCTGGTAAGTCAGGCACAGTTCATTCTTGTTTGATAATAACTCCAGTTTATTAACATCCTCTTTTTATCTCGATGTTTGTATTTTAATAGGCTGCAAGATGAGACTGCGGATGTCGAGCAGGTGCTTCTCCAGCCTTCGTCTTTGAATCTGTTTGTACAGGCCTTCCTGACGGCCAAGGCCAACTCGTTCGAAAATATCCTCGAGCCGTTCTATAAGATCATCCGAATTTCTCCCGCGATCGCCTGCGGCATTGCAGTTCCTGGACTCTTCCAGCGACTTTTGGATCGCCTGGCACACCCCAAGGCTGTGGTCCGGTTAAATTTGCTCCGCATCCTACGCGCCATCTTTGACGTCCACCCAGAGAGGCTGCAGCTCGTGGTTCGCTACGGCATTTCAGATGTGGTTATGAAGATTGCAGAGGGCGATTCTGCGGTGCTGGTCAAGGAGCTGGCCAAGGAAATTTTGGATGCATTCGAGGAGAGCGATTCGGAAGCAGCACAGAGCCGCAAGGAAAACAGCGAATTAAGAGATGGCTTCATGAACGGATACGAAGACAGCGTCTCATCGATGGACAATTTCTTTGGATTGCGGCATTTCAAGTTTCCATCATCCATCATCGAAAGGGACCTGGATGAACAGGAAACAACATCTTCGCAGCCATATGCAGTCGTTGGGAAGTTCAAGGATAGAGATTCGGATATCCAGCATGAGGTTGAAGACTTGCTCCAGAAGGAGGTGGACGATCTGGATGTCAAAACAACGGGGATGGATCCAAGGCGGTCGTCGCACCAGCGCGAATTCGGACTAGAAGGTGATGGTGTGAGTTCTTCTGCAGAGCATCAGATTACTCATGTCCGGCACCGCTTGACAGCAACACATATCAGCAACAATGAAGAGAGCAGCGGTGGTGGCTCGTCAGAATCAGACGAGGATCAGTTTGTGACAAGTCGAGGATGGATTGGCGACGAACAGGAAATATCTACCGTAAAACAGAGCCAGGTTGGCTCGAGGACAAGGCAGGAGGAAGGAGAAGAAGTAGACGAGAAGGATGACGATGATGAGGACGATAATGAGCCCAAGACAATCAAGTTCTCGCGGCCATCAGGTCATCAAAAGAGCAGGAGCCTCGGGGAGATTCTGGAAGAAGATATTGCAAAGAGTAATCGTCTACTCCAAGCAGTGCGATCGGAGGATATGTCTGAGAGTATGATCCTCAGGAGCGGACTCCCCAAGATCCGATTGGAGTTATTGGATATTGAACGCTTCCCGGCTTGGAATCGACGGGATTTGGAGGCGGGGTACGGGAGCGATGAGGATGAGGATGACAACAACAGCCAAGGCAACGGCGTGGTCAGCTCAGCCGTCTGGCTGGAGGAGCGTGGAAGGAAGATTAGTTCTCGTGCAGTGAACTTTGGAGCGGCAGGCCCTACATCGACTGAGGAACTGGCCAAGATTTTGGAAGAGTTCCATGGCACTCGAAGGGAACCGTCGAGGAGCAGTACTAGCAGTAATGGAACGAGCGGGAGCAGCAGGCGAAGTGCGAATAGCTCGCAGGATATGACCGTTCGGCTCAAGGACACCCCTTTCTCCTCGGTGTCGATTTCATCGGCAGTGCTTATGGATCACGCAAGGCAGCAGCAGCGGCAGCAGCAATCGCCGCTGACCTCCATTCCTGCATGGAGTGCACTGGAGTTAGCCAAGGAGCTGGATCCTTCTACAGGATTGGTGCTCGCAGAGCGACAAGAGTATGATTCGATGCTCAACCTCAGTGACGACGACGATGACTATGATGGTGACAGCGGAGATGCGAATTCTACCCGCAACATCAACAACAGCACAAACAACGCGAGCAACCTTCGCCACAATCTCGATAAAAACAACGCCAATAAGCCCAGTAACGACAACCGCGACACTTACAACTATGCCCAAGACAATAACGCTGATGATGATGGTGATGATGATGATGATGATGATGGTGATGAAGAAGAAGATAACAACGATACGATGCGCTGGAACTGGAGAGCTTTACAAGGAGAAGGAAGCACTAGCAGCTACTTGACGGAGGCGGACGAGATCGATTGGGATCGCGAGGAGGTTCGGAGCGGCTACGGTACCCCTGTAGCGACTATAACCGCGACGCCGACGGCAGCCTCGTCTTCGACTTTGCGTCGGCGTTCTTCGCACCGTAGAAACGAATGACAATCAGGGCGGATGCGTGAAGGACGTTTGGATCTCTCGGAGGATGATGAAGGCGACGAAGACGAGGACAGAAAGGAGGCAGCTGCCATGATGGATGAGGATACTGTCAATCAGGGTGGCGAGGAGGAGGTTGCGGCGGCGAAAAAAGAACAGAAGAGCGTTCCGTCTGACGAGAAGAAGTGTGACCGATGCATTATTTCGTGAAGAGAGGGAAAGATGCAGAGGAACCGCCAGTTTAAGAGATCCAATACGTAAAATTTACATCCGCATATTCTTGCTTAACATGAAGCAACATCCCACAGCTATTGCCAACAAAAACTATCGGCTACAATAAACGCGGCTGTTGATATTTTTTTCTTCTTTTATACGTAATTAAATACACTGCACCATCGTGCGAGTCAAATACCTTTCGATTAATTGTGTCCAGAAACGTTCGAAAATGCTGGCGGATCGCAATGTGGATGTTTGCGGCGGCGTCCATCTGTGGTATACCCAGGTCCAAACCCTTACTTACTTTGACTGGTCTAAAATTCACTCGAACATTTGCTGGGCAATCTGCTTGGCCTATTTCGTTAATTGACCCTTTATTGGAGGTCCTTTTGAATGGACTGTGGTCATCGCAAGCGAAAGAAGCGTCCTGGCGACCGTAAAACCGTGCTTCTTATGCAGCAGCATATCGAGTGGGCCCATGTATTTCTCCTTTTTGAACGGCTGCTGACTTTGCCAGAGGAACCTGTGCTGACATCGATGTTGGCGTGAGTCGCTTCATAAGTTGCACTGAGCCTCTTATAAAGGGAAAACTCGAAGATCTTGAAAAAAATGAATCTGGCCTGGATAAGGATATGAACCGGCTCGTCCAAACGTTTCGCAACCGCCTTGATTTCCTACCCATCCAACCTGGTCGCTCAATGTAGATACCCCGCCACTAAGCCTGCGGTCAGGGCTACCGCTCTAAATACCTGACCAAACAGATGCTTTTGAAGATTGGCGCCGACTTGCCACTCTTCCCTGACGCTGATATCGTTTGCGCCCTTGTTTTTTTTTTGTTCTCCTGCTGCAAGCCTCCCTCCTTTATCTCAGCGACTTTGTCCTTCTCCTTCGGCTTGCACGGCTTAGAAAGCTTTACTGTCATTCCAGCAAGGTCGGATGGGACAACAAGACTAGGTCGCGAAAGGTCCTTGATGAGTTTGGGTGTATAGCGAGGGTTATGGTCGAAATTGGGGACTTGAATCTGAGCAATATGGGGTCGATGGTCATGAGCTACAGCAGCGTCCGTCTGCATCATTCCCAAGCCTGGGATACTTATTTACATCGCTTGAACTTGCGCATTTTCTTCTCGTTAGTCTTGGTGCAAGTCCCCAGATCATGTTCCTTGGGTGACCTCGTTCTCGACTGGCGGACTTTTTGGCGTGCTACCAATCTGCGTTGCTCAAACATAACCAAAGTCGCGTAGACATCGTTGTGGGGCTGAGACGAGGGTGTTGCGTCGGGGGATCCGTGTTCTTGGCACAAGGCGAACGCCATGAGAACATGGCGGTAATCAACTAGGGTCTTGTTACTATGGCACCCTACGCCTACCAGATACTGACGAATCCCGCAAGTGACCGAGTTCTTGCGTTCGCCTGCTTTGAAACGTAGGCTTTTGATGGTCTGGCTATTTCGCGTGATACCAAGGCCAGAGATACCGTCAAAATAATTATTTTTCGTAACCATTCCTGCCACCAGTAAATGTCGTTCTGCTGGAAGCTTCAGTAGCTTGAGTATATCGAATTTTATGAAAAGTGCCCACTAGTGCGCGCGTCCAATAGGCGCTACAAAGTTCCGAACGCCTTTGTAGATGATGAGACCGGAGTCGCGACAAACAACCACCGACTCCTCAGGCCTTAGTGATTGCCCACATATCATGCTAGAGTGGGTATCAGCCTGGCGCGGACAACGACAAACCCTCCAGCCGCATTCCTCGAGCTCGTTCATGGGTTCTTGCTAAACTACCATGGGTGGACAGTATAAAACTGTCGCGACCCCAGCTAGGTTGCATAGCCAAGACAGGGGTGTGTCAGGAACCAATTTCCTCTGTCCGGCCTGGGTAAGGGGTGTCCAGCACGACACTCCTCGTCTCACTTTGTCTGTCTTGCCTTTATTATTATCACGAATGCCTATCTTATCTTGTCTGTATGAAAGAAAGCAATACTTACCACAGTAGAACCTCATCTAGGAACTTGATATTATCCCTGCTCATATCTTGAATAAACACAGTAAACATATCCGAACCCCCTCGTGCCCTTGCTCCTGTTGTTGATCGAAGGATCACTCTGCTTAGCCCAGCCTGAGGTCTCTACAAAACCCACCATGCGGTTGTAAAACGAGGCCGGGAGGACTCCATTTGATGAAACGATTTCGTTGGTGTCCTTCCTGGCCGAATCGAGCTTCTGGTTTAACGTAGAGGCCCGGCGGGGATCGCTCGCCCAACTTTTCTAACGATAGAGCGCAGTCGCAGTGAATCGTAGACGCGCTTTTATGAAACTTCTTTGACAATAGCCGATCAATCTACCAGGTAGATTCTCGCCGGTGATGGTCACCGGTGAACAAAGACCAGTGAAATCCGGCGAAATCCAGTGAAACCCAGTGGTTTTTGCTTGGGGTTTCTTGAATCTAACAAGTGGTAAAAGAGCAGAAGATGTGGTAATGAGCGTTGTGCTTCAGTGTCAAGTCCAAAGCAAAATAAACCCAGCCAAAGCACTTACATTGATTTCATCGACGCCTATTAACCGCTTCGCGGCCTCGGTACTGGCCTGTGATGCACAGTAGAAGCCCTGCTATATTGATCCAGCGCTGGATTATCTGACTCCGCTCGCGGATCCATTTCTAATATCCCCTCGAAGCAAGGTCACGCGTGTACGCAGGGTGCTGAAGATGGCCTTGTTCATTTTGCGCTGGAATCACATATGTCTTGAGAGATTAGGGCGGCGAGGACTCTGATACGGTTTCTTCTGTATAATCTACTGTCGGCGGTGCAGACGATACCTCAGAACGGCATCCACCTCTCTCCAAATTGGCTTCATCTCCACGTCCTCGTCCAGAATGGGACTATGTGTAGTCTCCTCTGTTTGAACTAGCTTTATCTCTATGTCTTCGTCTAGAATCAAGCAATGTATAGTTCACTGTAAAACAGGAACCATTGCGGCCGACATGGGAAGCGTACCAACTGCGGGGATGTTCGTGGTTCGGATCATGCTAGCGGCTACACTCATAGTACTCTGGTTCTGACTACTATTGCCTGGGATAGCGCTTGTGGGACTGCAAGAGGCAGCGTTCGATGATCATTCTCGGAGTCGGGCTGAGCTGCGCTTGGCGCCTGCTTTTGGATTCGGCTCGAAAATCGCTGTCGAGGTATTAGTGACGATATTCACAAGGTGCTGCCTCTTGATCTGGGCTTGTCCCGCCTCTTCATTTGACTCCCGCTTTCTCTTCGATAGGCGGCAATACTCGCTGCTGTCAGCAGGTTCAAAGGGGTCAGGGGAGAATCTGACTTTCTTAATGGGCCGCGGTGGCGATGAGGATGAAGTAACGTTCGCGGAGAACTCGGTCCTTTAAGGATGTCTAGTCGCAGTAGGTCCTCCGCTCTTGGATGACACCAACAACGAGAGGTCTGCTTGTTCTTGTGTAACCAAAGACCACGCACGCTTGTTGTTCAAAGGCTCATGAATCTGTGGGCCAACCTGGAGGGCCGTCGGGATCACGCCGGCGTTTTCTTCCTCGAGCATGCTTTCGAGCCCGTTGAAGTGCGCAGAGAACTCGCCCTCGTCCTGTGGAGGAGTAGCAGTAGGCTGACATGGGAGAACGGAGACTGGAGCAGTAGCCACTTGGGATGGACTCTCAGCATCTGTGGGGGCAATAGCCGCTTGGAGTGGAATGTCAGCATCTGCGGCGGCACAACGGACAGACACTGCGGGGGCACAAGGGGCACGCGTTGCGGAAGTGGAGTTGGGAGCTGTGTTCATAGCAGTGATTCTGTTCACCTTTGTCGCGTTATGTTTGATCATACGTCGCTCTGTCAAGCGCGGTGGGTGCTCTGGGTCGTTCTCGTAGGAGGCAGGAGAGAGGACGATTGACAGAATGCATAGGAACATGCAGAAGTAGAGATCAGAGAATCTGAACGCGTTGTCGCTCATGGTGTTGGTCAGGGCTAGTTAGCGATGGTCAGGGCTAGTTACCTTTATTGACGCGTTCCCCCTAAGATATGGTAGCGGTGGCGTAGCGTTATTTCCCACGTGGCGCGGCTCGTGCAGAATTCTCTGCATCCTGACAGCAGTCACAGGACGCGCAGGAGTAAGAGTGCTGCCTCAGAAAAAAATAGTGTCTGCCATGGAGGCTGCTCGCCTGCGCCCACCAGCTCGCCCTTGCCCTTGCACCACCTCATTACTGCTACTACTACTACTACTACTACTACTACTACTACTACTACTACTACTACTACTACTACTACTGCTGCTGCTGCCGCTGCTGCTTCCGGTTTCGTGTGCGGCCTTGCATTTTGCTGCATCCAAGGGTAGTTCCCTTTTTCATCCACTGGCTGGAGATATAATGGTCGCTCTTAATGGAGTAAATGGCTACAAATGACATTGTATATGTTGTGGCCAGCCATGACATCGCGATGCATGAGTGTCTTGCAGTTCGAGCAATATAATCTACAAACTTCTTGCAGGCTGGGCACCTCTTGGACATATAGGACCCGTTCACTCCAACCACGATGTAACCGGGGGACTTGGCCTAGAGCACATCAACACAAAGTCAAAGTTAATAAAAACATAAAACGATTTTACGCGACTTCGGATCTCCGGCGATAGTATCCTTACCTTCTGAACAAAGTATGACTGGAAGAACTCATGCAAAGACGAAAGTCTCGTCTTGATTGAAAACTTGCCCAAACGGATATCAATAACAACCTAGTTGGCTTCATCTCTCTTCCTGCCGACCGATCGGCCAAGTACCTTGATTAGACGCTTCGCGATAAGCCTGTACTATTCATCCCGTGCCCTTCTTACGCCCCACTTATGCTTCTTGAACCGGTTGTTGCCGTTGTAAAACTCATTCGGTCGTCCCTGTACTTTCTCCAGTTCCGTAAGATAGCTCGCCAAGCTGGTTCCCTCACCACGTTGTGGTTGCAGCCTAGTCTCGATGCCGCTGGTGGATTCTATTCCGTCGCCTCGGATGATCCCTTTTTGCTCTTCCATCCACCGTCGGTGCTTGAAGGCTGACTGGTAAACGGCTTTCTGCTTCGCAGCCAAGTTGTAATAGGTGGCGGGAGCGGAGCCTGTGATGTATTGACCACATTATCTTGCTTATATAAAGTGCCTCATTTCTCTGAATCCGCCACCACTCGGTGCTGATTCTTTATTAAGAGCACTGTGCCTCTGGGATTACCTCCTATATCTCCAGTCTCCTATACTAGATGAGTTTATAGCTATTCCCTAGTATATAAAGCACGATCTGTCATTATTAAAAGAGCACCTCGTTTTTCACAGATCTATCGTCCCCACATACTCCGCAAAGCCTAGCGTTGGAGCAGGGGCTGGATTTGGACTTTCGCAAGGGCCCTCCATATCGACCTCGATACCAGAGTCACCTTGCTCCCTCACTGTGATATCGCGAGTCCCTTTATCATGAGCATTCTTGGGGAGTAGCGTAATTGCTCCGAGTACACATGCCTGGCCGAGGTCGAGACCTAGGACCTTAATCTGTCCCGGCTCACAACCCCAAAGATCTTCGACATCCTGCCTAATCTCTACAACGTTTCGAACCTTAGTCCATGCCTCCGACGGTGGATGTGGTTCGATGAGGCAGGGCGTCCTGTAGAAAGTGCCTATATCTAACCGACTGAAGCTCTTCCAAGGCTACTGATTTTCACCGGTGAGCAAAGACCAGTGAAATCCAGTGAAATCCAGTGAAATCCAGTGAAATTCGGTGAAATACAGTGATATAGAAGACTCCATCATGTGTGGAATTCACCGGTGAAAAGACCCAAAAAAAATTATTTACCGCGGTTAATCGTTCACCGGTGAGAATCATTAATCTGCCTTGCGACTGAAACGAGCGTCTTTGGTATGGGTGATTAAAGCAAGCGATGTAAATGATCTGATCATCAAATCACATCGCCCCATGATATAGAAACTGATATAGAAACTCATGTGTATACCGACTGGGCTTCTTGCTGGAACAGGGCTATGGGAGGTCGTTCGACTGTGTCGATATACAGGTGCTCATGAGGAATGAGGCAAGAGATGAGTTCCAGAATAAGGCGAATGAAGAACGGATGGACAAAGCGGAGGAATAGTCGATCAATTGGAGTAGCCGATGAATACGAGAAGAGGCAATGAACTTGAAAAAGAATAAGGCAGAAGTGAGAAGTGGTAAGGCAGAAGTGGGCAAGACAGCATATTTTATTAGATTATTAGATTAGAGACCAGGTATGAAGAAGGTTTGGAAAGGGGTGTTTATACATCGTGTATCATGTCTATTCGTCCTATGGCTGAGGTCTCATACAGTCCTTTTTGTGAAATAGCCGAACTTTCATAGTAAAAGTTGGGCTATTTCGACTGAATTGAAATATATACACGAGGCTATTCATTTTTTGCAAGGATTTAAGGGATCACATGATGAGTTTATTTCTGGTAAGATTTACGGATCAAGTACCGTGCTGTTTTTCGGTAGCTCGCGTTCTCATCTCCAAGCAACTCAACCACCATCGTCGCCAAATCCGATTCATGCCTGGACTTGAACGATTCGACAGCCTCTGCCTCGACGGAAGAACTCCTCTCTCGCAGGCCGCACCTCTTGGCGATCTTGTTGCGCACTTTCTGCCTAATCTCCTCTGCTATATCTTGTGCGTCCTTTTGGTCCTTATCGAGGGAGAAGTGAATCCTGTCCCCGTCCATAACTGAAGCAATCAATCGTACATAATGCCCCTTGATTTGACTTGTATCCGTGTCCACCACGGGTGGATACAGTGGTGTTTGCTCCTCCACATCTATTGCTTCCTGCTCTAGCTTGTCATTTTGCGCCTTTGAGAGGACCCCCGCTTTGCAAAAACAATGCCTCACAGTTGCGGCCTTGATATGCGACCACACGTACGGAATAAGTGACCATGCCTCGCTGTTGGTAATCTTCTCCCCGATGGCGTACTCCTTTGTGATTGCTTTGTTGCTGAGCATCTCGAGGTATTGTCGTTTGAATACACTGATTATGCCTTGGTCCAAAGGTTGGGTAACGGATGTTGAATTGGGTGGCAGGCGCTCGATCTGAAGATGTCTCCATGTCTCTCCTGCAAGTGGATCGTTGCCACTAGAGTTGCCGCGTCTAGGGTTGCCGTGTGCTCCACATGAGTCGATAAGTAGAAGACTCCTATTGGTAAGGCTGTCATCTAGAGCGTGAAGCCATGCTTTGAAAAGATCCATGATCATGTATCCATTTCCATGTCTTATTGAGGTAATAGGGAGCTCAGGGCATGGCTGGATACGTCGAGCAAGATGCGCGCCTAAAATAATAAGCAAAGGGATGGGATAATTAGTTTCTAATTTATTTTTTTCTCTTAGAATAATAATGCGGCACGTTCGAGCACCTACCTATGACTAGCGGTCTCAAAGTCACTATCGTTGCTGCTCGGGCAAGCGAAGATCCAGTGACGTTGACACAGAAGAGAATCGACACTCGATTCCCGGCTCCCCGCTCTGGTTTGACACCGCTCGTAAGCTCCTCCGTAGTGTACGAGTGAGTGGAGAACTCCCTAAGGTACATGCCAGTCTCATCGCAGTTGTAGATGTCGTCGGGCTCGAAGTCAGAGCATATCTTGTAGATTTCGTCCATCCTTCCCGCAATCGCGTCTTTGTCGACAGATCCCGCTTCTCCTTTGAGACTGCAGTAGGCGACACTATACTCCTGCGTCATTCTCGAGCGCCACGCTGCCGTAAACGAGACTGTTTGACCGAGAGGAATATCATCGGGTTCACAAATGTCGTCCATGAGAATGTGAAAAATGGAGTTGGCTGCAGCCTGGAGTTGACGGCCACTGACAATGCCGTTGCTCTTTCGAGCCTCCAACAACCACTCATAGACAGTCTTGTCCAAGATGTTTTGTACCAAGTCGACTGGATTGCTGGATAGCGTACATTTGTCGCCTCGACCATGCGCCACATCAAACTGGATTTTGTCGAAATCCATGTTCCATTTTGCGATCGACTTTCCTGGGATTGGCAGCCCCACAGACCTATGAAAATTGTTTGCTGTAACTCTCTTCTGGGGTTTATCGACGTTGATAGTTTCCTTGAGGTAACGAAAGATCTCAACCAGCTCCATCCGATGCCTCAAAGTGTATCCTTCGCCCCTATGGAGTTTTGAATAGGTAGGTTGTGGAGGTTGTTGAGGATGTTGGGGTTGCTGAGGTTGGTTTGCGATGGATTTGTTGGTTCGAGCCCGTGCTGCAGCCAACAGCGCATGATACTGCAGCGCACGCGCTTCATCCGTTTGTGTGGAGGCCCCGTTATGGAGCAAGGCCTCGCGAACGAGTGGGATGTCGTTTGTTTTTTGGCATATGGGAAAAAAGTGAGAATGAGAATGACACGCATTTTTGATGTAGTCATGAGCGTAAAGATTGCAGGGAAATAATGTATTTCAGCCATCACAAAAAAATGAATAGCCTCGTGTATATATTTCAATTCAGTCGAAATAGCCCAACTTTTACTATGAAAGTTCGGCTATTTCACAAAAAGGACTGTAGGCAGTTAGGCAACTAACCTTAAAGTTTAGTCCCCCACAGGACCAAAACGGGGGAAGGATAAATCTTTATTTGAATTAATATGCCCCCATGGCATTGACAGTGATCTGCAACATAAATGTTGCCTGAAAAATAAATCCCTAGCACCATCAATAGTGAGCAGGCTTTGAGGGGCGTTCTTCTTGTAAATGCAAACAGTTGGTATTAGAGTTCTTGAGTTAATGCTGTTTACTCAGAAAAGGTTCTATCTGATTGGTGGTATATAGAGAATGGATGCGAAGGAAACTATAGCGCGCTGTTTACCAGCGAGAGTTAATATCCTCCTTCCAAGCCTGGATCACATCCTTGTCTCCCGTGAGGTACAGAATCATCGAGTCATCTACAACGCGAAGTACTATAGGAGAAAGGATAAGATACTTAGTATGTTCCTTGTCTGAAAACAGATTGGACATGAAATAAAATGAAAACAAAAACAATTGTGCTACTTACCATCCTGTCCAAGGACTTCGGCAGGATGGAGGCGGGACTCGAGTTGAAGCACACGGCAGAGCTCTAGGTTCTTTGCTCCAGCGTCAGCATTCGCAGATCCAGATCCTGTTGCACCAGAAGAAGTACCCAATCCATTCACCGTTAGTCCTGAACTTAGTCCTCCTGCACCGCTACCACTGGCGCCACCCGCCCCTCCGACCACCTTGCCCATCACTTGGTTACACTGGATCATGATATCATTGAACAGGATGAAGAGGTATGGCCTCTCGACCGTCTCCTCCGACAAGTGATGAACCGTCAAATCACCGACCTGAGGTACCGAGGGGTTGCTGGCCGACACAGCCTTCTCAATCCCCATCGACACATTTCTGGTCACCACCCTGATCAAATGCAACATGCCCTCGCGAACAACCTTTCTATGGGGCTGAACAAGTGGAGTTCTATACTGTCCAATGATCCGGTTCTGAATCAGGAGCACCTTCTCGTGGTTCTCATACTGACGCTTGCGCTCGTTCATTTCATCCGCGCGCGAAGAAATTTTTTCCAGTGCCGTCGCAATATCCTGGTAGTCTACATGATCCGGCCATGTGTTCTCCAGTAGATCCTGAAGCAACAGTTTATACCGTGGGATGCGCTGAACAGGCAGAAGCAAGTAGCCTTGTAGTGCCAGTTGTGTATGGTTCGGATGTTTAGCACATCGCCTTAGAAACTCCTTCATCTTTTTCTTATGCTTCGCCTGCGTCAACTGAGCTTGGAGAACCCGTAGAGCATTGTCAAAGTTGTTGATGTAGAAGCTATACATTTTCATGTATGCGACATGCTCTGCAAAGACTCGGCCAATTCGATCCTCGATCGCCGTCTTGATCGTCGATTCGATAGACTGATTTGTAGTCACTGAGGTAGCGGACGATGTTGTCGATTGCTCCACTGATCCAAAGTCACATCCGCCCGACAAAGAATCCTGGCTATTTGCGGCATTGGTGGCAATAGTGGCGGCGGCAGTTTGTTCCTGCTGGCTGCTAGTCGCAGAGACACCAGGGGTTTGCCCAACGTTTGAGTTCTGACGAGCGGCCCGGTTAACCGATGAAGAGATGGCTGATGAAGGAGCCGAGAGGCTGGACATTAAAGATGAGGAGGACGTTGGTACGGGGCTCATGGGACTGGTAACTCCATGAACCATAGTAGAAGGCTGCTGCTGTTGCTGGTTGGAGGAGGATGTGACCCGGTATGACTTCTCCAGCTCTGGCAGGAAATGATTTGCATGGAACGTATAGATCGCCTGGGCGTTCGAAAAGACCGCCTTGTGATCGCCTGGCGGCATAACTTGAAGTGCTGGCGTCAAGTAGATCTCAACCAGTCCCTTCAAGCCCTCGACATAGGTCCGCTCTGTCGCTATGATCTCATCTACGATCCTACGTCTCCTTGATGCCTGTGCCTGCAATTTTGCGATCCTGAGCTCTTCATCCTTGACCTGCTTTTCCGCATGCTCGCTTGTTTCTTCAGTATTCGACTCATCAGTAGCACCACCATGTCCTATTGTAGTTGACCTTTCGGTGTTCCAGACACGTCGCCATGCATAGACCTCTTCCCACTCGGAGGAGTCAGGATCGAGGTCGTGGAGATCTCTGAGATACTGCATCAGCGGTTTGATGCTGGCCGCGCTCTGGCTGTAGCGAGGGTTGGCTGCATTCCAGCTGCTGCCGCCAAGCATGAGTATAGATCCACGGCTGGCTGTTGGTGACGAAGGTAGCGGCGTGGTGGGTGAATGCACGGAAGACAAGCGATGCTGCTGCTGCTGTAGCTGGTGCTGTTGAGCAATAATGGTGTCGATCTCTCCATACTCTGATTCAAGCTCGGTTCCTTGGGTCAGATGGCTCTCGGCACTCATGGAACTGTACCGATAATCCCTCTCCTTCCGTTGGGCTGGATCGAACGAGGACGAAAGTTGTGTATCCCGAGACGACAGAGGCGACCCATAGGGCAGATGTCCTGTGCTCTTGTTCTGGAAACGATTGTCAAGAACACTAGATCCCCGTCCATGTAGTAGGGTTTGGCTGAGGTCAGGCGTACTTCCGAGCGAAGGATTCAACTGAGACCCAGTTGCACTGCCGATACCGCCATATCCAGAATCACGCACTTGCTGAGCATCACTTCCGTCAAATGCATATGTGTTGAGCGAGCTCATAGAACCATGAGCATCCGAGAGAGTGCCCATGTCACTGGAGTTGGTTCTCTTGTGAAAGCGGTCCCGAACCCATTGATTGATTCCACTGGGGGTCGTGCGTCTGCCATACGATCCTCCAGCAGCAGAAATAGAGCCTTTGGAGCTAGGCCTTGACTCTCCATCATGAATGTCGGAGTCCACATCACCAAGTGGGTCAACCTCGCTGCCAAGAGAAATACGTTTCGCAGCTGCCTCTGATTTTATGGATGCTGGCGGAGTGTCCTTCAAAGATGTCTTGCTGCTCTTTCGAATCGACTTCAAGAACTTGTTGAATGACAATCCGGAAGAGTTCGAATGTGCTGATGAGCTGGCAAACTCCGCAGGAGAGACAGTCGATGTCGAAACAGATCTTTCTCTCCTACCACCAGTATCCTCTGCACTCAGTGAGGCTGCGATATGTGTGCCAGATGATAAAGAGGCCATATGGGACTTGTGTTCCTGATCTACAGCCCCAGTTTCCGATTCGATCTCATCCTTCTTTTGCAAACCCATGAGCAACATAATGTCGCCGTGCGATCGACGCTTTGTCAGGGTGGCTGCACGTCTTTGACTAGGCATGATTGATCTCCTCCAGGGCTCATAGTCATATGCTGCCTTCACGGTCGTGGAGTTAACATTGCGAGTATCGTGATCTGAATATGGGTCATCGCTGAGGAAACCTTTGAGGTCGTATGTTGTAGAATCCTTGTTCTCGATCGTCAGGGACTGAACAAGTTCCGAGAAGGGCTGAACGAACTGGTTCCCATCCACCAATAAGACTGAGAGGGTTGAGGAGAGCAAGCACAATGCCGAAGGCAGTGACTTGAGAAGGTTGTTCCTGACATCGAGTTGACGAAGTGCCTTCAGACGTCCAACCGCCGGATCTACATCAAAAGGAGCAGGTTAGATTGAATTCGCAACATTGCTGAACATAACAAGGGATTCCCTCGATCAATCCATCCCATGACGTACTCAGAAGATAGAGCTGATTGTTGCGGATATCAAGAACTTCAAGGCGCGCCATCTTTTGGATGTTGTCGGGCAGCTTCCAAAGCTTGTTGTTGGATAGATATAGCTCCCTTAGCTTTGTCAATAGTCCGATCTCCGGTGGCAGAATTTCCAGTTTATTGTCACACAGATCCAGTACTTGCAGATGATTCAGGCAGGTCAAGCTAGCGATGGGCGCAAATATCCGGATCATGTTGTAGGCGAGACGCAAATGAGTGATAGCTAGATGGCAAAGGTGATGACATTATAAAACGATTTGTGAGTACAGTGCAAAACAGGATAGCAATTCAAAAGAGCATTTAGTGCAGCTGAATACCACATACTTGTAGGCATGTCCGAAGGGATCTCGGTCAACTCTCTCTTGCTGAGGTCCAGGATCGAAACACCATGCTGATTTGGATCGACAGTCAAAAGGGCAGTGTACCAGTCTGCGTCCGACACCGCAGAGAATCGGCTGGCTGCTGAATCTTTAGGTCTTCCTACTTGTTGCCCATCACCCTTGCCAGTTTTTACTCCAGATTCCCTGAGTGCGAACAGCGGCTCAAAGGATAAGGAGTTGGCGCCAATTGATCCGTAGGGTCGTCGGTCCTTTTGCTTTTGTGAACTGACATGCGTGATAAATGGGGGTATATCGGAACTGGATGTCGCGCTGTTATTGGCTGAAAGCGAAGCTGATGCCAGAGCGGAAGATACTGGGGGCAGTGTTGCTGATCCCATCGTGGAAACTCTCTTTCTTTGCATGCTCTTCTCTGGCACTGGCGGAACATTGAGCTCATCTCCTAGTGATTTGCGTTGACGTTGCTTGGCAAAGTATGGTACATCGTCGCCAGCCATAAGATTTCCTGCAGTTGTAAAGTTGGGTCCCGCGTTGGCTAGATGCGACTTTTGAAGAAGCGAATATTGCTCCTGCAAGTGCTTAGAACGGTGGTGCATGTCGTCCACGTCGCTGTCATCGTAGTCTTCGCTTTCGAAATCCGGGCCCGATGAAGATGCATCGACAGCATATAGCAGATGGCCAGGACCGCCACTTTGTCTTCGCGGTCTGTAGTCAGGACCATATCCAGTGGCACCATGACGAGTTCGAGGCGTGAGAGCGTCCTGATCGTGGTCCAGATTCGACACTCGACTGAGCTTTGTCTGTCGCTTCCCACTGTTCCCCCTGGCCAGGCTCTTTGGTGGCGCGACAGGAGAGGACTGAAGTGCGCTCGTTGATCTGATTGATCCTGAAGTATGTGAGCCTGAAATGGTAATTCCAGGCGGTTCTGACATCCAACTTTCCCGCTGCAGCTTGTCCCTTGAGGATGTGTCCTTTAAAATAGGTCGAGGGTAAATATGAGATATGCTATGGCCACTTGACGATGCAATTGAGTGTTCCCTTCGCCTTGTTGGTGGCGAAATATCCCCGACCACTGGTTCGTGGTCGGTCGATGACGGACCCTCTGTAGCAGAAGCAGCTGAGTGGTATTCAAGGACAGGTCCATTGGTGGATTTTGGGAGGGAAGTGCGACGGATACCCATTGCGGCTCCGATCTGGGGTTCCTGACGCAGCTTGTTCTTTGACTTTGCAGCCCTGGGGCTCTTAATAGTCAGAGAGGTGTCGCTTTGTGGAGGAGTAGTTGGCGGAGAAGGGCTGGTTGATAGCGCTAATGTTTTGTATTCATTCAGGGACGGGAAAGAGAGACGGTGGTGCGAAAGCAGCGAGGAAGTGAATGGTTCAACGAGGTGTCCATGTTCATGGCTATGGTCTTCATGATCGAGTCCCAGACTGGCCAGGCCCTGGGTTGAGCTGGGTGTAGGTGGCATGCGTGGTCGTATGTGGATATGAGAGGGGTCGGGAGACGGAGCGGCGGACGAGATGATGTCTGCTGTATGAGTGGATGTAAGAGTGAAGAGGTGTGAGTGTGAGATATGAAGGTGGAGTGTAATTAAAGGTTAAAGGTTAAAGGCGTCAGGGATTTTTTTTTAGACATGAAATAAAAAAATAAAATAAAAAAAATGAGAGCGTCCCCGAGGAAGAATGGATGAAGTTATTAGAGAATATAGCAAATGAAGGAATTAATGAACGAACATTCGAAGGCGCGAAGGAATTAATGAGAGAACGTAGGATGGAGGAGCGATTGAAGGAGAGAGGGTGATGAGATCAGATAGGGTGAGAGGTAGGGCAAAGAAAGAAGAAGGGAGGAAGAGGGAGGATAGTGGCAATTGGGGATTACGGAAAAGAGGGAGAGAAAGAGACGAATGAGAAGGAGAGCAGAGATAGAGATGGTTAGAGGGACTTTCCATGGTCGCAATGGGAGTTAAAAATGTACACCAGACACAGAGACGCTCTTATTCAGGTCCATATTCTTCCTGACCAATGCACAGCGCCACTATTCGTATCACCACCGCCAGTGAACTGTAACCGCATTTGACCCTAAAATGATGTCCCCACCCCATCCACGCAAAACCCTCTCCCTCCTTCCAGTCAAAGATCGAGCATGTCTCACATAACAATCCGTGCCGGGGAACTGCAACTCTTTGTTGTCGTGATTAAAAAGAAAAAGAAATGGCAAAGGGATTTGATTGTGCGCAGTGTAATAAGCAATTGAGAATATTCAACATGGACGGAGAAGTGTATCAGTCAATTGGGTGTGGGTGTCGTAGCATTGATCATGTCGTCTGTGGTGTCGTGTTCTGCTATGTTGTGTCGTGTCGCACTGAATAAAAAGCTGTGCCAGTGTGAGTGGGGCTAGATGGGGAATCAAAGTGGAATAAAAAGGGAGCCAAAGGAAAAGAAGGATATACAACGGAGGACGATCGGAAAAAAAAAATCGTCCGAATCTAACGTCAACCAAGGAACGATGCCTGACCAGACCTGCGCTTTGCCTTGTGCAGACATAGAACAAAAAAAACCATTGTGTTCATCTTTGAGATCTCCTTGCAAGGTGCAGGTGCGCGGGAGAGGGGTGGGGTGGAGGGATCGTTAAAAGACTGCGTGCGCGCGTGTTTAGTCTGTCTCACCGCAATCCCAGCCCAACTACTGTAAGCAGCACACTGCATACCAACATAACAAAGTGCTCACTGGGGGCAAATGAATGAATGAATGAATGAATCTAATTTAAAAGCGCTCTGTACTCTCTCCTGAATCCTTTTTGCACGACCTCCTAAATCGAGAGAGACCTGTGTCTGACCGGCTGTTCTGTTCTGCTCTGTTCTGTTATCCTGAGTCTGTCGGTGCCTCAACAACTCCTTGATCAACCATGGTATGCTGCACTGCACACTGCATTTGCACATGTAGCAAAGTGCAAAAGATACAACGGGAGACAGAAAACAGAGAGCACCATCCCGTCTAGGTTGCCATCATGTATTTGCTCGCTTATTCCCTCGTCTTTTTTTTTTCTTTTTCTTTTAGTGGTTCCTTGGCGCTGCTGCCCCTTCCTCATCCCCTCAATTTTCCCCTACACTCAGAGCGACTGCAGCACAATGTGCAATGGACAATGGACAATGAGCATAGGCTCTTCTTGACAGCTGGAAGTGGCCTTGTCTGATGAGCCATACAAGCGAGGGGATGTCTCCCAAAACTCTCGATGCTCTGGATTGAATTTATTTTGTGCCACGTTCAACCCGTCACACCCTCAATTGATTATTCACAAACAAACGTGCTGTGTGCGCCTCTGTGTGCGCCTCTGTGTCCGCTCATAAACTGGGTTCGTACCCCCCTCTATACAATCTTTTAGTGCAATCAATTGGGCTATGGCTTACCTGACTGAACGTTTCCAGAACCACGACTAGACGTGGACGGTCGTCGCTGCGAGTGAATGCCTCCTGTCCTGCTCCTTGTACCGGTATCCATAGCAATGACATGCCCCTCTCCTCCTCCTTCAGCCATTGGATCCTGGTGTAGGTAGAGCGATGGCTGATAAACCAAAGACCTGTCTGATGATGCCGATATGCGTACTGTTGTCGGCGGCGAAGGAAGTACAGAGGTGATAGAGTCTTGTGGTTGAGGTTGTGGTTGTGATAGCTCGGACTGAAGACGGCGTTGGCTGCCAGAACATGAACGTGAACGCAAGATTGACTTTGGTTTGATTAGAATAGATGCAGGTCTGTCTGTTGCTGCTGCGTCATGTGGACTAGTAAGTGACCTTGATCGTGTAGATGATATCGAGGACAATGACGCGGACGATTGCTGTGGGTCGTTAGAAGTGCCCGAGTGAATAAGCTCAGTAGCAGTGCTAGTTGAACTGGCGATGTTGCAGACAGAACCGGATCCAGCGGTACGCTCCTGCATGCGACTGGATGGACAAATAGAATCTTGTCGGAGTGTCCTAATCGGCTCAGGATCCGCGGCAGACCCCAGAGAGGGGATCGATCCTGCGGTTGGTCCTGCTGCTGGTGGATTCGGGTAAGAGTAATTAGCGGCACTGATGATGGTGGTACCAGTGCCAGGTAACATGGCCACAGCATTAGACCTAGATCTGTTGCCCTTGACTGGTGTGATATGATAAAGATTATCGTGGTGATGGAGACCCTTGCTCTGTCGATTCCTGGCGCCACCAACTGCACCCGTGGTATCCTGTGTCTGATTGGCCGCAATATCTCCATCTGATTCATCCTGGTCTTCGGTGAGGGTGGTGGTGATAATGTCAAAGCCGACTATGGTTGTACCAGCGTTTGATGAAGGTGAGCTAAGGGTTGCTTTGTTGGCAGTTGGCACAGGTATTGAGTTTATGGAATTCAGAGCAGGCGATGGCACAGGGGGGACAGATAGCGGTGGCAAGGTTAATTGAGGGCAAGATGTTGAGAGGGAGGAGTTGAGCAGTACAGAATCATCTTTGTCCTGACTGAGACGCATAGAGGATTGAGAAGAGGATTGGGAGCTTCTGTTCGTGGTGTGTGTGCTCGCAAAGCGACCAGAATGGCTGCTATTGCGGCTGTAGCCACCAATGCTGCCGCTGCCTTTCCTGTTGGAGTTGGAGCTCGACTCTGTTGAGACAGGCAGGATAACAATGTCCATTGGACCAGGATATGGGGACGAGCAAGGAGAGGAGCCAGTGGAGGTCAGCATGGAGGCGGGAATGGGTTTGATAGTGGTGATGACTGTGGTGACGGGAAGGGGGAATCCGAAGGCATCCTTTGGTCCACTAGCACTGGAGGCCGTGGAGGCGTCAGAGAGATTGTGATCGCTGGGGTGTGAGGGGATAGAGGGTTGTGCTGACGAGGGCTTCCTCTGCAAGCCCTTTAGGAACCGTGGCAGACTCATAGAGGTCTGACGCGGAATGAGATTCGAATGAGTGGCAAGGATGACGAGAGAACTTGGTGGAATGAAGGGGGGGTTGGAGATGAAGATGGGAAGGGAGCTGACTCGATGGTGCAACAGCGGCTGGTCTTTCCCTCCTCCCCAAGGGAGCCCGCGCATTTTTTTCATTTTTGATGATCATGAATCCCACTTGTCGGGGGGTGGTGTCTGTGCAAAAACCTTATGGCCACAAGTTTTCAGAGCATGCAGAAAATGATATATTGCTATTTACAGATGGTTATTATTGATATTCGTAGTAACGATGCTATACAAAACAACTCTTTTATTCTTCTGTCGAGAGGGGTGCTGGCAGTGCAGTGTCGGATGGCACCACGGCTGCTGCTCGGCAGACCGGACACTTGTTCGCTCCTGTCGTGAGCCACTGGGAACAGGAAAAAATAAATAAAAAGAGACATTGGTTAGCGCAGTTGGCTTCCTATGATACGGAAACGCCGAGTAATTGAGCGCCGAGATACGCGTTTGTGGTATATATGTACCTTGTCAATGCACTCCTGATGAAAGCCATGCTTGCAGCGCAGGGCACGCATACCTTCGCCCTCCTCATAGTCGCTCATGCAGATTAGGCACTTGGATCCATCGCCCAACATGTCAAAGTCGCGCATTCCCTGGGCTGCGTCCTCAAACTGACCCACGTGAAAGCCAGCATTGTCAATGGCCTCCTGTGTCGTCGTGGTCGGTCGTGCAGGTCCGATCATATTAGATAGCATCCACAGGTCATCATAGCTCAATCCCTCGTCGTCGCCGTCTTCTGCAGCGCCCGCCAGCAGGCTGCTGAGATCTAATCATCATTCATCAATAAGTGGAATATAGCTCGCGATTAATCAAATGTAAACCCAGTTCCGAATGAAAATATGGAGGATCAAAAAGAAAGCAAGACAAGCAGAGAGATACTTACAGGCCCCTGAAAGAGTAAAAACAACCCAAGGCGACCTTCGAGGCCGTGTTCGAGGTGTCTCACCTCCATCCTGCGACGTTGTCTCCGAAGGCTCTGCATCAGACCCGTTTCCAGACGCAGGGCTGCTCAAGAACATGAGAATCGCATCCGCCAGTTCTTCATGTCCCACGCGAGTCGCATGATCGGGTGTCTCGCTGCGAGATGAGACCTGCCCTGAGCCAACAGACCCGCTTCTTGGCCGTGTAGCGCTAAAAGCGGCGAGACTTGTTCCACCTCCGATTTGAATAAAGCGAATTGTGGTGTGTCGACGAGGCCGTGATGGGGCGCTGCGTTGATCGAGAGTGCCGCTGGCTAGCGTTGGCCTGCTGCGTGGAAGGGCACTGTCTGATACGGACGCGTCGTTGATACTCGAATGAAGACCAAAACCTGAACCGGAGGAAGGAATAGTGCTGCCTTCTGTCGTCGACGTGAAAGCTGGGCTTGATGTACTGCGAGTTGGTGAGTCGCGATCCCCTTCGGTGCTGTGTCCCTGACCACCACGCAGACTTCGGCCAATTTCCATCAAAAGACGCGTGAAGAATGGAAGTTGGTTTTCCACGAAACGTCTTTGATCCACAGTCTCCTCCAACCGAGCTCTCTGATCGTGTCGTACTGGAGTGAATCCTCTGTCGATCCCTGTGCCTCTGACGCTAGTCCCGGAAGTGCCCATGGTCGGATAACCAAGCAATCCTCGGAGACTGGATGAACGAGATCGTCTTCCATGAATGGCGGCGCTCCTGTGAGTTGTCGAATCTCCTCCCGAGCCAGCATCCAAACGAGGCCCATAAGTGCTGCTTTCTAGAGCAATTGTTCCATCGTTCAAGTTCGTCCTGGTAGTGCTGCTACGAAGGGTTTCCATCGGTGTGGTTAGTGAACTAGGCATTGGGTATCTATGCTCTGTTAGCGGCGGTGGACGATTTGCTTCAGTTTCTGCAATGCCCTGTGCTATCTGCCCACGGATGACATCGGCAATCAATTCGGGAGGTGGATATCGACTTGGCCTCGATGCACGCGGTCGTTCCCCTGCACGTTCTCTGACTCCTGCATTCATATGGCCTTGGCTCTGCTCTGTATCAGAGCGATGGCGTGCGAACACAGTGTTGGTGTCACTTGATGGACTAATTAGGCCATGTTCGAGAGCCTGTTCCTGATCAACCACCCTGTGCTGGTTGTGAACGTCGCTGGCTGCAAGACTATCGTCATCTTCATCCTCAGACTCTGGTCGAATAGGTAATAGGCTGGATGAGATAGACGTGCCCCCTCGTGGATTGGAATGTCCAACAAATGGGCTGGCATCAAGACCCAAATCGACCGCGTTGATATTCCTAGTCTCCAAGGACTCCACCGTAATCATTTGTGATGATGCGGAGTGATTTGTCTGTATGTCATGTGCGGTAAATGGATGAGAGGGCAAGGCTTGAAGAGCAAAGGAGCGACGGGTTGAGTCCTGGTCCTGCTCTGTGGAAAGATGTCCATTTGGATGCGGAGAATACTGACGCAAATGTGGCTGAAATTGTCCTGCTAATGGTGCTGCTGTTGAAGAGGATGAGTGCGTGGCGAGAACGCCTGAGGATCGACTGGAAGTGGAACGAAAACTGCGGATAGATTGCTCGTCATGTCTTCGCTGCATATGCGAGACTCCGCGCGGTGTGCGAGTACTCGACGTTGACGGATAAGGAATGCGTTGCGGTGTCTGAGGACGAGTCGATGTTGGGCGGGATGAGGTGGGAAGACCAGAGCGTTCAGGTTGGACAAGTCGTGCAGAGAGGCCTGTTAGACGATATTCGGGGGCGCTTGATATGACTGTGCTAATGCTACTGCTGCCATTGCTGATATTGCTACTATCATTGACGGTAGGTGCAGTCCTTGCACTTGGAGCGGCGTCGTCAGTGTTTCTATCTTGGCCTGTGATGCCGCTGTTATTGTGGATGTTGTTGCCGCTGGTGCTTCGGTTAGTGCTTCTGTTAGCTCCCCTGTTTCTGCCGGTGTTGGTATTGGTATTGCTGTTTCGAAAGAGCAGGAAATTAAATGCAGCCCGAATGCGTCTTCCACGGGTGCTGGAATGCCTTGGCCTTGCAGACGCAGCAGCAGTTGTCGCTGTGGTAGAACTAGGAGTCTGCGCCGGCGTTGATGAGGACGGTGTCTGTGCTTGTTGTGCAGAGCGTTGGGAAGCAGAGACAAGGGGCTGGGGGGTGGACTGGAGCATATGGCTGTGGTTATGGTCTAATATACAGGGTTGTCCGTGAGAATGGGAGTGCGGATGAAAGTGGGAGTGAACAGGAGAGGTATTAACAGAGGGCGGTGGATGAGTAGGAGTAGGGGTGCTGGTTCCTGGTGGTAGTGGTGGCGATAAGGATGATGTGGAAGTTCCCGGTGTCGATGCTAGACGTGGCAGAGGCAGGGTTGTCGTTCGATCGGCAGTGGCGGTGGCAGCGACAGTCGCTGGTGCCAGGTGGTGACCTCCAACCCGGGACTGAGACTGAAGCTGAGACTGGGACTGAGACTGTGACCTTGAGGGCCGACTGCTCCGCGAAGGCGTGGAGGATATCTGGCCCATTAGGAGTAGGGCAGCAGCAACAGTGGGCAGGTCAGAGGCCAAAGATCAGAGGACACTTTGATATATGTTTATGTGGGCCCGGGCGTGTACGTAAAAGCGTCTGTGGGCGGAGGGGGGAAGAGGAAAGTGAAGTGTGAGAGAGAGGGAAAGCAGAAAGCGGAAACAAGGGGTGGAAGGGAAGGGGAGAATGGGCCGAGGAGATAAAAAGTCATAAATGGCCTTCGGTCACCTGCTGGGATTGCTCAACCTCATCCATTTCCCATTTGCATTTGCATTTGCGCACAGACATCCCGTCTATTGCTGCTTCAACTGCGAGGTGTACGCCTGGGAAATCCATTCTTTGCAACAGCATCCTTAGACTGTGTGCAGATTGTATCATTTTTATTATGCTTTGATGACGACTGAATTGGATGGGATCGATCCCCTCCCCTCCTTCTCGACTACCCTCTACCCTAAAATATAAAAACCCTAACATGTACGCTCTAAAAAAATGTCGCGCCCGTATTCAGCTGGTACGCGACACGTCCACTGCGTACCAACCGATCACAATTCCTTTGGATATCACCCTTGAGGATCTCCTTTTTCTCTTCTTGGCCACCCCTCTCTCCCCTCCTTTCGCTCCACCGCTCTTCTCACCACCACCACCACCACCATCGCCGCTGAAGGTAGCAGTAGCAGATACAGGAAGCAGATTGCGGCGAACAGGGTCCAAGAGAGCATCCTCCTCCTCTTCCACCATCATCATCACCTTCATCATCTTCATCTTCATCATCATCATCATCATCATCCCCCTTCCCCTTGATCTGCAGGCAACCTTCTAATGGCCTACTCGCAGCCCTCAACACCGACCATGCACCCTGCTCAGGCTGCTCCTCCCAGACCTGGATTCAGACCCCAGCAGCAACAGCAACAGCACCAGCAACTCCCATATGGCCAACACCCAGCTCCTCCTAATCACAATGTCCAGCCAGGCACCCTAGGACAGCCAGGTGGGCCTCCTGCACACCAAGGTGTGAACCCACCCATGGGATACAGACCATCCATGAATGGAGCACCTCCACCTGGCCCTCGTCCACCTATGAATGGAGGCATGCCCAGACCGCCTCATCCTCATAACGCAGTCGGACCTCAGCCTAACCAGCAACCGACGCCTCAACAACAGCAGCAGCAATATGGACAGCAGATCGGCTCACCTCTCCAGAGGCCGCCATCTATCGTCGGCGCTCAACGCGCCGCTTCGCCCATGATACGGCCATCGACCCTGTCCCAACCTGGATCGCCCGGTATGCCTCGCCCATTTCAGTCGCCACAGATCCAAGCTCGACCCCCTCCAGGTCATCAACCTAGCCATGGGTCTCCTGCTATGAGGCCAATGGGATACAATGGACCACCCAGTGGATCAATGCCTGGATATGGACAAAGTCAAAGTCAACCTCCCACACCAAAGATGTCGAACCAACAGTATCCCTCCCAGCAGCAACTTCCGCCACAGCAGCAGCAGCAGCAACAGCAGATGCCTCAGCTTCAGGACCATGGAGTTCCTGTCCCTGGCATGATCAATGGCTCTCCCACCCCCGTGGCTCATGCAGGCACACACAAGCCCAAGCGCATGTATCCCCAAGGTATGAACTCGTACCAGGATCCCGCATCGCCGAACCCGGGATTCCAGCCTTCAGCTATGCCAGGAGTAGCCCCTCCACCCGATGCAGGCCACCTGCATGCCGTCAGCCAGGGCTCGCAATTCTTTGTCCCTGGCGAGAAGCAGGGCTCCAACTTTGACCAACCGGTTCCTGCTTACCAGCAAGGACTCCAACCCCTTATCGGGCAGCCTTTACAGCCCAACGCGAACCAATTGGCGAGCCAGATGGGAGGCATGAATGTTGGCGGTGGTTACGGCTTCGATGGTCAGGGAAACTCGGTATGTCACCTACTCGGCCTCCCCACAATCCAACATTGAATTCATTTTATGCGGCATAACTAACAATATTCGATCTTCTCCATTCGGCAGCTTTCCACGGTTGCATTGATGGGCGTTGCGCCCAAAGTTCTGGATCTCGATACGGCGCCCCCTGCCATCAATCTTCCTCCCAACGTAATCTCTCGTTAGGACATGTCCGACAATGTCATGAGCTGTTTCTCGTTAATGCTGACACCTCACTCTTTTCTTGTCCTACATTTAATTCGATCTAGTCTTCGTTCAGCCAGTCTCCCCATGCCAACTGCCATCCCTCTTACAAGCGATCGACGCTAAATGCCATTCCCGCTACGTCGCAACTCTTGCAAAAGTCAAGGCTTCCGTTCGGTCTTGTCATTACCCCATACCGCAGCGTCAAGGAAGGCGACGTAAGTTTGCTGTGTATTTATCATTGGTGATTGCACTGCTTTCGTACAATAACCTAACGGCGAATACAATCTTTCATCGCGTTTTTATGATGCAGGAGCCCGTGCCAGTCGTGACAGACTCGATCATTGCTCGTTGCCGCAGATGCAGGACCTATATCAACCCCTTTGTCAGGTTTGTTGAGGGCGGTCAGCGCTGGAAATGCAACATGTGTTACACACTGAACGAAGGTAGGCGATACAAAATCTATCTGGAATTGTGCGACTCGACAAGAACATTGCAATCTGAACACTCATTATTATGTTTATCTGCTTGGTTTCCGCCAAACAATTCCAGTGCCTTCTTCATTCGACTATGATTCGCAGACACAACAACCCGTAGATCGCTGGCAACGCAAGGAACTGAACCATGCTGTCGTGGAATACATTGCCCCAACAGAGTATATGGTGCGACCTCCCCAACCTCTCGTATACTTGTTCGTGATCGATGTTTCGTACGCTGCCATTCAATGTGGCATGGTGGCAACGGCTGCAACAACCATTTTGGAGTCATTAGACCGCATTCCCAACGATGAAGGCCGCACCAAAATCGGCATCATCACCGTCGATAGCTCGATTCACTTCTATAACCTGAATGTAAGATGATGCACGAACTCCTGGCGTATCTGATATGTAACAAGATCAATATGAGCAAGTTTTCCTGATAAACGCAACATTGGCCTTCACTCAATATTAGACCGCTTCAGGAGAGCCACAGATGCTGGTCGTATCCGACCTTGAAGACCCATTCTTGCCCCAGCCACAGGACTTGTTGTGTAACCTCAAGGAATGTCGCCCAACGCTGGAGGCGCTTCTGAACAGGATGAGTGACATGTTCAAAGATACACAGAACGTCGGCAACGCATTGGGCCCAGCACTGCAGTCGGCCTATAAAATGGTATCTCCGATCGGTGGCAAAATTATGTGCCTGCAGGCCACCTTGCCAAATTTAGGGACAGGCTCGCTCAAGATGAGAGAGGACGCAAAGTTGCTAGGAACATCTAAGGAATCAACCTTGCTGCAGGCGGCATCGCCTTTCTACAAGACACTGGCAGTTGAGTGCTCAAAATCTCAAGTTTGCATCGACATGTTCCTCTTTGGATCCCAGTATTCCGATGTGGCCACCCTCAGTGAGTTTACATTCGTGTTTTTTCTAGACTGCACTCTACACTACCGCCGACAGTTTCTAACTCTTGCCATTTCGAATGCGACCGATTTACAACGTTTACATGTACTATTAGGCTGTCTCCCTCGATACACAGGCGGAAGCACCTTCTTCTACCCAGCCTTCACTGCAGCAAAGTCGGAGGACGCCCTTAAGTTTGCTCACGAGCTGGCGGAATTTGTGTCGCAGAGGATTGCTCTGGAGGCAGTGATGAGAGTCCGCGCGTCCAAGGGACTGAGGATGTCGGCCTTTTACGGCAACTTTTTCGTGCGCTCGACCGATCTGCTGTCCTTGCCCAATGTCCCACGCGACCAGTCGTATTCTATTGAAGTGAGCTTTGAAGATAACCTCAACATCCCGGTTGTCTGCTTCCAAACGGCACTATTGCACACGTCCTCTTCTGGTGAGCTGTCTGACTCTGATGGACCCTTCGTTTTCTCAAAATATCCAAAATGGCTCTGCTAATGCCACGTATATATTGTGTTTTCATTATGTATCCTTAGGTGAGCGACGTATCCGTGTTTTGACTCTGGCCTTGCCAGTGACCAACAGCCTCTCGGACTTGTTCCTTTCTGCAGACCAGGTTGCCATCGCGACATTGCTTGCCTGCAAGGGTGTCGAACGCGGCATGAGCTCGAAATTGGACGATGCTCGTGACGCACTGACCAACAAATGCGTCGATATCCTGGGCGTCTATAAAACTCACTTGACAGCATCATCCACCGGAGCAACTCCAAACCTGCAGATCTCAGATAATTTGAAGCTCCTGCCACTGCTGACCCTCGGCATGCTGAAACACGTAAGACTCTCACCGATATTTCTTCAGCATTCATTTACCCATGATACGTAGGAACTACATCTGGAAAGTCCTCTTATATTGTGTATTTCTTGATAAAATTTCACTAGGTCGCTCTTCGTGGAGGTTCCCAGATTCCATCGGACCTTCGGTCCTATGCAATGCATCTTTTCTCAACTTTGCCGTCTCAGTGCCTAATCCCATATATCCATCCTAAACTTTATTCTTTGCACAACATGCCCGAGAACTGCGGCACGATCGGCTCGAATGGAATCGAGATGCCCCTGGCCCTGAACCTGAGCAGCGAACGCCTCGAGCGCGGTGGATTGTTCTTGCTGGAAGATTCGCAAAATATTTTCTTATGGATTAGTCGGGATGCTGTTCCTCAGTTGTGCATGGATCTCTTTGGTGTGCCCAATTATGACAGTATCCGAGGCGGAAAGGTACGAAACGATATGAACATTTCACAACTAGACCAAAAGGCTCCTGGAACAATTGAGCCATTGATTAAGATGCTTAAACATTCGTCAACTCTAGACCACGCTTCCTACATTGGAGAGCGACTTCAACCAGCGCGTAAACTTGATTGTTGGGAAGATTAAAGAGATGCGCAGAACGGCCTACTACCCACAGATGTACATCATCAAGGATGATGGCGACCCAGCGCTGCGTCTCTGGTTCCTGAGCCACTTGATCGAGGATCGTACAGAGCCCATCATGGGCTATCACCAATACCTCGGCCATCTCAAAGATAGGGTAGGCATAAATAAGGCACCGTCCATGATAAGGCGAAATGCCAAGCTCGTCAGCTCTAATACTCGGTTTTTTTTTTCTCCTGGTAGGTTAACAGCGGCTCATTCTAGAGCATTAATGAACGGCGCGGAACGATGTTTAATTTGGTCAGGAACGGAGCAACTGGTAACACTTTTAGACGTGGCGATAGACACTAGCTTTCGAAAGCAGAACAAAGCAATGATTTTGAACAAAAACGTTTGTCTCCTTATTAAGATCCCTATAGATGTCTATTGTCTAGATCTATAGCTTAATCTTGTTGTTGTTCATGTTTCTGTTTCTACTACTTCTGTTGGTCCTGGATAGTATCTTGGATCTCGATCATCTTCTTCAGCGGTCGGACCAAATCCTACAATGAACAAAATACAAAAATTTGTCAGAGGCAAGCACCCCATTACCACGCAGTGTGAAACAATAACGCAGATGCAGGTCGCATGGGCGGTATATTTTACCTCCAGTAACAGCTCTGCTTCAGTCGACGAACCGTCTTCTGCGAACGCGCTTCCTGAAACAGTTGGCCAGCCAAGCAGTGCGACCGCCTGACCTACAGCTTCGGCTGTCGAGGTGTAGGTCGCCTTGGGTTCTGGTTTCAGGCCATGGTATATGGACTGGGGCGGGTTCGGAAACTTAATCTGAGCTAGCTGTTGCAGACGAGGATTGCAGCGGTACATGATCTTGGCGTGGGACCAGCTGCCGTCCAGGGCGATGATGAGTTTATAAGGGTATGGTGTTGGAGATGTAGACTGTGGGTTGTTAGCATCGTTCATCATATCGGTACTGTCGGCGCTTTGGTCGTGGATGCAATCCTGGCAAAAGTAACGAGACTGCGCTGCATGCTGAGTCGTGCCATTGCTGCCGTCTGAGGGCGCTACTGGTAATGGCAATGATGGTTCTGGTGCCAAGGTTTGGATATCGACGGCAGAGTGACTTGGGTACAAAAGTAGAGGCGAACAGTTCGGATCCCCGAGTGCTTGATCTAGTTCTGACAGAGTAAACGTGCGAAGCATTACAATGTCAGATAAAAGTCATAATTATGCTGGGCAACCAAGGCTCCCACTACGTGATATAGTTACCTGCTGATCGACCAGTCTTGAAGTCCTTGCCGATCACGATTTGACAGTATTTGAAGCTCATCTTTAGGATCCTTATCGTACCAATGCTGACCTGGCATCGTGGATGCTACATAAAGGAAACCAGGGAGGATATGGTGTAAGTGCACAGGTCGTATGGTTGAGCAAGACGCAACGATAAATGGGTGGCCCAAGGAAAAGGTTCCTACCTGTAATATCATGATCCTTACACGGCAATTGCAGTACTGCTGCGCTGTCAACGCCGAGCAGATGCAAGATCGGGACGGCCTCCAGCAACGCTCACATTCTTGGCGAGCAGAATCCGCATTATTCCTGTGTATAGCATGATCTAGTTCGTTTCGATGGCGGTACAAGGAAAGTATAGGAACGGATTAAGTAATCCTTGCCTCACATCTACTTCCATAAACATCGATCGCACCAAACAAGGATCTTCTTTTTCTTTTTTCTTTTCTTTTTTTGTCATCATTTTACCAATGCGATTAGGAGTCTTGACATCCTTAGATTCTACAAACCGGTAGTCTCCAAAGAACGTCCGCTTCCAGCTCCACAGGGTGTTTGTCCAAGCCAAGGGTGTGTACTTGAGTTCCGGATCCAGTGACGGAAACTTGCGACGATGTGCACGCTGTTCGAAACGCGAATAAAATTTCGTCCGCTTTTGTTTTTTGTTCTGTCCGTCTTGTCCGCCTCGTTCTCCATCGTCTTCTTTAGTTGTTGAGTCTTCCGGTTTCGTCATAGTTGCCGGTCTACCGACCGCCGTATACCCTTCTGGCTGGTCATCATCACCTTCTTGCCGAGCCCCCACGTTGCCAGCGTCCAGAAATGTCGTAGAGGATCCTTTAGGTGTGTCAGAAGGCTGCAACAGTTTCAACTGGTGTTCGCGCCGCACTCGGATCAGGTCGAGGCTCTTTTGGTCAGTTGTGGGCCAGTGACGATCCGGAAACCGAGCCAGAGTGAGCGGTTGCCAGAGCTGATCTGCAGACGCCAGATGGTTAAATCGTTGACTGCAGCAGCAAAGTCGGCAGAGAGTCCGCGCACCCGGTCCTGCTACCCTGGCAGACCCATTCTTTTTTTTCTTCTTTCGAAATTTGGTGGAGTTGTTGGTGATAGGAACAGGGGCTGGGCTGGTCTCTCCTGGTGGTACAAAAACCGTACTGTTGCTTTTGAGGCCTGAGGGCTGCGAATCTAAGTCTTGGTTCTGATTCCTTGACTCATCATGATTAGGTTGGGTCGCTCCTGAATCGTGATCGGTAACGAAGTAGGAGAATATCTTAAGAAGGACATCGTCAGGGAGATCTGTAATTTGCATGATGCAATGATTGCCTCGAGCCTAGGCGATCGGTTTCAAAAAATATTCGTGGCACAGTTACAAATCGCAGAGTCGTGCAAAAGAAAAATCTTATATTATGGGCACGCAACTGCAAGTCGTCGCTACTATATAGTTGCATATTCCTCTTAGAATCGTCCACCGCGGCCACGGCCACGACCGCCCCTTGGTCCTCCACGTCCACGACCTCGTCCTCTCGATGAAGTCGGTCCAGCTGCTATGTATTGTTTCAAATCAGAGACGTGCAAAAAGGCAGTTGATAAGCAACATTATCATAAAAACCGACCCAATAATTGAGAACCACGCAGACGATGAATATTCGTACCAGCTTTCTTTTTGGATTTGCTCTTGGGTGAATCGTCAATCAACAATGTATCCAGTGGCAGGGAATCCGGAAGAATAAAGTATCGGATGTTGTTGCCACGAATGCTCAATGTGTCTAGACTGACGGGGTCCTTATTCTTGACCGTCATCTTCACAGCCCTCAGATGTGTGTTCATGCTCATATCCACTCCTAATTAGAAGCAGCATACACATAGCAGATTGTATAAAGGTTAGAACCATAAAACTTTTGCCCGCATCGTCGTGCTTCCAATGCTATCCCTTTGTTGAGTCCATACCTGTGACCGTGCCATGGACAATAGTACCGTTTTTGAGCTCGACTGTAACAGTCTCGGTATTGAGCTTCATAAGAAAACTAAACGATTGACATGGTATTCAGAACCAGGCGATGATGTTAGAGAGAAATCGGATTGATATAGCCTGATCATATGTTTAGACGCGTTGTGGTGTCGTTCTATCGTTTCATGCGTGTGACGCGTAGAAACATCGATCCTGAGCTGGCGCTTAAGCTGTCTTGTTGCCTCATGATTGTACGCCTTTGAATAGGGCTACAAGTTGCTCCTTCGAGTCCTCTTTGTATGGCTTGAATGGGTCACAGTCTGGAGGTAATCTCTCTGTTTCCAGATCTCATCTGTCACGCCTCCATGTTGATGTCCAGTTGTTGCTGCTTTCCTTCATGGACCAATTTAATGCTTTTCTTGAGATGCTTTTGAAAATGAGTTGTCTCATACCGAACCAGCTTCATGTTGATGTATACGGGATCGTGTGCTGGAGTGTTGAGAAGAGTAATGGACAGAGGTGGGGTCCAGATCTCACAACACCAGGTGGCTTATAGTCCTGTACTATTCGGATTTATTGGGACTACTGCGGGAATTATAGAGTGAGTATATCAAACGCCTAGCCCAAGACCTGATGAAGCAATGTTGGGTAACGTTGGTGGAGCAGGAGAAGAGACTGCTGTCTGGCCCTGTGATGGACCTGTAGGCCCTCCGGTATGACTGGTACTACTGTTAGCATGACTGAGACTACTGTGGACAATGTACGGGTTGTTGCTGTTGGTGAGAACCAACCCACCAACAGACTTGACAAGTCTCAAAAGATGAACATCGAACTGCTCGGAGCGGATTGGCATCTCTGGGTTCTGGAAGGGATTCTTGACACAGTAATCCGAATAAACTTCGTAGATTTTCTTCATCGTATGGTCGATCGAGGGCTGCTGTGGGTCCGCCACCAATAGGAACTTTGTGCCTGGTAGAATTCAAAGCGCAATGGTCAGAATTAGGGCCAGTTACGTTGCAGGTGCCATACGTTTCCCTCAGTTAATGCAGCCGCCTTACCAGTGAGGGTTTGGAAACAGTGTATCCTAAAGGTGTCTGTTTCCAGCATTTCAATTCCACTTGATCCGGGGACAGGAGAGATCTTTGAGGTGATAGCATGGACACTATGTTGTCGTGAGGTGAAGATATAGCATTCTCTGTCAGCAATTGGTTCCCGTGTATGCTCCTTCGCGTTCTGCTGGTTGATTCTCCGGTAGCCTGGCTCATATCGCGCTCATAGTCAAACTGATTACCCATGGAATGTTCCAGCAAGGACAAGGTATTCGTTCGACGTGAGTTTCGAGAGCCCCTCGGAGTAGTCTTTGTTGTAGACAAGCCCGCCAGCCTTGTTGATGATGTAGATGGAAAAGATCATGGTTGCCCTATGACGAAAAGTGTCGTCTTGTTTCTGCCTGCTCCACAGTGATGGCAAAAAGTCCTACTGTGTCTGTCGCTGATTCTCTTGGTATCCTGCGTCCAAAGTGCAAAAGTCGATTGGGGTGTATATGGTCAAGGCGTAGATGATGCTCGAACGAACGAACGCATGATGTGAAGCTGAAACCATCCAAACCATGTGGGGACTGCTTCTTGCATTTACCAACTCGTTCGCCTATCTGCCCAACTTGCCTCTCATTCACTTCCTCCCTCATCATTGCATCGCCTTCTCGATCCAAGGCCCTAACCAAAGCACACCGACATTAGAGATACTTGAGCGAGCTCATATTATGACCCCAACCTACGACGCCACCAACGATATCTACGGACCCGAGGGCCCGCCCACCATATCATCCCTTATTGCCAACAATAGAAGCGAAGGAGGGGCAGCCTTTCCCGTCAGCGGTGGTCTTCGTGTTGCAGGGTCTGCCCGCCAACCTGCCACATATGGATCCCGCACCATGACTCTAGATCCGACTCAGATCGAAGAGGAGGACCCAGCAGAGGAAAGCCATGATACTGGTGTTCTGGAACTCACAGGAGAATCAAGTTCAGGAAGGCGGGTCCAATGGGATGACGACGTTGTAGATAACGAGCATATGGGGAAGAAAAAGTCCAAAAGTAGGTGCCATGAAGAGTGTCGACTTTTACCTAAGACAGCATAAATGATGAAATGGTGCCATGGTGAGGTCGTTGACATTTCCTCTTTTATTCACGCACTAGTTTGCTGCATCTTCAAGAAACAAAAGGAATTTGGCGAGTCTTCAGACGAGTCATCGTCAGATTCGGATTCGGATTCTTCAGGGTCAGAGTCAGATGGTGGGCCTGTCTCGTCCAATCCAAGCAAAGGAAAGAGCAAAGGAAAAGACGGCAACGGACCCTGCGACCATTCCGATCCCAACCATCATCATCATCATGGATCTAAGAAGGCAAAGAAGCGAGTCCTGAACGAGTATGAGAGGATGCCAAAAGGTAATTACGACCGCAGCAACGAAGAAGAATTAGGATTGGTGACACACTCAATGCACGTAATCCTTGTTGCAAGTGGATTGGTACTAACAGATGGACCATATCACTTTTTCTGCAATCGATACTCTCATCACAGTGAAGCTTTCGCAGCCTGCGCCTGTCAATCAATAACAGGGACTCCAAGAAGATCGTAATCAAGGCAGGAATCCCATATGTATAGATTGCCAAACAAAACAACAATAGAATTGTATGCTACGATTTTTGATTGTTTACAGACCCTTTGTTGAGCATCGATCACACCAGGAGCAATGAAACGAAGTGCCATTCTTCTTGAACCAATATCTTGTTGAAAGACTTAAATAAAGAGCTGGGGCCATCTGGGCTTTGGCATCAAGCAATTGGGCGAAGCTCAAACGCACTCATGCATGCGTGACTGATTTTATCCGTACAAGGCCTTATGCTCATCGTCCTTTTTTCGTTTCCTCAACTGGACCCATATTCGTACGCTAGAATATCTTTAAGAACAGACACGAACCCTTGGTCAAGCATATGGAAACTGGTAGTGATCATGATACAAATATGTTTTCTTCAACAAACACCGCTTACTATCCAACTGGGACTCAATATCTTCCATAACTTGCGGAATCAATTAACTCAGGTACCGCAACAAACAGCAGCAAAAGTGATGGTGTCCTGCAAGCATTTATTGAAGAGAAAGCCTTCAGCATCACAATTAAAGCAGCGCGGCTCGCAAAGATGCCGTGCCAATGTCCCACTCATGCAAGTATTCCCGAGATCTCGAATAGAGAGCTACAGGATACGCACCGCCAAGAGGACTTGACCATCTTGAAAGATATGCCAGGTAAACCACATGAAGCCCATCAATAGAAGGCCATATCGGGACTTATATCTAAGTTGAAGCCTTATTTTCCTTCGCCTCTGCTAGTAGAGGAACCAGCGTTTGAAAAGATGACGATTTGTTGCCACCAAACCATTGAACATCAAGCGCTCGCGTTATCATTGCCCCCCGCCGACGTGCAAACCATACCATGCCGCATCGATGGTGGTGGCCTTGCGATCGACTATCGCCATTTTGTGAACGGAGGGAACGTAAGCTTCTCGGTACTGCCTCAAGGACAAGTCGCCTCAATACTCCTCAATACCTCTGTAGGTGATTTTGAAAGGTGCATATTTTTAGGGATGCTTTGCATGTTCGTCCGCCAATACTTATATATATATATTTCGTAGGCAGAACGACTGCCGTCGTGGTCAGTACATGGCGTTTCAAGGATAGTGCCCATCGACATGGATATCTCGGATGGCTGTTGGCGTAGGTTTTTTTTATTATTATTAAAAAAAATCGACAGTCGCTTCGTAGCTGTTGAGGTCCTGATCCTTTGGCACTGATCATCAATCTGTGTGCATGTCGTGTGCTGTTGATGCTACTCGCTTTCATTTGAGCGGGGTTTCTTTGTATAATAAGCGCTCTGTGAAAGAAAAAAAAATCCTCCGGCAAGTCAACGCAGGAGACATTTATGTACATTGGAGGAAACAGGAACAGAGGTTTTTTCATTTTGCGAGATTATCAAGTAAAGCTGCCTTTGTTGAAATTGCTGGCAGACGAGCTGCATTGAAGGACTATTGGTAGTACAGATATTGCAATACCGCAGTACTGGGCGTCTGTTGTCTGAAGTGACTCTAATGAAAGACCATGGATGCCAGTTACTTCCGTCGAACGATTGCCAGGTAAAATGGGAGAATGTCCTGCAAAAATAAAAATAAGAATAAAAAAAAAAGGTATTTCCGGTTAATGTCCAGTCGTGATAAACCTAACGCTATTAAAAGAAAATGGGACACCTCCTTACAAGTTTTTACCTGGTCATTCGCAACGTAGTACACGTCGTCTCCTCCAGGTTTGTGTCGAGTGATGTTGCGGGCTCGGCAAATGAAGATGGGCAAGTGTTGATGGACTCCCGATTTCTTCGCTGCAAATTCTCGTGGAATAGTCAACGACGGCGAAAAGAAGTGTCCTGTACATGCCCCGGACATAATAGTGAAAATAAACAGGACAAATGTTATTAGACCAGGATGCGAAAAGAGTCTAATAGACAAATGGACAGCAGAACAGGCATAATTACCGTTGGAAGCACACATAGTTCTCAGGTGGCCGTGGTTCAAGATACCCTGGGTTGCACAGCGCATGCTGCCACACCACTGGTGAGCAAGGACCATATGGTTTTCTGGGTTGGTAATCCTTGCTTGCAAGCAGCCACAGTGGCCTGTGCCGTGAAAGAACGCCTCCTTGTGCCATTGTGCCTCGTCTGCATGGCTTCCTACGACCGTCTCTGTGTATGAAATCTGGTACAGTGCGACCAGCTGTTTCGAGAAGACAATATCGTAGATCTGAAACTCAAGGGTGCTGATCCGAACGGGCTCCACGTGGGCTCCTTTGACAGACATTCTTATGTGGAACGGTCTTGTAAACAGGGTACAGCGGCGATGAGATAGTGTTTGTAAATGACCCGACGGAAGTACAGGAAAGGGAGGAAGAAAGAAAGGAGCGAGCGCAGATGCATGTGTCGCTTTATAGTATCTCATTCTTTGCTGGAATATAAGATCGACCACTGATCAGATTTTACTGTCTTATGCAGGGCGAGGTATTCCCAGTGGCATGCATGATGTGGTGGCGAGAGCGATGGTTCCTACAATCGATAACTGCAGCACCGCTGTCCGATGTAGTACATGGCACAGCACAGCTCTTTCATTTTGGTCCGCAACGGTCCTCAAGGTCTTTGATGAGCAATGTGTTGTTTACTCAATATATTTGGTATAGAAAAACAAGATTACACTCATTTTCACCCCTCGCACACAACGCGTACAAGCTTATATATAGTCCCCCTGCATTGAGTAGCAATGAATACCTGCAGGGTAATATGTTTTTGTCCTGTTCTTTGTTGTTCTGCATGCACAAACCTCAACCTAAAACGCACAGCATAAAACACAGCAATTGGTTTCACCTTCCGCCTCGTGCAACAAAACCCTTTCCTGTCCAAGGTCCGCGAGCTCTTGTTTGTGGTTGGTATTGAATCGGATTGTTTACTGTATGCGCATCAAATTGCCTGCACATCTCTCCTAAGAGGAACTAAGAAATGCAAGCAGAAAGTAGTACGGGAAATCCAGAGCCAAGGCTTTTCTGCATGCAACCAGGATATTTACTAGTTTACCCTGCAAGATATAAATACAGGCATAGACTACCACCTCTCAGAAGAATGAGTGCTTTTATATAATCCCAAGACTTTCAGGGCCATGGGTGATGTCTCGTTTTCCCCATTATGGCACCATCCTTGAACAGCGGACCAATTCTCGTGCGGAGATAAACTTTGTCTAGGTTTGAGCCAACCATGCTATGCTCCGAACAACAAGAGCATTCAGTACACCGTCGTGTTATTTGATACGGGTGTCGTAAAGTGCGTTTCAAGGGTGGGACATAACGACTATACCAACTAGTCACTAGAAAAAGAATAGCGAAACTATATATAAAAAACTAACAAAAGACACATAAACATATAAATCGATATAGAGTAAAGATTGACAGAGGCAATGGGCTGTGTAACTTACAGTTGAGGGGGATAGTTCTTTTTAATGAGACATACAGCGGGGGTAAATAGGTCAGAGAGATTAGGAACGGTAGAAAAGGCTTCGCCATAAAAAAAAAAAAGCATTTCCACACATATCGAGGCGGACAAAACAATAACTAGTATCACTAGTGCCGTGTTAAGCTTCTATTATGTAGGTCGAAGGCTTCTTTAGATAAAACTATGTCGAAAGCGAGATATTCAAGCCGATGCCAAAAGTATGGATAGGCTAATGCGTCCATAAACAGCTTCGACTGTAAAAAAAAAAAAAAAAAAAAAAAACCAGTCAATTGCTCCTCCTTGAATTAATACCTCAATGGCTGCATGACTATATACATAGACCCCTGCAGAAGAAC